GGCAAGCTCAAGTTTGTGGTGTGGATGTATGTTGTAACCTTAGGAGTCGGTCCATGAATAATGGATCATAGTTAAAGTAATCATGTCTAGGATTTAAACACAAGATGACCACATGAGATGAAAAAAAGAACTGCTTCGGCTCTTGTCCATCAGGTGAATAAGAGAGAAATACTTTCTTTTTGCTTGTGGTAGATTTTAAGCACAAGATGCACCTTAAGTTAATGTTAATTTACATGATGTATGTGATTACTTTTTAAGTGTAATCATTGTTTTAAGATCACTTTCAAAATATACTCCTAAGGGTATCTTAGAGGACTTAGTACTCTTTCTATTTTTACATTGTGCCTTAATCCTAAAGCAGTTTCAGAGTCCATTCTGTTTTGTTTCCTTTATATACGCACCGTTTCTGGGTACATATGATTGTGGAGCACAATGAACGGAAGGGAATTCGGCGACGGCTCAAGTGAGATTGTACCCGCGTATGCTCTCACTTTAGGTAGGTGGTTGCAGACAGAGCGGCTCAAAACCATCAACGTCTGCCAAAGTGAGACCCAATTGAGTAAACAAGTGAGCATGCCGGCGATACGGGTTTCTATAATCCAAAGTGTGTTATCCACTATGCTGGTCAGTGGCCAGTGGCCACTTTCTTCTATGGGCTTCCCGGCCTTACTGAGACCATGTTTGGGTCATTAAGTTTCTGGATTAAAATTAGTATCCGGACAAAAAAAAATAGTCCGATCCATAGACTAAAAAAATTCAAAAAAATTTCAAATAAGATGTACGGTCAAAGTTGAGCACGGAAAACCATGACTGTACTTAAAATGGGATGGAGAGAGTCCCCTAATATAAGTGATTTTGATTTTTTTACTTGCATTATTTAACCATTAGTCTTATTAAAAAAATTAGAATTATTATTTATTTTTTACTTACTTTTTTATCCAAAGTATTTTAAGCACAATTTTTCGTTTTTTATATTTGCATAATTTTTTTTAATAAGATGAGTGGACAAAACCAAAAAAAAAAGATGAGTGGAGAAACAGTGTAAGTAAAATGTTAAAATATCTTATATTATAGGATGGAGGAAGTAAAATGGACTAAAATAGAGGGACTAATGGATTAAGACCCACGAAGCAAACAGGGTCTGAATCTTCGGATTAATAAAGTACTGATCGTGTTTGTCTTTGAGGGGCTCGAGCAGTCGAGTAGCGTTCACTTTTGGGTGCGCACCATGACACGCTGCTAACCGACAGTGAAATTCAGATATCGAAGTGAGGGTGTGGGACGACCGGGCGGGGTGGAACGCTGCTGCACAGTGCACACAGACACACACAGCTACACACCGACACATTTTCTCGGCGCTCACATTTTCACAGCGGTCGGTCAAACTTGGTCAGTACTACTTCGCGTAGAGAACGCGTCGTCGATTCCACATTTCTACTCTACTGAGCCAGGCAGATGATGCAAAATGCCGTATTAAATCAATCGCAAGTCAGCAGATCCGAGCAGTGAAGTTGGTTTATTTGTGTGGACCAACCTATGCGTGTACATCATGCTGTGCAGGATACAAGATATCATACACTATCGAGGATCTCAGGACACACCGTAGGAAAAAAAAACTTACTCCTGGTTCCAGTAAGGGCTTATTCGGATCACGGGATTGTAAAAACGTAGGAATAGGAAAATCGTAGGAATATGATAGGAATGTATGTGTAAAACAGAGGATTGAAAAACACAGGAATTCTGTAGATAGGATTGGTAAACATGTGTTCGGATAGGCAAAGAAAAAACATAGGAAATGGAAAAAATGAGGTAGGAGTGGATGGAAATTTTCCTTTGTTTCTCTATTGATTCCACATGAAAGGAATTTTTCCTCTGATTTTTCTTTGGGTCGATTCCTATGAACCGAATGTCAGGAAAGGAAATATTTCCTATCTACAGTATTCCCTTGAAAATCCTACAAAAATCCCTCAATCCGAAGAGGCCCTAAAATGAGTAGACTTCACGCCAATACAAAATGCAAAAGGGAACTAGTGTTACTCCTACTTCATGCCAAATTGGCAATACAAATTACAAAAGTACTGCAAAGGTCCAGCAGGGTGAGAATGAAAGCGCGTACCGTAATAAACTGTTACGGTAAAACCCAGGCGTGATTCGTGAAAGCGCGATAGACAAGACAAAGCTAGCCGGCAGAAATTCCTGGTAGCCGCTACCGATGTGCAACGCATGGACAAAGATGGCCATGCGTCGAGAGTTGGCGTGTACCCCATACCCCTGTACCCATACGGGCCACACACGTACCACGCCATGATACTTACCATCGCAGGCAGGCAGGCAGGCAGGTCCACTCGTGATCTGCGACCCGAGAGACCGAGCCCTGTGCAGATCCACCGTCGTCATCCGGTGGATTTTCTGCAATGCCGCGCTCTCTCCGAAGTTACGACGTTACGTAGTACCACGACGTACCGCGGCCGCGATAAAGGATCGCCGGCTGGTTGGGCGGGGAGCCTTTACGAGTGGCCGGGCCGACGCACGTTGCGGCGGTGCACGCTACCGGAGAATTCGGCGCTCGTTTGCGTCCCAATTGATTTGGTCGGTTTTCCCTGCACCGTTTTTCTGTCGTGGTAGGTGCCCGTACCACCGGCAGCCGGAGCCCAATCTGTTCCAGGATCAGATCGATCGAGCCCCGAGTCCCGACTAGCGTGCGGTGCGGAACTGCTCCGTTGTAATGCTTGCTGCCTCTGAAACGAAACAAGACCATCCTGAAATGATGTGAAATGCCCCGTCACCTTTTGCGCCAACTTTGTAGGCCTTTTTTTTTAGGTTTTTCTGTGGAAAAGGCAGGGATTTCTCCGGTTTTCCCGACACAAAGGTTTCTTCACTTGCAAGACTACCTCCTGTCTACGCACCGGTTCCAGCATACTGATTCTGTCTGTTCCATATTGCTCACTAGACAACACTACTATCAGTCGAGATGGCATATGAGCTTGTTAATTAAGAAGTATACTTTTGCCAAAGAAACAGAACACCGGGGTATCCTTCGACAGGGGAAAAAAAGGAAAAGCAAAACTCAAGTGGAACATGATGCTGCATCTCTCTGGTAGTTGAGATTTGAGAGTCGAATTAGAGCAGATACAATAGCATGCTACAAACCAGCTGCAAACATATTTTAAGTAGATAAATGAGGAGAGAGAAGAGCAGCGGGCTACAGATTTATAACCAGATGTAGCACGAACTCCAAGATACAGTGTGTGTATGACAGGTGGGACCATGTATTAATAGTGTAGTATGTAACTATTGTATGAATGAGCTATTAGATTGGCTATAGATGAAATTGGAGCTAGTAGTTGGCTATACTATTGAACTTGCTCTTAGAGGACATCAAGCGTCGCCGATGGCGCGGGCGCTGGGCGATGCCGCGTCGGATTGCAATAGTGCGCGGGGTGGAATTTTTGCGAAAAAGTCCTTCGCTTTTGGTGTCATTCGATACATGTCCTTCACGAATAGTACTTCGAGAGGATGTTTTATGTGGAGACCCTTATAAAAATCGGATATTTTCATTCAAAGGAGAGAAAACCGTAAATTTGGACTGCCCTGTAAAATCATAAGACGAGGGGCTTTTTTGCAAAATGACACCCACTAACACTAACCACCCCAAACCCTAGCCGCCGCCGTCCCCTCATCCCTCTCGTCTCTCTCTCACCTCTCTCGCTGCCGCCGCCTTGCTCCGCCTCCCGCTTGCGCTGCCGCCTCTGCCTCCCGCTTGCGCTGCCTCCACCTCCGCCTTCCCCTCGCGCTGCCGCCGCCGCCGTCGCGTCAGCATCTCCGAGAGTCTCCGCCTCGCGCCGTCGCCATCGCCGAGCACGAGCTTTGAGGCGAACATGGAGAAAGTGAGGAGGCGAGCACTCCTCTCCTCTTCTCCTCTCGTCCCTCCTCTGCATGTCGTCAACCTGCCGCCGTCGTCGCTGCCGTCATCAACTTGCCTCGGGTTTCGTATGGGGAAGAAAGAGGGGGAAAGGGGCTGCCGACGGCCGTATGGGGGAGAAGCTCCGCTGTAGGAGGGTTGCTAGTTGACGCGCGCGCGCGCCAGCTGCTCCCCGGCCCACAAGGCCCATCGGCCTTTTATTTATTCACGATTTTTTCCCTTTTTTTTGATTTTTTCTTTTTTCTTTTTTTCTTTTTTTTCTGATTACTTTTTTAAAATCTTTAGCACACGTATTTTTTTTTTCAAAATGTTTTGAGTTGAAAGTTTTTAAATCATATCTTGAAAATTTTCAAATCTGATTTGAAAGTTTTCAAATATCGAGTTGAAAGTTTTCGAATCTGAGTTGAAATTTTTCGAATCTCGAGTTGAAAGTTTTCAAATCTGATTTGAAAATTTCAAATCTCGACTTGAAAGTTTTCGAATCTCAAGTTGAAAGTTTTAGAATCTGAGTTGAAAGTTTTCGAATCTCGAGTTGAAAGTTTTCAGATCTAATTTGAAAATTTCAAATCTCGACTTAAAAGTTTTCGAATCTCGAGTTGAAAGTTTTTGAATCTGAGTTGAAAGTTTTCGAATCGGAATTGAAAGTTTTTAAGTCGGAGTTGAAAGTTTTTAAATATGGGTTGAAAGTTTACATATATATATGGAAAAATTCGAAAAAAAAAACTAACCCCGTCTTGAGCCGTATGGGCCGGCACGTGCGCGCCGCACGCGCCAATTAGAATTTCCGCTGCTGTAACCCGCTTCCCCTCCCCTCGAGCCTCGACCCTTCTTCTCCCACTCGTACTAATCATTCGCTGCGAGAGAGAGAGGAAATCGTGAATTTCTTCGACTTAACGCGACGAAAGGAATTAAATTACCATGACTCCAGTCCAGAGCCCACAAACGCGTTGTCGCCCGCGGCTACAGGCGAAAGAAAGATTGACGCCCGTTAGGCCCATTAGTGGCTAGCGGGCCGTTTAACCCTTCCAGAGGCCTCTCACTGCGGAGAGTATATAGCCCGTCTTGCAACCCACGATGAGGACTCGAGCACGCAGTCGCACCTCCCACCCACCCGCAGCCGCCGGCGAGTTCGAGCGGCGGCCACCGGGCGGGCGGCGGGGCGGCGGCTCGGCTCCCCTGATCTCCCTCCCCTGCGCCGCTGCGCGGTATGGACCTCCAGGATCCAGCCGCGGACGCCGTCGCGGCCGAGCCACTCACCGTCGCCGAGACCGACGACCAGCCGCCGCCGCCAGCGCCGCCTCTGGAGGCGGAGGGTGTTGTCGTCGCGGAGGAAGACCCGCTGCCGCATCCGCCCCTTGAGGTGGTGGAGGAGGATGTGGCCCCCGTCGTCGCAGAAGCCGGCGCCGCTGCCGTACCTATGGAGCCCTCCGAGGCTGGCGCGGGTGGTGTCGTGCTCACCGACGAGCTCTGCGACCGGATCGTCAAACAGGTACACCAGTTTCCGGTCCTTCCCTCTGTTGGCTATCAGATGTTCTGTTGTATGCTCCTGCAAAGACGACGGATTTTTTGAGATGTTGTGCTATCCATACGTCAAACGTTCCATCCTTGCAGGTGGAGTACTACTTCAGCGATGAGAATCTTCCTACGGATGAGTTCCTGATTAAATTCGTGAAGAAGAACAAGCAGGGGTTTGGTAAGTGGCATGCTTTTGCTTCATGTAGCGAAACCTCTATATATTGTGATGCTAAGTTTAGATGGTTTAGTCTGGTAGTTTAGAAACATATGTATTTGAGACAGGAGCCATGCCAAGTGTGTAGTATCTTTTCTCCCCATTTTGAACTGCTTGTGATGCGCCCTATTATTATTTGCCTGTATTATTTTGCCACCGAGATAATTGTACTTAGGTTTATGACAGGTTTGCTTTTCGCATAAATTGCATTCTAGAAGTCTAGAAATAGATGTGGTAATTGGTCAGTAATATGTATATGATTCAAGTTCTGAAAGCTCTTTTATATCCCTTCTCTCTCTCTTTTATTCTATCCTCCGTGAGACAAGGTGTGACTCTTCTAGCTCCTATGTTTCTGCATTATTTTGCCTTGTCGATCATACATTAGTGGAATGGAGGTGAAAATGATGAAATATGACAGGTACTTATGAGAGGCATTTACATAGGTACTCCTGGTGCAGCTTTCTTTAGTTGTGCCGAGAAGCTAGTTTAGGCCTCTGTGAATACTGGTTTACTGTTGTCTGATTCACTCCATTCTGTTTTGAAATTATAATCAGGGGGACTTTTTAATTAATAAACCATGGGGGCTGGCTATTTACTTATTTTTGTTGTTTCTCTCTTTTCATGGTTTCTGTAGTCAGTTAGATTTCCTCACATTTAGTTTGACTGTCGGGCCATGAGGATACATGAAACTTGATCCCATTACCGATGTTGTCTGGTATTCTTCCATGGTAGCTGAGTCAAGCTGTTGCAGTGGGAACTGATATGCTCCTTACTCATCTGAGCTGCCCCTTTTTATTTGAGCTTCACAATTAAAGTAGGATGGATTAGTTTTGAACTCTTTGATTGATCATTTACAGCAATAGTTTGCTGCCCTCATTCATAGATTGGGACAAGAGCTGCAATCGTTTTGCGAGACATGGACCTTTTTTTTTTCTTTTTAGCAGCCTGATGTTCTGTATGTATCATATGCGCTGGATTTTGTACATGCTTGGGAAGTAGCTTGTAAACAATGATCCATGTAGCACTACTTATTGCATGACAACTCAGTGGCATGGTGTGGAATTATACTTTTACCTTTTGTTGATTTTCAGGTATTAAATTCTTTCTGAATTTCTAGGCTGTAACTGGTATATCATAAGTGACTCGTTAGATATAGGGTACTCTTCTGTCATGAATCACTAAATATATTTACATTAGGTCGGGTGAATTAAGTGTTGCTTAGCGAGTTTATAGTGCTCAAGTCTATATGGATTGATGTTCATTAGGGTTAACTTTCATCAAATATTATGTATTATATGAAGTAAAATCTCAAAGGTTCTTCTAATTATGTGCTATCTTTGGTAATAGTTCCTATTGGAGTTATTGCCTCATTCAGAAGAATGAAGAAACTCAGTCAGGATCTCTCTATAATTGAAGCTGCACTTAGGACATCATCTAAGCTGGTAATATATTGCCCATTTATTATCTATGCTTTGGAAGTGGTGCTTTTGGTCAGTGGGAGATAGATATGGTTGCTATGTTAATAGTTATAATTTAAATGTATATCACTATATGCTGTTATTTTGTTCTTAACTTTCAGGTCGTGAGTCCAGATGGGAAAAGGGTCAGGAGGTTACATCCATTGCCAAATAATGAATTGAATGATGTTAAGGTCAATTTCCAGCCCACTCCTTGCTGAAATGCATTATTTATATGTATTGTGGAATATCTGTGTTCTAAGTTTTAACTTTAACTTGCACGCAGAAAAGGATAGTCGTGGTGGAAAATCTGCCTTCTGATTTCTCCATGGAAAGCATACATGCGAAATTTGAAACAGTTGGGAAGTATGTTGTTTGCTTGTGTTTGTGATGCTATATTGTTCTGAGGACACTTAATGATTGATGCTCATAATATATTGTTTTGGAACTGTACTTTATCTTCATATGTGCCAGAATTGCGAAGATAACCATTCATGATCAACATTCAGTGGGAGAATCTGCAACAATTAAGAACCATGACATCATGCTAAGTAACAAGGTGTGTATCAGTTATTACTCAGCGACATTTTCTTAAAAGATCTTATAGATACCCAAACTACAGCCCTTTTGATTTTACTACCTACTGATTGTAGTCATAGGTTCGTAATCGATAAAATAAGTATTGTAGCCATGGGTTATTTCTGATTGACCCGCCATACAAACTACCACTCGTTGCCAGTCACTGAATGGAAAATATATTTGATAAATTTAGTCATCTCTAGTTGCTTTTACGTCTCCTGAATAAAATTGGATATATCCTTTCCTTCACCCAGTATTCAAGTTGGTAATAGGTCAGGGTTGTGCAGGTGCATGCTCTTGTTGAATATGAAACAGCAGAGGCAGCTGAGAAAGCTGTGAGTTCCCTTATCTCACATTTAATGGCCCATTTGATTCCCAGCGTATGAATACATCTTAAAGATTGTTGTTTATGTGTGATCAAATTAGGCTATCACCTTAAACGATGGGAGCAATTGGAGGACTGGAATGAAAGTCAGGCTGGCTAAGCGAACCGTAGGATCAGGAAAGCATAACCAGTCTTCAAAAGAAAATCAGGCCATCCAGGGCCAGCCTTCAAAAGTAGAGCAGCAGATGGTATCAGAAAAGAATGGTGGTACTGATTCAGTGGAGAGTGCTTTCGACAATGAGAATGTGAACTCTAATATTTCCCATGAGGTTTGATTTATTTCATACACCTATTGTTTTTTTTCAATTATCCACTTGGCACAATTATGTTTCACTTTCTCTTACGTCCATCTTCACCCTTTGCATTCCCTTACTGAACTGCACACATGATACAAGCATGAAGTTCAAATGTATTATTCTATTTAGTTTTTTTTTTCATATTTAGATGCTATGATCAGGAGGTTGTGTCATTGTTCTGCAAGTGTCTTTGCTCATAGGTCATTTGTGCATATCTTTAGGACATGCACCAACACCAAAAAGTAAATGCTAAAGGAGGACGAAAAGGTCGATATAAATCTCAAGGAAGAGGTCAGATTCAGCAAAATACAAGTGGGCAAGGTAAACTGTTTACACTATTTTGACCCTACTAAATTTGTAGATTATTTGGGTGATACATTTTATGCCACTGAGTTTCATCCAATATCCACAATATCAGTTTGTTTTGCACTGAGTGAAATGTTTCTCAGATGAACTCCATTTGCACATACAACTTAAGTTAATTCCCATGTCTGTGCATGATGGAGGCAGGAGGCTTCATGGTCAACATGTTACTCTGCTTCTTTATGGAAAAAAACTGAACAATATTTATTATCTTAGGCAACTAATACCATTGTACACATCTCCTCACCTAGTTTTTTGCGCAATGATATCCTTGTTCATTTCCAAAGCTAAGTCTGTTTTCATCTTGATGACAGTAGGTTCACCAGACTTACATTGATGTAACTAGTTTTTTTTTCCCTACGGGTATCTTTTAACAAGAGCTGAAGAATTCAATCCTGACAGTTCTTGCTGTAAACACTTGATATTCCAAATGAACACGCAGAAGGAAATCAAGATCGATTTGTAGTTCTCTAGTTTTGTACTAATGAAAAATCAAATACCTGTGATTATTTCTCCACATATGTATTTTTTAACTCTATCTGGAATATGCATACTGATGATTTTTCATATCAGGCCATGTCTCATCCCCTGCCACTTCTGGTTCTGATCATGTGAACAAGCCTATTCCTGGACCGAGAATGCCGGATGGGACAAGGGGCTTTACAATGGGGCGTGGTAAATCTCCTACATTCCAGAAAGGGGATAATGCTGAAGAATAGTGCTTTTGTCCCAAAAAGCCTGGTAACAATCTAACCGCGTGAAAAACATAATTCTGCTGTTATGCTATAAGCTGTCTTGCTTCGTGTAAGAACGTAGGGACATGTCACTGATATAGAAAAGGCTCTTATTTTTTATGTAGTGTCTTTTCTGAATTAACTGGTGCTTTAGTAGGTCTGGTAAAAATTTAACCTCATGAAAAACATAGTACTGCTGTTATGCTATAAGCTGTCTTGCTTCGTGTAAGAACGTAGGGACATGTCACTGATATAGAAAAGGCTCTTATTTTTTATGTAGTGTCTTTTCTGAATTAACTGGTGCTTTAGTAGGTCTGGTAAAAATTTAACCTCATGAAAAACATAGTACTGCTGTTATGCTATTGTTCTCTGAGTATAAGAACATCGGCACACGACGTTTACAGAAAAGGTCGTAGTGTATTTTGTGAATTCAATTTTCGAAATTACTTCAGCTGACTAGTAAGGTTTTACCGCCAATTGTGAAGCCGTTGTTCCGTCATTATTTCTGATGTTCTAGGTTTTGGCTACCATCTTGTCCTGATTAATACGAAAACTGGATAGAATATTAGAGCAAGAAATAGATGCTTGAAGTGTATGTTTAAACTATTTAGGATGCACAAAGGGTAAACAATAAACAGATCGAGATCCGAAACGCTTTCAGTGGACTTGAGGCTTGATTTTTGGAGCATACTGTGCACCGTGTTGATATCTCCTGGTGAATGTTCCTCTGAACTCTGAAGTGAGGAGCCAGTAGTTACAGTCTAGCTTGTATATGTAAGGTTAATCGGCTGCCGAACAGGCAGAAAACTAAACAGTCAGCGCTTGTTCAGTTGATCCCTCTCCCATGGGGATTGAAGGAATTAATCTCTCAGTTCTCTTCAATCCCCTTTCTCACGGAGATTAACCGAGCAAGTCCTTATGGGGGCTGTAGTACCATATCTTCGAAGTCTTGGTCTCCAGTCTCCAGTCTCCAGTCAATTGAGCTGTGCTGTCCCGGTCCAGTGGTGCTGTGCTGTTACTTTTAATAGGTGCATTGCTGTGGGAATTTATTATAAAAACAATAAAAAAAATAACATGTAAGATAGCTAGATAACATCAGATTAAGTAAATTAATACGGTTTATGATAATTTAGATTTAAATAGTATGTAGAATGGTGATTCAAACGTAAAAAGTAAGGTGGTATAACTTTATGGAAGAAGAAAAATAGGGAGATAGTTTGGACTATAGATTAATCATCTAAAAGCTAAAAACAATTGATGTGATATGACTTAATTAGAGGAAAAAAGAGAAAGATAATTTGCACCATAGATTAATCATTTAAGCACTAAGTGAGGATGAACTATATATTTATATAGGATATTATAAAACATAATAAAAATATACATTGAAACATTATGTGAATTATGTTGGATGATAATTTAACATGTTTGTATTTGAAAAGCTCTTAAATTATAAAAACTATAAAGATATAGCATGTTTTCATGATGTTTAAATGTGATGATTGTTAGTGGATGATGAGTAACATCTTGTTAATTAGTGGATGATGATGTGGCATCTTGTTAGTGGATGATGATATGGTATCTTTGCATGTTAAGTTTAAGGTATTAGTGGGGATAACTTTATAGTAAGATAGGATGTGTTAAGGAATCATCTAGGGACATGTGCCTATCCGACAAGTGAATGGAGCTCCCGAGGGTGTGTTTAGTTTGCGAAAAGAAAATTTTTGGGTGTTGCATCGAACGTTTGATCGGATGTCAGAAGAGGTTTTTGGACACGAATGAAAAAACTATTTTCATAACTCGTCTGGAAACCACGAGACAATTTATTAAGCCTAATTAATCTGTTATTAGTACATCTAGGTTACTGTAGTACTTATAGCTAATTATGGACTAATTAGGCTTAAAAGATTCGTCTCGCGACTTGAATGCAAAATGTGTAATTAGTTTTTTATCTGTATTTAATGCTCTATGTATGTGTCAAAGATTCGATGTGATGTTTTGGGGCAAAAATTCTAGGAACTAAACATACCCTGAGTAAGAATGAACAGGTCAGATCCGCTGAAACAAGCCTCATTTTCATGACCAGACTAGTGTCGCAGCGATTTTACTGCGATCTGTCACCAACTTAATACGATGTTGGATCTCGGTTCCTATTCAGAATTGGGATTCCATGAGGGCCACTCAGGCAGGAACAAAGCACTTGTGATGCCTGCGCGCAGGCAGGAGCAGAAGCAGGACCAATCCACTCATTGGTTCCGCAGCGGCGTAGCCATGCGCTCCAACCATGTGACAACGACACGAGGCGTCGCGGGCGGCATGCATGCGTGTTCGGTTCATGGCCAGAGGAAACCAAGCCGGTCTCTCGGATACGTATCCGGCCGAAAGAGTCGGCCAAAGCCCGTGGTTTGGCTACGGCGCTGCGCCATCTCACGCACATCGTGCAGAACGGTGGGCGAATCGTGGCGGCACGGATGCCCGGGCGCCGTTCGCCTCGCCTGGTTTACGAAGCAGTGACCGGCATGCAGATGAAAGGGGCCCTGCCGGCTGCGTGCTGGCGGCGGCGATCGAACCTGAGGTTTTTTGCCCAAGCGGACCGTATCCAAACCGCCGTCACGCGGGCAAGGCCCAAGCAAGCCATGTGCTCCACCAGGCCATATTCCTCTGGTGACGGCAACCTCGCTGCGTAGGCCGGTAGGCGTAGATATGCCGATCGACTACCGTGCAACTGTCGCCGGCGAGTTGGCGAGGTAGGGCTGTACTTACGGTGAAGTAACGTACACTGGTCGGATCGTGTCCCCATATAACAGGAGATTGCAGCCTGCTCTCTGCAATCTACAGTTTCTCGTCTGCACTCCTGTTGGAAGGTACTTAAGAGCAATGCTACACGTACTATATTTTTCTTACTAAACTTTTACTAACAATAATCTCAACCGTTTGATTTAAGTAGATGGAAGTTAAAAAAATCTAGATGCACTCATAGCATGACACATCAGTGTTAGTAAGAATTTAGTAAGAAAAAGTCAGTATGTATAGCTTTTATAGGTGTAAAGTTTTAGCGTGTCAGATCAGATATACGGACACCACCTAATTACAGAATCCGTTAATAAACTGCGAAACGAATTTATTAAGTCTAATTAATCCATCATTAGCAAATGTTTACTGTAGCACCACATTATCAAATCATAGAGCAATTAGGCTCAAAAGATGTCTCGCAAATTAGTCACAATCTGTGTAATTAGTTATTTTTAGCATACATTTAATACTTCATACAGGTGTTTAAACGCTTGATGTGACTGGGTGTAAAATTTTTGTGTGGGATCTAAATAGGGCCACAATCTCTCCCTTCCTGGCTCCTAAGCTAGGTGTAATTTTACGTTGCTCTTCGAAATAGCGGGCATTTGATAGCAGAGAGGTTGAGAATGGAAAGAGCGGAGTCAAAGAGGCACCATGATACTACTCTCTCCGTTTTTATGTTTTTGGTTTGTGCTAGGTTAAATATTTTCAAATTTAACTAGATTTATATAAAAAATATAACAATATTTTTAACATCAAACAATTATTACTCTCACCATCTTCGAGTTTGACCAAATTTAAAAAATAACGTAGCAATATTTATAAATATTAAATATATACTATAAAAGTATATTTAATGGTGGATTTAATAAAATTAATTTGATATTATAAATGTTGCTACATTCTTTTACGTGATTCATAAATATAAATAAGTTTAACTTAGAATAAAATCAAAATATCTTGAAACTTAAACGGAAGGAACACAAGTGAGGAGGATGAGAGGTGAGAATATGTTGTTTGAGAAATGGTATATGTATATATGTATCACAAGTACCCCCGTCTCATAAGATATTAAATTACTATAAATCTGAACATACGAGTATCTTATATTTGTATCTATCTTTTTTTTATAGAGTAGTACGTTTGATCAAGAGTGACCATACAGTTTGACTGAAATTCCCTTAAGAGTTTTCATTTGACTAGTGTACAGACAGTCCAATAAAAATATAGTTTTATACCGCTTACACTGCCGTCCAAAAATATAGTTTTGACTAGTATACGCAGCCAGCAGAGAATACCGTCACATGCCATGCTCAGGTTGACCCAGCTGTTGTCAGTGTGTCCTATGGTGGACTGGTCGCTGGAAGTGTGGAGCATATAGACTGTTCCCTCTTTTTTACCATCGGTTTTGCTACCGTTCCACTTCCACCTCCTCCTCCTTTTTTCTTTTACAGAACAAAATCAGGCACACCGCACACGAGATACTACAAATATATCCTCAGGGGTGTCGTAGGTGCTGAGAAAAGCGGCGCCACTGGACACTGGAGTGAGTTGGAGTCTCGTGCAGAGGCTATGCACCTGTGCGGCCGGCTGTGCGATGGATATGGACCGAATCTCGTCACGACGTCTTCAAGGGCTGCACCCAAGCGTCGCTAGCTTGGCTTTGCCACACACATTAGTGTTGAACAGGCAGGCCTTCGGAGCTAGCAGGCACCTACCGCGTACCGCGTCCCCTTATCTGCTTTGGACGCTGCTACTGCACAAACTTGGTGAGAGGAACGTCTCGTCAATTCGTCATAGTGGTACCATGTTTAATTTGTGCCACACAGTAATTCATATTTTTGCTCTATTCCCGTCACTGCATCCGTTCTACTAATAGTACTCCTACTCACTACATCCGTTATACCGTTCCAATAATAAGATTGCTCATTTCAAGATTTATTGTATTAGATTATATCAAATACAATATTAAGTTGGTTTTTATTAGAACGGAGGGAGTACTAAGTAGCACTCCTACAGTTCTACTTCTTTTGTTAAAAAAAACTCAATCTAAGTATTTAATTGGATATAGGTTCATTGTACTAACTAATAAGGGTGTGTTTAGTTCACGCTAAAATTAGAAGTTCGGTTGAAATTGGAACGGTGTGACGGAAAAGTTGAAAGTTTGTATGTGTAGGAAAGTTTGTTTGTGTGTGTAGAAAAGTTTTGATGTGATAGAAAAGTTGAAAGTTTAAAGAAAAAGTCTGTAACTAAACTCGGCCTAAGTCTAATCCAATACTATATATGTTGGACTTTTTTAAGGAGCCAGTATATGCTAATTTGATTGTTCATGGTGACAGCTGGAGCACTGGGTGAAATGATTATATCGAGGGTTTGCTCGCGCGAAAAGCAATCCACAATTCGATCGGGGCAAAGCGGCAGCACTAACCCATCAATGCTCGCGAGTGGCGTCCGCCCCACATGCCGCTTAGGTGCGAGACCGGCCCGGTCACTCGGCAGTCGGCTCCCTGTAGAGATGGTACCGTGCCACGACGTCGTCCCGTCCCACCTCGCGTGCGCTATAAAGCTCGCGCGCCCTCTCCTCATCGATCATTCGCCATGATCACAGCCACGTACACAACAAACGCGGCCTCAGTCCTCACGCACAGTTAAATCTTGATCAGCGTATCAATCGCAGTATCCAGCTCCCATGGATAGCATCCACGAGGAGCAGCGGCCGCGGCGGCGGCAGCAGCAGCAGCAAGAAGGAGGAGGAGAAGAAACGGTCGTGGAGGTGCCGGAGATGGACGGCGAGCTGCTCGTCGAGCTCCTGGAAGCGTCCCTCGCTGCGGAGGAGGATGAGGAGGCTGTAGCGCAGAGGAAGCAGCAGCTGGGCTTCTTCACGGCCGACGTCGGCGACGGCTGGGACGGGCAGGAGCTGATGAACTCCATCCACCCGCACCAGGAAGAAGAAGGCTGCGAGGACTGCGGCCTCGACGACATCCTCTCCGACTTCGACGGCGGCGGGTACCCGCCGGCGTCGTCGCCACCGTACCTCTCCGAGTTCTGGATGGAGGAGATGGACCACGCCACCGCGGGCCCGTTCGCTGTCGCCGGCGAGTGCCCGGGGGAGGAGTGGTACATGGACGGCATGGCCATGGAGTGGGAGGACGGGAGGAGCTACTACTCGTTCCACTACCCGTCCTACGGCGCCGACGCCTCCTGCACGGATCAACTGTACAGTAGCCCGTTGTGGGAGTGATCAGTGAACTCCGGCTAGCTAGTAGCCCCTACGTTACGCGTTAGCGATTAGTGCATGGCCTTCGCTTAGACTCCAAGTGACTAGTACCACCACCAGGTTCCAGTTTGGTAGTTTGATCTGCGTTTTTTGCCTCAGTTTTGCAAATTTAGCGCGCTCTGAATTTGCTGGAGAGAGCATGAGTCCATGAGTTTTTTTTTGTGTTATGGTTTTTACCGGGCAATTCATGCCCTGTTTTTTAGGAGTACTTTCGCACGGTCGTCGCGAGTGTTGGTGTATATAGGTGTGTTGAGCTTTGAACAAGTGATGTTTGGCAGTTTGGGTGTTGATGTTCCTGTGCCGATGCCTCAGTCTGTTAGTTAAAGTTGGTAATCTGTCTAGCACTTCCTCTGGTCTAAAAAAGCAAGTCAGTTTTAAATACGTGCAGTCAGCACGAGTTAAATTTGATTATAAAAACATGTGAAGTATATGTTTTGGGTATAGGAAAATGATATATTCTACACCTATGTAACTTTTGAAGTCCTTTTAAAATTTATGCTAATAGTAAAAGTTGTATAATTTTGTTTTAAAAGATCCAAAACGACTCGTTATTTAAGACCGGAGGGAGTAGTTCCCATCGGAAATATGAAGATTAGGCAGAAGAACTATAATGCGGGAAAGTTTTTTTTTCTTTTCTTGATACATTTATATGTGAAGAACATCTATAGTGTAGTTTCTATTAATTTCAATCTAGAAATTGTACATCAAAAATTTCAGAGTACTATCTCCTTGGATAATGTACAGAGTCCTGAGGCTCTTCGGCCATCTGGCTTCGAAGATATTACACGGAGATTTCAGATTTCTATAAAGCGAAGCGCATCAGCTCACTAGTCACCGTTCACACTGTCACAGTTTGTTGGAACAAAAAAAGATCGCTTTGTGAAAAGCGTAGTATAATACACGTACAACGAGAAAACTTAGGGCATGCAAAACGAGAAAACCATTAGCGTATGATTAATTGAATTATAATTATTACAAACTTGAAAAATAAGTTTATTTGATATTTTAAAGCAACTTCTATAGATGAACACACATTTTAAAATTCAAGGGCCTGTTCAAATTGTAGCCAAAATAAATATTACCAAGTTTTGGTAAATGCTAAAATTTTGGCAAGATGGCAATATTGGCAGGATTTCTTATGTATTGACCAAATTTAGCATCAAACTAAGCGTAGACATTTTTTTTGGCAATTTACCAAAAATGGTATGGTTGAAAATGGTATCAAAGTGAACAGGCCCCAACTCTCTTCAAATATTTAACTAATGACTATTTTATTATAATTAAATTTTATTTGATGAAAATAATATTATTTGATTGTCATTTTATATGATTATGATGTCATTGCTACAAAATTGTAATACTTGAGAAATTTGAAGTCAGTGATCAGTTTTGAAAATTGTGCTATGTTTTCCACGTCTGAGTGAGTAGGATGGAGGAAGTGGAAAGTTTTTTTTTCACGAAACATACCGTTTATCAATCTTAAAAAACGTGCAAACGAAAATTGAGGAAAAATCAGTATCTTGAGACAAGAACACCACATGTAGCATGGTTAATCATCGCTGATCCAGATCCATATACTGCAAATTCTGAATAATGCAGATGTTGTATTGCACGCTGTGCGACTTGTCCTTGAAACTGGAGCAGTAACGGTGTTCCACGATAACGATATGCTGCGCAGGTTTTTCGCCTCCGGTGGTTTCTTTCACCGAGAAGCGGGAACCAAATCATGCACAAGAGGTCAGGTGCCGTCAGCCTGTAACAGGCTAGGACAGCCTGAAGCCATTGTCGTCGTAGTAGGTTCATTTCTTCAAATGTTCAGCAATTTAATTTCAGTTCTGTTCAACCGTCACATTACAGATATTCACGAGCGATCATCTACAGGTGAAGCACTGCTTTCAAAAATCACAGTTAATCTTATTGCAGTTCACATTTTCTTATTGACATCTCCCACAATTCCCATTGTAAACCAGAACTCCAATCAACATCCGAATCAAGAATACACAAGTCAATGTAAAAGAATAAAAAAACAAAAAGAAGAAGAAGAAGAAAACATCCACAGGTTCATGATGCAATGTTCCCTCCAAAGTTAATGCTAAGGCAGACTGCACAGGGGACAGTAGGCAAATTGATCAGCTAGCTCATGAGCTCCTTCTCTGCTCGCACAGGCGGCGGGCCGCCATGGACATGTGCGTGGTCAGCGGCCAGACCACCGGACAACTTGGTGTTCTGCTGCTGGTATACCTGCCTCAGCCTCTCGATCTCCTTCCTCAACGCCTCCTGATGAGCTGCACATGCAGGCTATTGATTAATTCTCATGAGTGGTTTCTTTTTTCAGATAATGGAAAGTAAAGAGATGCTCCTTCAGGCATGATGGGAAGCAGCAGCAACAGAAAATGCAGCATGTTGCAGAGAAGTAAAAAATTTTACTACAAATTTAACTCACCATCCTTGAAAATCTTGTCCTGTGCTAGAGCCGCGATCCGCTGCTTGAGGTGGCTGTTGCCGACGGTCAGGATCGTCCGCTGCTGATCCAGAAACGCCACCCGAGGGGACAGCACGGATACCTCGTTCTGCAAAACATATCACATTTTACACAAAACCAAAATGGCGATGTTTAATTTGGGAATAAACCAAACTGATGCCTGCTTGTCAAAGAAGATCTAGCCGTAGTGGTCAGACACTAATGGCACCCTGAATTACCCTGCATCTAGCTTGTTCGGATACGCTACTGATACACATTTGATTTGTAACTGTCTCGACCGATCCCTCCATGTGCACCCACGATCAGAGCGCTCTATATGACCCAACGTACTGTGCACACAAACGGAGCATGTTACATGGAGTACACTACACAACAGTTGTTAAATGCTAGTACTACTACTTGCACAAACAGTAGTACTACCACACATTTCTTAATAGGGCACTAATTTAATCAGATGTCGCGCAAGCAAGCTAAGCTAGCTAGGAAAGGGACCACGCACAACACACCACTGCCCACTGGCCAATCCATCCATGCAGAAGCAGAACCATGTGCGTCTGGATCATGGCATGACATGCCATTGCCACTACGTCTACGTGGGCTGGTTGGTGCCGTACGGGGGGTGAGGTGAAGTAAGACATCCGCAGGCGTGCATATGCACGAGGGTGGGGGCTCACGCTCTCGCTCATCTCCTCGCCACATTGTGTGCTATTGCCAGCCAACCAGTGTGGCTGTGTCCATCGGTCGGTCTCAAACTGGCGCCACTTCTGTCCGTGAAACTCATCGACGGGTCGCTTACTACATCGCACAGAATGCAGATTGCACAGCCACGAACGGTTGATCTGACGTGAGTTTGTAGAGTTGAGGTAGGGTGTTCGGTTTCCTAGCTAGGATTCAGAATTGTGCCGCGTTTCGAAACGAGCGTCAACTCGGCTTGCTAGAGCTCGAAGAGCGGATTGGTATAGGGTGTGATAACTAGTTTTGAGTTTGGTGTTGTCGTCGTTGATATGTTCGTATTGCACGTATATGTATGTATACCTGCAGGGTTGTGACGCTGCGCTCGAGCTCGGAGATGTACTGAAGCTTCCTCACTCGCGACCTCTGGGCCGACTGCCGATTAGCCAGTATCCTGAAGACATTTCCAAAGAAGAGAACACGGTAATTAATCGAGGAATTTATAGTGTCGTAAAGTGATTTGTAATTGATCACTAGATGCATGCATGGACGCAGTGCCCAACCGGGCGCGTTCGCTCGCTTACCTCTTGACCCTCTTGGGGTCCCGGATCAGCTCCGTCGGCGAGGTGGCCGCCGCCTGCTCCTGCGTCGGCTCCCCGGCGGCGTGCTGCCCGTCGTCGCTCTGCGCCGCGGCGTGCTTGTCGCCGCCGCCGTCGCTGTCGCTGCCGCCGTTGTCGGACCCCGGGGCCGACGACCCGCCCTCGTCGGGGAACATAGACATGAGCTGGTCGTCGTCGAGCCTGTCGAACTCGCCGCCCGCCCCGCACCCCGCCGGCGCCACCTCGACGAACGCCACGGAGTCGCTCAGCGACCGGCGGTGCGCGCCCCGCCGCGACGCCGCGAACTCGGCGAACTCATCCGCCCACGCCGCGTCGCCGGCGCCCCCGGCCGAGGCCCAGTGCTGGTGGTGCCCCGGCGCCGCCACCGGGATCTTGGGCGGGAGCTGCGCCATGTACGTGTCCTTAGCCTATAGTAGCGATCGATCTCGCGAGCTTGGGCTAACCACCTAGCTCTGGCGCGCGCGTTGGACGGCGCCGCAACATGGATCTGCCGGTTTTTGTTTTATACTAGCATGCTAGTACTACTACAGTATGCTAGCTGCAAAGCGCTATAGCCACCACGCCACCTTGTTACTACGACGGAGGGAATTGGAGGGTCACATGGGACGAGACTTTTGGAACATGACGACAGCCTGAGCCAGCTAGCAGCAGCTCTCGTTAATTAGGCTTCTTCGAACGCGACTCGATCGATCGATGTCGATCCATCCCCGTCCATGGATGGATGCATCCATCGGTTTGCATGCGGCGCCCGCGCGGGAACAAAGTTGGTGGAGGGGGATCAACGGTTTTTAAGGCAGTTAAGTAGGTGGGCAGGAATCCCCCCATCCACGTGCCGCTGTCGATCCATCCATCCAACCGGCCGGCCGCGGATCTCTCCTCCTCTCGTCGTCGTCATCATCATCATCGACCGATCGGCTATCATCAACAAGTTGCAGCTCGATCGAGCGATCGCGTACAGTGACAGGCTTCAATTAGCCCTCGTTGTCACCCCGGGATGGACCGGTAGTATGGCCGGTTGCGTGCGCGTCGATCGATCGTCATTCGGCGCGCGACAGACTGCGATGGCCGGTGCCCTCGAAAGCAAGCAGTCGAGCGCGGTGCCGGTCACCTCGGTTCGTTCGGTTATACCGATCGCGCGCCTGAGACGAGCACGAAATTTTGTGGGAGATCGATGGTTGGAGGCGCGCGGCATGCCGTCATTGCATCTGAGTTTGTGCTGCGGCGCAGTGACTAGAATATGCATCGCGTGTCAGACTGTGTCAAAGATAGAATATACTGTCAGGATCGCGTGCGTTTCACCGGGGAAATAGTAACAGCTGCCGCGTATCGGGAGCAGCATGTTCGCAAATCCATTGGGATCAGAGATCTCACCGCGCTTTTGCTTGCTTCCACAATACTACTACTGTACACGGGAATCTTCCGCAACTTGGATCCCGTTAAGCACACGCTTTTCTCACGGCCTCTGTACGGACGACGTGTTGGATCGGTTCTCTCCGTTAATCTTGCAAACGAAAAGCAACTCGTTTTGCCCAATGAAGGCTCAGCAATCAACACAAGAAACGCACTTTTGCCAACTCCAAGGCCCAAACACCACGGCAAAAGCTTCATCAACTAGGCCTGATATTCTATTGGGCTGGGTTTAGCAGTAAGGATGGCCTGATACAGTACGATTGGACTGCCGAAAAAGCTAATGCGCGCGTGCCGGCGGCGCGCGTCCTCTGACCTTTTTTTTCTTTTTTTTTTCCGATTTTTTCGTTTTTTTCACACTTTTTTTCTGATTATTTTTTAAATCTTTTAGCATATTTTGAGTTTGAAAGTTTTTAAATTTTGAGTTGAAAATTTTCAAATCTGAACTTGAAAGTTTTTAAATCTCGATTTGAAAATTTTCGAATCTCGATTTGAAAGTTTTCGAATCTTGAGTTGAAAGTTTTCAAATCTCAAATTGAAAGTTTTCAAAATTTTCAAATCTGGACTTGAAAGTTTTCGAATCTCGATTCTCGAGTTGAAAGTTTCGATTCTGAGTTGAAAGTTTTCAAATCTCGAGTTGAAAGTTTTCAAATTTGAGTTGAAAGTTTTTAAAATTTGACTTTAAAATTTAAAACTTAAATCGAAAGTTTTCAAATCTAACTTAAAATTTTTTTAATCTGTTAGTAAAAAAATCTCCCAAAAAATCTCCAGAATCTTTCCTAATTACTATCATTAGTGTTAAGTATATTAACTAATATAAGTAGTTAAGACTAAAGAGAACAGGGAGTGCTCGCCAGCTGGCTTTCCTGGCGCGCACGCGCGTGCTAGCCACCCCCTTGGACTGCCTTGTATTCTTATGTGCTTTCCCAATGGAAAAAGTACATCGAAGGTCCCTCAACTTGTAATTGATTTATAAAATTGTCCCTCAACCGTAAAACCAGATATATGACATCTCCCAACTTACAAAACCGTTCACTTTAGATCCTTCGGTAGATTTTGTTAGAGAATATTATCTCCTGGGGAGATAAGGTCCTTTCCCGTGGACCAATCCGAACCGGAGTAGAGATAATATCTATCTTCTCCTAAGACCCCTATATATAGGGGCAGGGTGTAACATCTAAGGTTGGCTTACACTTCAGATCAGATCTATAATGAAGAGAGAGCTCCACCATATATCTGTGTTCATTGTCTACTTCTGCAATGTTCTTGAGGGCAAAGGAATGGGCGCGGGTGTTTTACATCATCTCACGCCTCTATTGCTGTGGGAGGGACAGGGAACGAATCCGATGATCCGCTAATAGGCGCGTTGGTTTACAACACGTTATCAGCAGCTCTCCGTTCACCGGTTTGTCGTTCCAATCTGTTCTCGTTATTAGATTGATTTCTAAATTACAGATTGATGTGCTGGTATTTCTTGCTCTCATGTCCCGACGATCTAGCGAGGCTTGCGATGCAACTCGCCGGGAAGCTACGGCGCGGCTACGCATAGGCGTCGATGAGACCGCCGTCGGCCACGCGAACGCCAGCGTTTCGCTCGTGTACGAAAGCTTCTGGAGATCGGCGTGCCGGCGAACCACTGCAGTGCGATCCATCGCCTAGCCAGCGGCTGCATGCCTGCATGCATCACGAGGGGAAGCGCCACCAAGGCTGGCCGCCTCACACACCCTCAACGGGCCGGCGTGGAGCCGCCGCGCATGCGCGCGCGACTCGTGCTCCCGCATGGCGTCGCCGCGTCGGTCGCACCGCAGGCCACGGAGATCACGGCTCCACGGGCGTACAATGCTGGCTGCCGACTCAGTAGTCGGCCTGATCTTGCTCCTCTCTCTCTCTCTCGCTCACTTCTCTGCGCAGGTTGGCGGGTGGAGAGAAGGCCTGCGGGGCGAGGCGGGAGAGAAGGAGGGCGTCGGTGGCTGGCGACGCGGCCACAGGCCACCACGCGGAGTGAGGAGGCCGGCGGGGCCCATGTTCATCTCGTCGAGGATCTTGTCGCCGTGCTCGACCAGCTTGTTGGAGTACCACGTGAGGAAGAACCTCCCCGCCTCGGTGAGGTACGTGCCGCCGTCCGCGGTGAAGAAAAACGTGTCCTCCGGCGTGTCGTTGTACTCTCCGGCGGCGGCGTCCGGTAGCTCCCACTTCGGGTGCCCGGCTTCTGTCGCCGCCACTCTGAAGTTCTCCTCGAGGTATTTGTCCGATGTCAGGGAATTCCCAACCTTGGCTCTCCGGGTAGGATTGGTATCTTAGCTCACTTGCAGGGCCAAGCCCAACCTCTTATGTCCACAATCAGGCCAGAGTCCAAGAAGCCGGCCATGTTCTCTCTGAATCGCTTCATGAAATCGGCATACAACTAGTGTCGCAGATAAACAATCTATCAAGTCGATTAGATTATCCTAAATTTGATCATGGTTGTGATATGTAAATTTGCAATCTCAATGTCAGTATGTCACAAATTATGAAATCGGTGTACCTGGATGGGAGTTCTGCCGTGGAACAGAGGCCGGTCATCCACGCCGATGGTGAGGTACTCCTGGTTCCTCGCGCCGCCAGGGCTCGTGTAGTGCACGTCGGAGTCGTCGTCGCCGACGTCGCGGACTCAACGAGGCAGCGGGATGCATGGCTCCCTGTACACGCGCCACTCGTACCGCGCCGGCCCGGCGCCCTTGACGATGCCCCACTACACGTCCGCCATGACACCGTCGACACCGGCCTCCCGCCGCAGCCGCGTCCTCTAGCTCGTTCTCCGCGGTGACCACGCGCAACTGCACGTCTGCACGCCACGCCACGGCGCAGCGCCGCTCGACACGATCAATTCGAACGAAAGCTTGGAGAGATTGCGTGAGCTCGGAGCTTACCGTCAGCAGGCCTCCTCCCCACCCGGTGCGGTGGCCTGCTGCCGCGTCGCCGCCCGTCGCCGGCCACTGATGTCCTCCTCCTCTCCCGCATCACCCCGCCGGCCTTCTCCCCACCCGCCGGCCAGCCGCCAGCCTGCACACAGAAGTGAGAGAAAGAAAGGATGAAGGGAGAGAAGAGGGGTAAGAAACAAGGGCTGACATGGACACTCGACATGTGGCTCCCACGCTGACTCAGCCGTCACATCAGATAAAACCGGGGTCAAAACCACTGAAGGATCTAAAGTGAACGGTTTTGTAAGTTGAGGGATGTCATATATCTGGTTTGCGGTTGGAGGACGATTTTGTAACTCGATGGCAAGTTGAGGAACCTTCGGTGTACTTTTTCCTTTCCCAATTTATCTCCAACTTTTCACATACACGTTTCCTAAACTGCTAAGCGGTGTGTCTTCTGTAAAAGTTTTCTATAGGAAAGTTGCTTTTAAAAAAAACGTTCTTGGCTTGATCAACCGGTATGATCGCGAACAGACTTTTGATATGCTTGTAAGTTGAGTATGTGTTGCTATTTCTCAACGGCATCAGTAGAAATATAATTCCCAGTAATGGCGTATAAACACTCTTGGTATATTATGGTTGCAGACTTCATCCGTAAGCGCACGGATATACCATTGTAGCATTTCACCGGAGAGTATTCCAAGGGTATCGTATTTATTTAATCCCATGGAAAGATTATATTAGAGAGAACTATACTAATAATTTATATATTACATGTAATAATCAAAGTTTAAGCAGGGGTTAAGATTATTAATAGGGTAGAATGACACACAGAAAGAGAATTATATACTCTCATTATAATTTATCTAAGCTAAGTGGGAAGAAAATAGAAATAATCTATTCCTATACTTCTAATATACATGCATATTATACATACATCCAAGATATATGATTACTTTGCTAATACCCTCTTTCCAATGCACTCCTGGTGCTTCGAGAAGCCACCCCTGATTAACGAGTTTCTTACGACAATCCATCATGACCATCCAACCGGGGCTAAATATGGAGAAGTACCCTCCCCAGAAAAGTAACTTAGGATTATATACACGCGCGGAGGAATACCAGTGCTAAGCTGTCACCATCAGCGGCCCACCTCGACGTATCCGCAGCATATAACCACAAATAATGATATCCAATAATCTAAACACCACGCTTAAATTACCAAATACTACTCTAATATCATCGTCATGACATAGAGCAATCGTATGCACGATCATTATACCCACACCATTGCATTTTCCAGATAAGCTAGCATCATAATCAATATAGTTTGAATGTATGATAAAGTTGGTACTCATATACTCGGAAAGTAGTACAATACCAGAGTAGTATCTCTACTACTTAAAAAGTCCGTAGTGGTGGTGGTGAGGCCATTCCAGGCAGACACGCGGAATATGAACCATTCGATCGTCAAATCCATCGGTTCAGAATAGGCAGATGCGCTTCTCTCCGCATCCTTATCGAGCGACGCCTCCCATCGCGACACAACTCCCCTCTCCTTTTTCTCCGCCTCTGCCGCCCACTCCACCCAGCGCCGCTTGACGCCAACGCTCGTCGCCCGAACTAGCCGCCAACCCCCGTCCTCGGCGCTACTCCACCGCGCATCGCCTGCCGCCGACGACCGTCGCCATCGCGCCCTACCATCGGCGACCGCCCTGCCCCACCTGTAGTAGAATCCCTGCCTCCTCCGCCTGTCACCCTCGTGCCCGGCCGCCTGTCGCATCCGCCCGTCACCCTCACGCCTAGGGGGCTACTCCGCCCCGCATCGCTTGCCACCGTTGCCCGCGCCCAGCCATCGGCTGCCGCCTCCGCTTGTCGCCCTCGAGCCCTGCCACCGGCGGCCGCAAATACCTGCCCCCAGCCTCTCCTCATCTTCTGGATTTTTTTCGTCGCGGCCGCCGCCATGCAGATCAATCGATCCACCCGCTGTTCGGTCTCCCTCACACCATCATGCATTCACGCCTCCTCGTCCTCACGATTCACACCTCCTCTTGATGCTGCAGCCGCCGGATTCGGGAGCTACAATGCGAGAGAGAGCTTGATTCTTCTTGCTTGAGGTGTGTGTTGGAGGGAGTGAGCTGAGGGCTTTATATAGCTTGAGAATAACGGTTACGACGGTTGGAAAGGTTGGTAATACCCTCCAACCGTCATTAGGGAGTCATCTCAACCGTCTAGCCAAAACCTGGATCCAACGGAGCCACGGCTGGTTCGATTGAACCCTGGGCTGACCCAACCAGCCGACGGTTTGACAGGCCTCCTCTTTGTCCTCTCCTATCTTCAGACTTGTGAATTTTGGCCATTTTTAGTCATGTCAATTCTGTGTTCTTGATCCATTTGTTCATAAGTCTGATCTTTGACAGCGTCCGTGATTAATCGTCCATTTTATTGTCGAATCGCCTCTATTTTATGTTTATTATATGCAAAAGGTTAGGAAGCCTAGTGCTAGTGGAATATATCTTATTTTGACACAATATGCATTGCAAGCATAACTTATTTCTCCTTTATTTTTGGTAATATTGATGGGCGAAACTGATCGATAACGACCGTCAACAAAACCCCCCAAGCTTGAACTTTTGCTTGTCCCGAGTGAAGGACTCACAAGAATAAAAACTTGGTTGCTGATCAGGAGTTGCTTCCACGCTGTATATCTCAAATGTACAGGTGCAGGGTATGTATACTATCTCTCAAATCAAATAAATTTGGCGCGGTGGCTTACTCTTACCCCTGATTCCCACGAGACATTACCCTTCCTTGTCTTGAGAAGTTGAGAGACATTACAACAATAAGAGCACTAGTCACCCAATCTTCACTTAACTTTGGATGTGTTTCCTTGAAATTTTTTTCATGGCAGCATGGCATATTTGGAAGCAAAGGAATGGATTAATCTTTCAAACTGTTTAGCCATCAATTCAGTCATGGAAATCTATGTTTGTTAAAGAAGTTCTTCTGCATATGTGCAGAATGAAAGATCCACTCAAGCATTCCCTTTCTAATTGGATACAAACTTTGTAGCATATTTGTTTTGCTTTCCCTTTGTATCTTTGTACATATTTATATTTTATAAAATTTAAACTGCTGGGCAAAGCCCTAGCAGTACTTTCAGTCAAAAAAAAACTTTGGATGTGTATAGTTCATGCCAAAATTAGAAGTTTGGTTGAAATTAGAATGATGTGACAGAAAAGTTGAAAGTTTATGTGTGTAGGAAAGTTTTAGGCCGAGTTTAGATCCAAAGTTTTTCTTCAAACTTCTAACTTTTCCATCACATCAAAATTTTCTTACACACATAAACTTCCAACTTTTCCATCACATCGTTCCAATTTCAACCAAACTTCTAATTTTGACGTGAACTAAACACACCCTTGATGTGATGGAAAAGTTGAAAGTTTAAAGAAAAATTTTGGAACTAAATTCGGCCTTTATATGCAAATGATAATTACTGTGCTTTGGAATGGGGGTTATAAGTAAATGTTCTTCCTAGAAACCTACTTGCTCCATCGAAAAAAGACAAACATGGGATTCCGTGTTCAACGTTTGACCATCCGTCTTATTTAAAAAAATTATAAAAATAATTAAAAAGACAAGTTACGTATAAAATATTAATCATATTTTATCATCTAACAATAATGAAAATATTAATTATAAAAATAATTTCATATAAGACGTACAGTCAAACGTTGGACATTGAAATAGAAATTCAGGATTTTTTTTTTTTTTTTTACTACTTGTACTGACACTTTTGATACTGATAGCGTGTAATGTACTCCAGGTCTCCATGTGTGTGGGCCCGGTCAATTGCACCTTCGTCTCTTCGGCTTCCATCTTCGTACTTCATCTGATCATCTCCTTTTCCCATCAGAATTCAGAAGCCTTTCGCACCTCGCCACGCACCAGTGTGCTCTCACGCGGGTGTACTCGCCGACTTCCTGGGCGCCACAGACGGAGTCGCCCACACACCAGCCGCACACAGCATCACGAGAAACAGTAGCGTCCTGATTCCCCCAAATCTCGGAGCGCACAGGGACGTTCCCTACCGCAAGTCACTGATACGTGGGCCCGTTATTAACGTGGGTCCCACGTGTCAGTGGCGTACGAGCTGTGAAGGGGGCGTGGCTGCAAACTTCCCTCTCGTTCAAATCAATCCACGAACCAAACTCCTCTCCCTCTCTCTCTCTCTCTCTCTCTCTCTCTGCTCGTCTCGTCGCCCACTCCCACCACTTCCCCTCCCCTTTCAGGAAAAACCCCAACTCCAACCAGTCTTAACTCAAGCTCCACTCAACCCCAGCCTCATCAAACCCTAACCCCAGCGTGTCCCCAATGGCGACCCTCCGCGCGCGCAAGCGGGGGCGGGGCGGCGCCGGCGCCGGCGCGGCGGCGGTGCTCGGGGCGCTCGGGCTCGGGGGCTTCGCGGGGCTCGACCTCCACCGCGCGGCGCCCGCGGGCGAGGCCGAGCTCGAGCAGCTCGCCGCGGCGTACGACCGCGCCTCGGGCCGCATTTCCGTCTCCATCCGCGGCGCGGGCGTCTCCGCCTCGCCCGCGGACCTCGCGGCCGCCCTCGGGCTGCCGCTCGGCCCGGCCGCGCTGGGCCCCGAGGTGGACGCGTCCGTGTTCCGCTCCGAGGAGGCGATCGCCGCCGCGAGGGGGTTCCTCCGCGATCGCGTGCTGCTGGGAGGCGGTGGTGGTGGTGGCCGGGAGTTGCCGGGGGAGGCTGCGGTGGCGCTGCGGCTGGTGGAGGAGGGGAAGGCTTACGCGGTGGATTGGTGCCGGTTGTTTTGGGAGTTGCTGAAGATGGATTTGGTGAGCGGGAAGCCACGGCGCTACGCGCCGCACCTCCTCCGTCTGATCGAGTACCAAAGGCCCGAGCTTTTCGCCGAGGTTGATGGGAGTTCGCCTCTTGGGAAAAGAAGGAAAAGCGCGGCGTTTTCGCGGCAATGCCAGTGGGAAGATGAAAAGGAGACGGACTTGATTGACGCAGAGTGTGGAGATTCTCGTACCCAGGCGGCTGAAGCAGAGGTGGAGAGGAGCAGCCAGAGCATTGGAGACTTGGAGGAGATGCCAGTTTTTGGAGAGCGCAAGCAATTCAATGCTGTTGATCTTGTGGGTTACAAAAGTTCAATTGTTGGATTGGGGGAATGGATCCATGGAGTGAACGAGGGAAATGCGGAGCTTGGATCTCAGAAAAGCTTGCCTTCAGAAATCGAGGTTTCGGGCTGTGAGATGGGAGGTAATGCTGCTGCTGGTTTGACCGCCAAAGATCAGAGCTCGAATGATTCGTCTCTCCTTAGCCTTCTTCGCACAATGGATGAGCAAGATGACTCCTCAAGCCATCAGAATGTGATCTCCGGGGCCAAGCCCCAACCAGGGCCAAATCAGCAGAGCATAATTGAGATCGAAGATGAAGAGGATGACGATGATGATCAGGTGGGTGTTGGTCATGTCCCTCCCAACATTCAAAATGGACATTTTGGCCTCAACAATTATTTTGTGCAACAGAGGGCAACAGAAGGCTTTCAAAATGATCAAACGCTTCCATCTTTCCTTGCCTGCACACAGCAAATTAAAGCTTGCATGGATGACAACTTCTTGGATAAGATGAAGGCTCTCATGGATGCTCGAGCTGCTAACCAGCGCATGATTAACATGATAACACAAAAGGATTATATGATTGCAGCCACCAAGAGGGACATACTGGAGGATCTTGGAGCAAGGCACGTTATGATCAGTCAATTCGAACATGACATTGAATTGATGCGTCTCACCATTCAACAATACCGAAAGTTGTTTGAGAACACTTCTGCTGCATATCTAGAGTATAGGAACAGGATGTCACGTGAGGAGGGTGATGGTTCATCTCTGGAAGTTATTGGCATAGCTGATGAGACGGAGCAATTTGTTAGGATGCAGCAACTGGACATTTATCAGAGGCTTAATAAGTTTCAAAAGCTTTGGCTCACGAAATATTCAGATCTTGTTGGGCATTTGACAAGAGTAGCAGAATGCATGACATACCTCAGTAATGGACTGCAAAGACTGAAAGATTCAACAACAATTCCCGACCTTAACAATGGCAAGCCTCAACTATGAATTATGTCTTCATATTTCCATTATCCTAAAAACTTTAGTAAACCAACTCATTTTTGTTCTACCCGCAGGCTTGGAAGGCGAAGAATTGGGCAAAGAATTGCTGAGTAAGACAAAAGATGCAGAGCGGGAAGGTGAAGGGGATCATTGCAGTAGCGCTGTAGTGGTGAGTTTAGGTCTTGTGCTGCTGAATTTTAAAGTACATTGAACGATTGCTGTTTGAGCAATTTGTTTAGCCAACGCAACAAATATTTGCCACGACTTGGAAATTTGCCATAAAATTGCTTGCTACTTCCATCAAAAGTAGATGGCCCTGAGGTTTTTTATCCAATATGACACTCTAGCTAATTGCACTGAAGCTTCGAAGCCCAATTACTATCAACCCCCTCGTTTAGCCTCAGCTTATAAGCATAAGCGCAGATTTAAATTTTAAAACTTAATTTTAGAGTTGATTTTAGGGTTTTCCGTATAAATTATTTTTAATGGCTAATAAGCCATTTCGCTAATATTAAGTTAGTATAAGCCAAACGTGTGTTTCGTATCTTTCTTCAGTTTTTCTTTGGCACAATGCCGGAGCATAACATGTCATGATGCTACGGTGCTGGAAGGAAAGCAGACATATTCAGATCCTGACATTGCACTTACTTTGCAGATAGATGAATTAGCACAACCTGATCAGAGGAATGATAAGGAGAGCATGATTGTCAATGGAGTTTCTGGAATCTGCAACGAAGATGAGGTGTAGCTTCACAGGGCACAAGTTAGACAAGAATGTTCTGTTGATGGGTTTAACCTAGAGTCAGTTAATTGTCTAGGGTTTGGTCATGTGGGCCTCAACAGTTGCCCTAATTAATTACTATGTTAAAATGGTTTAGCCGTGGATATTGGATGGTACTGTGACTATGGTCAACAACTTTGTGCATGAATGACTTCTGGCACCTTGCTATTTTTATCTGTTTCGAGTCCTATGGACAAGTTCCTCTGCATGCTGGATAAACACGCACGCCGTTGATTTTTCTGTCCCTAGGAATCACTGTGGGATCTCTTCGAAACCTCATAAACAGTCACTCTTGTCTTGCTCGGTGATTCCTTTATAAGATATTTTCTCTTAGGCTATTCACAGTGTAAGCACCGGTGGTAGGGTCTTAGTCCAAAAAATTAGCCTAAAGACACCATTCCCCACGGTACAAGGATCCTATTTTACGTGACCTAGTTGGATTTAGACACTGTACAAGGAAACCGGCACCCACAACGCTCGTGACCTGGTGGAGGGTAGCGAGGGGACCGAAGGAAATTAATTTCCTCTCCTACCCCCGTCTTCTCCTCTCTTTCTCCTCCTCCTTCGTCTTCTTCGCTGCCTCCTCCCACTCCGCCTCAGCGCCTCCTTCTCCTCTCCCACGCCGCCTCCTCCTATCGTCCCAAGCAGTAGTTGGCGGCGTGGTCTTCCAGAGTTGCGGCGGTCGTCGGTGGCGACTTCGGTGGTCTTCCGGAGGCTCGCCGGCACCTCCTCTCCCTCGATCTTGGCGGCGGCTCGCCGGTGCGCGAGCGGCCGCCGGTTCTTGGCGGCGCAGGGACGCCGGTGCGCGGGCGGCCGCCGGTTCTTGGCTCGTCCGGATCCGAGTTGTGGTGGCGGTTGTCGGCACGGGGCCCCGGATTCGCCGCCGGATTTAGGGGTCGTGGTGGCGGATGTGGTGGCCGCGGCGGGGGCAGCGGCAGGAGCGGACGTCGCGACGCCGACGGGAAGCCGCGGCGAGGAGGAAGCGGGCACGCGGCGGCGAGATTGTTGATTGTTGTTTTTGTGCATGTGAGATGTGATGCTTCTTGGTGATTCCTCTTGTGTTCTTGGGACGGATCGAGTTCTTTTTTCTGCGTTCTTGCTTGAGGTGTTTCGGTGGCGGGAAGAATCATGGGCGAATCAGGGTTTTCTCCACTCGATGCGGCGCGAGGGCACAGCGCGGCCAAGAACCACACCCCACAGCGTGCGCGCCTCGTGTCTTCCTCTCCTTCTCGCACCCTCGTTTTGGCGAGGTTTCGCGCGGCTCTACTTGGGGGCGAGGAGGTTTGCTAGGGTGCGATTCCTTCTGCCACGTATGCTTCAATCCGAGCTGGCACTGTGTAGCACCGGTCCAGCTCACCGCACTGTGAGAGGCCTTACACTGCAGGCAGTAGTATCAATTGGTTGACTATGGAAGAAAACCGTCTTCTTCAGACGTCAATGGCCTGCCTGTGGTTCCATTCATGCGGGACCCCTTGTAGGCCTGTATCTTCTTACTTCTCCCTCCATTCCCTAATATAAGATATTTTGATATTTTGTTTGCACGGTTTGACTACTCGTCTTATTAAAAAAAATGGAATTATTATTTATTTTATTTGTGACTTACTTTATTATCCAAAGTACTTTAAGTACAACTTTTCGTTTTCTATATTTGTATAAATTTTTTGAATAAGAGGAGTGGTCAAACGTTAAAAAAAATAGTAAATATCCCTTATATTAGAGGACGGAGGTAGTACGAGTTGCTGATACACCAGATGAGATGAGGATCATGTTCTCTGTAAAGAGAAAACGAGCATACCTGGTTTGGAAAATGGCATGAATTTTGATGTCATCCATTGGGCATACCTTTTTTAAAAAAGAACAAGCCTAATCATATCAGATTTTTTTGAATAAGTTTACTTTAGGTTACTTAATTTATCGTCAAGACTAAAATTCGTCCATAAACCGTGATACCTGATATGACACGTTCTCAAAATCAATGCAAATGAGGTCGCAAGGCAGTTTTGACGGCAATTTCGATTGACGTGATGCCTATGTGGTGCTGACAAAATCAGAAAAAATCATAGGACCCACATGTTAGTGAGTGTTTGGCTAAAAATAAAAAATTACAATGTGACCCATGTCATCAACCCTCTACAGAGAAATATGTCATGACATGGGTCTGACTGTAATTTTTTTTATTTTTAATCGAATACTCCTTGACATGTGAGTCCCATGTTTTTTTTTCTGAATTTATCAACACCACGTAGACATCACGTTAGCTAAAACCGGCTTAAGATCTTATTGCGGTTTATAGACGAACTTATTCCTTTTTTTCCCCCTTGCAAGGGTTACCGGGAAAAAATGTTGGACTGGGCTTTGGCATCAGCTTCAACTGGCGGCTTGGGCCTGGCCTGTGCTTAGGTTGGCATGCATTTTGGCAAAATTTTGAGCAAGGTTCCATTTGATATTTTGGTGATTCATTTCTTGCGATGAATCTTATGACTTTGTTTGATAGCTAATTTTAAATCTTTTCAGTTTGGCTAATTGTTTTTCTTCAATTGTAGGTTGAAATGATGTCAACATTGTGTTTGAAAAACATGAAACTACTGTGAGAGAATTAACAGTTAGATAACATATAATGTGATGTCTAAAGATAATTTGATTTCTTAAATAAGTTATTATACTCCGTAATGATTACAAATTCATTTTTCAACAACTTTAGAAATAAACAAATCACAACACAACATGATAATTGCCAACTAGGCCCAAGTGCCCAAGTTGAATTTTGGATTCTCTGGCCCACTTTTTCCAATATACATTTGGATTCTCTGTCTTGCAAGAGGCGAGTCAAAGAAGCATGATAGGGTAACTCTCAGCTAATCTTGGCCATCCAATTAAAGATGAACGGACAAGATAATACTCCTCTGTGTTCAGGTGCATAACCAGCAGGAGATAGTAGAATCAATATATATCGAATACTTTTCTTGTCAAATGTATCACGTCTATTTGTAGTATTATCTATAAACAATTGATTATTGATAGTAGAAACATTTTTTTTCTACTAGCAGTAGAATTATAATAAATACCTCAAATCATTTTTTTACTGGTGATAGTACCATAGTAGAATATTACTAACATGGATCACTGTAAAAGTACTACGGTCATTCTTGTTAAAATTAAGTACCCGCTTAAGGATTGTATGTGGTCAGACTTTTTAGACCTGCGCTACAACAACTTTATAAATATGTAAACTATACTTATCAAATGATATGTTAGCCGTCTGAACTTTCGTAGGAAAAAGTGCGTGTACGAGCGTGTTCGCTTGATGCAAACATTGCCTCTGGATAGGGAGTGAGGGGTTATCCAGAATCAGATCATCGCCCATAGATAAGCAAATCTCTTCTGATTGTGAAAAAGATGTCTGAAAGGACCTAGTCGGCTACTCCAAATGTGGTACTATCATTATCCTCAACCATGCTATCCTATGGCTTCGTAGCAGTAGCACTGATTAATCACGCGATGCTTCTATCGAATAACCTTATCCTGTTGCTTTTGATCATCCACCTATGGGCGAATCAATTCCCTCTAAAGTCCTATTGCCTAGTGCCCTCGATTGGCCCAAGCTGCAGCATCTTAGTATAATCATGATCATAGTTGGGAGCATGTTTGGTAAGGTTCTGCACTCACTCCTGATGCCCCTGAAACTTGTATAATCCACAAAGCTCAATTACCAGCCATCCAATTTAATATGTGAGTGCGATGCTAGCGACATCGGCATGTTTATCTCGCCCCCAACACATGGATTTGGGACTACCCTATATTCAAAGGCACTGGGGGAGGTCATAAGCACTTATATGCACACATGTAACTCGAGCTGAATCGCCTGTCTCTCGGGTTGGTGCTTGCTTGCTCATCCATGGCCGGAGTCAGGCAGCGATCCAACCAACCACCGCTCGGTTAATCAGTCGGCTCGACGGATTGCTAGCTTGTGTGTGTATGTGTGTGTGCACGATCTTTTTCCGGCCATCCAACCGGATTCGCCAGGCCGGCCGGTACGGCAGGCGTCACCGGCGACTTTCCAAGTCACAGATCGCTGCTTTCGAGTTGGAGAACAAATCTGTGCTCCCACTTTTCCAAGCTTTTGAGTCGGAAGACCACTCACTCTCTCCCTCCCCTCGCGCGCTCTGCTCCCTTTTGTTTTCTTTCTTTCTTTCTTTCTTTCTTGGCAGCGTGACTGCGCAAAGAGGCGAGGCGGGAAGAACCGATGCGCTCCTGCAATGCAAGACCTGGCACGATCGCGATGGCGACGCCAGCGAGAGCGAGACCTTGACTGTAAATATATACTACTATATATTTCCTCTCCTTGCGCCAGTGGAGTAGCTAGCTGGAGCAGTGGAGTGTGGAGCTGACTGGTGCTTGCATTTGACTCGCGCGCTTCGGGTGCGTGCGTGCGTAACTGAGCAGTGAAGAGCACTGTTGTTGTTCTCTGCGTTGATTGGGAGCACTTGCGATCGCCACGGCGCACTGGTACCACGTTGAAATTTGAAATAGTAGAGAAATGTTTGGGTATTGATCGGTTGACTTGGAGATGCAGATGCATGCCATGCCACCCATACGCATATGTAGTGCACTAGTGCGTACAGCGTACCTACCGTGACCCAAAAATGTTTGTTCGTCCGAAAATGACATGTTAGAGCTTGTAAAAATCGCTGTAGTCCAAAAATGTGTGATTTTGTTCCTGTTGGTATTTATGAACATGGTAATTGGGGTAGAATATTGTAGCAGAAGTCAATAGACTGGCCCATTTGATCTGTATGAAAAGTATAAGAAATTTAAAGAATTTCCATCCTATAGAAGAAAATCTTAAGAAATCTTTGAAATAAAGGATTAAATCATATTCTCCCCATTGAAAACAAGCAAGAGACTCTACCACGTATTTTCATCTTCTTATGGTTGTTAATTCCTATGTTACTCCTACGTGTTTATCAAACTACTACTACAATACAATTTTAAAGCTTTTCTGTGTTTTTAATTTTATTTCTAGAGTTTTTTCAATTCTTATGTTTTTTACAACTATGTGTTTCGAAGAGGGTTTAAAACTAAAATGCGGGGAAACGTCTTTTAGTCTAAAAATCATAAAGATGTCAATGACAAAGAAAATATAAACTTTGCACTCTTTTCAGTGTCCCAAAAGATAAAGGTATTCCCAGGTCCAACTTTGTAAATCTGGGAGTACTTTATCTTTTCAGTGCCGTCTTGTTTGCTCGTCCTCTTCTCTCATCTCCCTAAATGACAGGATTACCTAGTGTAATTAAGGCGTCGTCACCGTGATCATGCTGTTTGCAGTTCAAAAATATACTACTAGGATTTGTCTCCCTTAAATTGAGTGAACAGCCGTTGAACTACAAAATCCTAGTTAAATCATCCTCATCCAAACAAGCACTGAAAAGGGGAACACTTGGGCAAAAAAAAATCTATGGGTCTCAACCGCAACTCCCACTTTGCCTAGAGAAATTCCATCAGAGCTTTATCCACTTTCCCTTCTTTGTACAAATACAAGAGACGGGTCTGCTCCTTTCCTTTGACAGCTACAAGCACCAAACACCTAATGGAGAACTTTCGTTCTCCTAATAAAGAAAAACACTTACACACTTATGTAGTTCATACTGAACCAACATGGAACGCTTGATGTATAAACGAAGCGAAAAATGAAACAAAAAATGGCTTAAAAATGGCCGCTGATTATTCGCCGCATATGCTACTGCTGTTGCGGCCGCGGCAGCTGGCTTTCCAAGTCTTCCATTTCCACGGCGTGGACTCCCGGCTGCCTCCTCGGCGACGGTCTCTCCCTGCTCAGCATCTTCATTAGCGACGCGCCGAGCACCCGCACCGGCGCCGAGCTACCGGCGGCCGCCTCCTCCTTCTCCGCGTCCTGCTTCTCGTGCACGCACCTCGCCGCCGCCGTTGACGGAGGCGGCGGCGGCGGCTCCACCCCGGCGCGGCAGACCGGGCACGACGAGCTGGACGCGAGCCACTTGTCGATGCAGGCGACGTGGAACACGTGGCGGCAGGCCGGCAGCACGCGCACCGCGTCCGCCTCCTGCATGGCGCCGAGGCAGATGGCGCACTCGGTGGTGCCGCCCGCCGCGTCGCCGCCCGCCACCTTCCCGTACGCCGCGGTCGGCAGCGCCGCGATGGCCGACGGGTCCAGCCCGACCTGCTTGGGCGGCGCCCCCGCGTTCACGGTCGCCAGCGCGGCCGCTTCCGCCGCGCGCCTGCGGTTCCGGCGGCGTACGTGGCAGACGTAGAGGTGGAGGAACAGGGCCAGCCCGAGCACGGACACGAACGCGGCGACGGCGGTGGCGATGAGCCGCACGTTGCGCCCCGGCCCGGCCGACGAGCTCCTCTCGCCGCCGCCGAACCACGCGGACCCCGGGTCGCTCACTCTCCCCGGCACGGCTGACGTCCGATCCATCGATCGATACTCCGCTTATCCGCTACACGCGAGCGCGAGCTAGTTGGCGGAGCTAAGCTTCTCCCTTGGTTTGGTGAGATGGCGCGCGGTTTGGGTGTGCTAAGCTGAGTAGTACTATCTGGTCTCTTTATAAGCTAAGCAGCCGCGCCTGCTTGGCCTTGGCTAATGATTTGATTTGGGAGGGTTTAGTGGTGGCAGGTTTAGGTTTATAGGCCTCGGACGTGTGCGACTGACCGTGACGCTCGCGTTGGGCGCAGCGGGTTGGTGAGTGCTCGTCCGGTTCGTGTGCCTGTCAGGTTCGCGGTTGTGGGGGCAAAGGCGGGGCCTCGACGGTGCGGGTGTTTGAGTTTCCTACGTGGCCATTAGTCCCCCATGTCCCCACGACAAGATGCGACTTGATGGCGACTCGAATCGCCGCGGAACACGTCGGTTGCTCGGTGCGGATTTTCCCCGGGATTTCTTAGCCCCGGAGGGAAGCGCGCGTCGCGCGAGTGCGGCACGGCACGGCAGCCGCGGGCCATGCAGCCAGGTGTTGGCCCTGTAGGCGGCCGACGGTGCGCCGACGCAGCAAATAGCCCCCGCGATGGAGAGACAAAGGAAGAGGATTTCATGCGAGATCTTGCGCTGGTTGGTTGGTGGTGACACTCGGCAGCTGTTTGGTTGGCTGTTTCGTGAAGGTTTGTTTATTCATTGTTCACGATGGTTACGGGAGTAATCGCAGCAGGGTGAACTGAGCTTTTGTGAACTGATTAATTGGCTCTCCTTGTATGGCAACACGGCTGTCAAGTGCCTCTATGTCTTGTCAACTGTCAAGTTCGTTGATGTGGAGGAGTAGTACTTGATTGGAGTACACTTTACTTCTGTACTAAGGTTGGATCAACAGAACACATATCCGTATTCCAAAGGCTTGTTCACTTGTTTCGAGTGGATTCATTCACGGCCTGATACGAAATTCAAGGCTTCGGCGCCGTACCGACGAGTACGAAGGAATCCACCAGTGAGCAGTCGTAGGATGGTGCCCCAGGTGGCCCATGGCCAGGTAGGATAGGAGTATGCCTCAGTTGATGCCAATTTCTGGCGTCGAGAGCACTAGTAGAGCAGTGATGAAAACCTGCTCTCATTCATCCAGAGTCCGCGGACGAGTCCGAAGGATGACTGTGTGAGTGAGCCTGGGATGGCATGCATGCAGCATGGCAGTGCTGCAGTGGCAATGCCCTCCTTTTTGGCTCAAACTACAGAGATGGAGTACTCCTAGTAGTACGTTCAGAATTGAAGACACCGTACACTAAAGTTGGTGCTGCTGCCGCAGAGCTGCTTGTATAGTTAAGCGGCAGAAGATTCTTCGGCTACAATACTCGACAACAAATTTCATCGGGTATATCTGCACCTTGATTGCCTCAAAACTCTAGCGGGAATGGCCAAATTGTTTGAGCTCCCTTTTATCAGGTGTAAAGACCGGAGAGATCGAGCCAGAGAGGTGCATGCACTTGCACTTTCTTTAGTTTCCCCGTTGTTGATGCTTAGCCAAAGGAATGACAACGATATCTGTTTCTCGAACTTATAGCATGCGAACGACTGAACGAGACATGGCTGTACTGTCTGGCCCAATGTTTAACTTAAGAATTAAGCTTTTAATTACTATAGTTGGCCCAAGGTATAGCTTTGCAGGGTTATTCTTTGATTTGGCCCATATACAAGTATACAACATCGCGTGGTCCAAGCAAACTCCATCTGGTCGGCTTAGCTTCGTTTAATTAGGCCCGACAATCGCCCTGCCTGCTGGGCCGAATAACGGCACAGGCGCCGCCTCAGGCCTCACCCAAACTAAACCAGCATGTTTCATCACGGGCAGGCATCGATACAGCATGATTCAGTTCTCAACAACAACAACAATAACAAAAAAAGGATACAGCATGATTCTTCGCAAAGGGGAGAGAAGAGGAAGCAATGCCGCATGATCGCGGGAATGCCATCTTTTGGCGCCTTTGGCACGAGCATCCGTCATGCATGGACTCCATCGTCGACATGCGCCGTCTTGGCGATCGACGTTGCAGGCGCGCGCTCATCTCCGTGTACGTACGTGTTGCGAATCCCCCAAAACGACGCGATGCGATCGATCTGGTCGGTAGCTGGTTAGAATAAGGTGCAGGTTTCCTCTCGTCTCGGAATGGCTATAAACTGGCTTGGCCGCTAGGGCGAACCGGCGAAGGATCGATCTAACCTAGCGCGTCGCCCATGTCTTGTATAGTCATCGTGGCCACAGGCGCGCGGGCGCGCGCAACGCGGACATACGGTGACGGCTGGGACAAGCTGAGGTGATCGAGAGACCGGCCGGACGCGCGCGCGCGAGGGGAGAAGCACAGATACGTTTTTGCGGCGACGGGGCGAACGCGACGTGTGCTGCAGGGCGCGGCTTTTCTCATCGCGTTGGACGAGCAAAGCAAAGGATACCAATGAGGGAGGCGACAAAGATTTTGCCTCTTTGAAGTAGGCTAGATCTGCGGCGGCGCGGGGGCGCCGCGGGGGGGGGGGGGGGGGGGGGGGAGGGAGAGGAAGAGGGGAGGGGGGTGGCGGCAACGGGAGTCCGGAAGAGTAGCGATCGAGAGAGATCTTCTCGTTCCCGGCCGGAAAAGCCATAGCCCATCATGCCTCCTTGAATCCAGAGCTGCATCTCATCAGAGTACTAATTAATTTATTACTTGATTAGTTAATTACTACCTCTGTCCCAGAATAAATACAGTCGTGAGTACTCGTGTCCAACGTTTGACCGTCAGTCTTATTTAAAAATTTTATTTTTTTTAAAAAAAATAGTCTTACATAAAATATTATTCATGTTTTATCATCTAATAATAATAATAATAATAATAATCACAATTTTTTTTCAAATAAGACGAACGGTAAAGCGTTGCAAAACTGTACTTATTTTAGAACGGAGGGATAATTAATCTCTCGGATCATCGATTAATTAAGGTATAGTACTTCCATCTAGCTAAGCTCTCGTTCCAAATGAATATAGTGACCTAGATCACACACACACACACACTTTAACAGAGAGCTACATATCGGATGGCCGAGTCCCTTAAAAAAATCGGGTGGTCAAATATTTTAGTTGACCATCTGATTAAACATTAAGTCATACAAGGTTAAAAAAAAATCAACAATTGAATTTTTTTTTTGTGAAACATGGTAAAAACACACAATGAAACATGTCGCTATAGCGTATGAAACATTGAGTTTCAACGGTTTAAAATACGTGTTTTTTAGTTAGAATATAATCATGTGATATCTTGTTATAAAGATTAATTACAACGGATATAGTGATGTAATCGGATCGTATATCGGATAAGTAATTTATGAGAAAAAAACATTTTAAAAAATAATAATATGTGTGTGTGATAGCGTGGGGAGAGAAGCATGTAGTTGGTTGGGAAATTGAAGCGTCCGATATTTTTCTTTTGATCGCTATACCGATAAGAAGTGTTCTACATGTGACAAACCGACAGGTACATATGAGCATTTCGTCTAAAATGAGAGAGCACTTCAAGGAAGAAAAATGTGGGAGATCGACGGTGATATTCTTTTGCATCTTTATTTCGTTTATTTTTCTAGCTACTTCTCCGCTAGCCATAAGATAGAGGTAGAAAGTACAACGGTCTGTGAGCACTATATGCAAAAGAGCGTGGCCTAGCTGGCTACTGGGGATCTGCTCCTATGGCAGTAGAAAGTGACCTATCCTCAGCATCTTCAAATGGGAAAGAGAGCCTGCAATCATTGTGTGCCATGCCATACTTTACCTATCATGTTTGCTGTCTGATCGAGCAAGCTGATGACTGATGAGCTGAGCTGAGCTCGCTACCAATGCACTCTGCATTTCTGCAATGCACAGGGGGGAGAGGGAGAGATCAGAGATAGATAGAGAGAGAACTAACTTTTTTACCCCTAATGGCAGCTTTTCCGTTCTGCGCTTTTACTTCCTTTAACGACGTAACAGAAACAATCTGTCTCTACTGATTAATTTTTCTTCTTACGAACTTATGATCAGTAATGATTTCCTGCTACGAGATTAGAGATGTCATCCAAAAGCCCACTTAATTTCATAATTATTGAAGGCACAAAACTGCGCACGTTGCGTACCAAACATGATTTGTCATGAGAGCATGAGAGTTGGCAGGGGAGAGATCTAGGAGCATGCAAAAACAAGAGCATCTCATGACAAATCATTATGTAAAGGAAAAAGTACGAAATACCCTTGAACTATCACGGTTGACTGAATTACCCCCTGAACTAGAAAACCAGATATTGATCACCCTGAACTTTTAGTACCAGGAGAATTACCCCCCTCAACTCAATTTAGAGCTGTTTTCTTCTACATTGCGTCCGCGTGGCAATCCAGTCAGCATTTTTCATTAAAAAAATGGTGAGACTCACCTGTCATACCTACTCTTCACTTATTTGGTTATTCCCAATCTCTCTCTCGCGTCAGTCGCGTGGCCGCAGGCACGCACGGGCACGGCGGTGTGCGGCGGCGACGACGCGAAACGAGGAGGGGAACCGGCAGGAGCTCGTCGCCATGCGCGACGCCAGCCGCGGTGGCCGCAGAGACCGGGCTACGCTCATCGCCGCCGACGTGGCGTTCTTCTTCTCGGCAACGCCGTGGCCGTCCGCCTCGTGAAGCACCTCGGTGCCAAGGTGGTGGTCTCCGTCGACCGCGGCTGCGACCGCTCCGACCTCACCTTCGCGGCACGGAGGGGCAGGCGGCGGCGCGAGACGAGGGAGCGGCAGACGGCGGCGCACGGGCCGGGCAGTGGGCAGCGGCGTGAGACGGTGTCTCAGGGCTCACCCAGTCCATGACGGTGGAGCCGCTGGCCCACGACACCGTCGACGAGGCCACGGACGACGACCGACGACGAGGAGGAGCTCGCCTTGGCCAGCTGCCGGCCTCTCCCCTTCTTCCTCCTCTCGCCGCCGGCTTGTTAGTCTTCAGAATAACTTTTGCACTGAAGGTATCATCACATAAGACTCTAAGACTGTTTGCATTACTGGTGTGCTTTGCTAAAGTATGAATGAAAAGAACTTTAACCGTTGGCACTCACTTTAACCAGAATTAGCACAGCATATGGAGGACGAGATAATCAGATAGGAAAACTCTCACTTCTTTTACTAAATCCATCACTCTGCCCTTCGACCTCGCAAGAATCACGCGTGGCTACATCGCATCCATTCGCTGCAACTCCCCATGACACGAAAGCCATCCACCGAAAGAAAAATGTGGCCATGAAAATTTGGTCGGAGCAACCGCGAGGGAAATTCACTGAATCCTCCTCCGGATCATGGCGCCCGAATCGTTCCAAACCAATACCAATCAATCCCCCAATAGCACGCACAAGCATGGCCAATGCAGCACGACGAACACCAGGAGGCCCCCGAGGTCGAGCAGGAACGCCGTCGTGGCCGCCACGCGCGCGTTGTGCGCGAATGCCGGCTGCGACACGGAGGACAACGCCCCCGCGGCGGCTCCTCCGCGCCGTCACCGCCGGACCTGGAGGAAGAAGGGGAAGGGAAGGGGTGGAGCGGCTGTGGTGAGGAGGTGGCGTCGCCGCCGCCGCTCGCCACCCAGCCGCGCCCGCCGCCGCCGCTCGCGCCACCGCCCACCTCTCCCCCTGCGCACCCCGTGAGAGAGAGAGGAAGAGGGGATGGGGATGTATGACAGATGGGTCCTACAACTTTTTAAAAAAGAAAATGCTGACTGGATTGCCACGTGTATACTACGTAGGACAAAACCACTCCGGATTGGGTCGAGGGGGGTAATTCGTCCGGTATTGAAAGTTCGGGGTGAGCAATGTCTGGTTTTCGGGTTTAGGGGGGCAATTCGGTCGACCGCAATAGTTCAGGGTGGTAATTCGTACTTTTTCCTTCTGTGAAATGAGTGAAAGAATGTCGTTTTGGGTTATTCATGGCATATTGTACCTCTATGGACTGTGGTACATTTAGGGTTTATACATTGTCAATTGTGGTGGAAAACGAAGAATTGAGCAAGGTGGTATTATTTCCCCAAGCGTGCCTCCTGCTTCTTTGTCAACCAAGAACCGTTTGTTGCCCCACACCCCCCCCCCCCAAAAAAAAAAAACTAATTAAGGCGAACACAAATCACTACCATATCTATCCCCTCCACCGTGTTATATATATGGTCAAGGTTGACATGACAACAATCCTATCGCCCTTATCCTAATCCTCTCTTGGTTAAGATTGGTTGGATTATAGAGGCTTCTTTTGCAGCAATAACCATATTGAATTCTCTGTTTGGGTAGAGCACATGCCATCCGTTTGTCTGATCATTGTAGTCAATGCTCTACATATTTGACAGAAAACTCCACGACAACCCTTTTATTGAGTACTCGTGTCTAGTAAAGCTTACACAAAATCTACAGCTCATCAACAAACCTCAAATTATGCCCTTTCAGTGAAGGTAGCTGAAGGGTCACTGGTTTACAAACAATGTACATGCTAGTAGTATAGGCCAATGGATGTAGTCGATGCGGTAATATTGCAACTCCGACCCCTGCTGGGGCATGCCCAACTCAATCTATTGGTATTTGGATGAATATCCAAGATTTATTTTTTTACAAAAAATATATATATGGTATGTAATGCGTATGTGTATGAAAAAAGGTTGTATTTAACCTAAGAGCCCATATTCATATTCAGTACATAATACGTATGCTATATATTCCATTAATACTATGTGATTCTATACATGCCAAATACTAGGGGTTTTACCTATAAATATTTATTTTTACCCTATTATATTTCGTCAAAAAATCCTAGGCCCACCCTTGGCTCGACCTTATACTTAGTATGGTCCTGTGTACTATAAGATGTTCTATCCAAATGATGTACCGGGGATTAATTATTTCCCTGAACTTGGTCTTTAATCTACCATATAATAACTTTAAGTCTTAAAAAAGGACAATCATGCTTTTTGGCAAAATTTACGTTTTTCCTCCCTGTGGAGAAGTGGTCCTACGGCTACAGCGCTAGGCCTCAAGCTACGATCGAGCTGATGATCAATTAAGTCTAGAGACTTGGCAGCTTTAAGCTCAAGCTAATCGATCCTACCTAGGATAGACTAGGTTTGTTTGAGCCTAGCTCATCAACATACTCACTTTGTCAAATAAAAACAATATAGTACGATATGTGACATATATAGTACTATCAATATGGATAAATATTAAATTTATTTTATATGGTACATATGGGATATATGACATAGACTCCCTTATATTTCATACATATGACTTGCGTATATTATCATTAAGGATTCTGCTGGCTTGATTTTTGAAACAAATGAGGTTCAATTCTCAGACATCTCTTGTAATTTAGCTATAATAGTCATCAATCTCACGCAATAAAGACATGTTATTTTCTGAATTCGTGGGGATCATATTAAAAGAAAAGATCCATATTAGTAATTAGTTACAACTCAATTACTACGTACCGATTTTCGATTTTAAAACTATAAACTAATAAAATGCTACATCGAGAATCCAAGATGGAAGTATCTAAAAAAATACCGCAAGTCTTTTGAGTAAAAAACTTTCAGATATAACTATAGTATAATTGAAGTGTAACTGCATTGTAACTACACTGTAACAGTATAACTGCACTGTAACTACTATATAGTTTATGTAAAACTTGCATTCAACTATGGTTTGATTAGCTAGCACTAAATTCTTACACGTGACATGTTTGAAAATTTATTTCTTGCAACTTTTTCTCTTCACGCACAAATCTTAAGGCGATCCGATGGTCACAAATCTGAAAGTTTTTTGGGGGGCAAAAAACTTAAGAAAGTTTTCTAGCAAATCCAATCCAAGATAGGTTCAACTCCATATCGATCTATCAATATCAAATTTTGGAGTTAGGAAATAAAATAAATCTAAATAGTCCAAGGTACCTCCTAGAAATCACATGTTTTGTTTAATACAGATTCTCAATAAAATCTACAGCCATGATAAAATGACCTACATTTAAAGCCTAAATATTATGTGATCATATATCATATATACTTATATAGTTCATCCCACTAACTGTAGTTAATGCTATTTCTCTTTTCTCTCATTAAGCCACATCACCCCAATTATTTCTAGCCTTTAGATGATATATCTATGGTCCAAATTATCTCTTATTTCTTAAAAACATGCAATCTCAATTATTTTTAGTCTCAAAATTGTATCAAATTGTTCTCGTATTGACAATCAAATTACATCTTATTTGTCTATATTATGCAACTTAATTTTTCGCAGCAACGCGGCGGTGTATTCATCTAGTTAATATGGGAGTTTTCTCAGAGCGCCCATTTAGTAAAGGTATGCATATATAGATAGATTGTCATACAAAACTAACATTAGTTCCAACCATGACATGCAGAAAATTATATAATAACTTATGTAAATAAGAAATGATTATTTATCTAAAAGTTGAGGAGGGAGGGGGATGGGGCCGGGAGTCAGCTGGTAGCTAGCCTGGTACCCATTTGGTAAAAATCCATAGTTTTTGCTTTCAACCACACAAAATTGTTTCTCTGCCAAAATAATAGCAATCTTCCTTTATTGAACCGTCGTGCATTTTTTTTTAAATGTTACTATATATAGATCTTCGAGTCATATTTGGCCACAACATATATAGCAAAAGTCAATATGCTAAAATGAACAATGTACTCAAACAGTAGCCCTTTTTAATTTTTTTAGAGAAAAGAACATTTTAATTAATGGTCCGGCTATGGGGAGAAAGTTCGAACACAAACATATGCTGCTGCAGCTAGCCCTTTAAAAGGAGTAAATATTATCGTCAATGATATGCATGCATGTAATATTTTCATGAATCCGCAAGCAAATTCAGAGAATATGGAGGCTTACATGCAAAACAAGGAAAGTCCCAGCCTAGAAACAAGAAGAAACAAACATGACAAGCTACTGCACTACTAGCCACTGCCGAATTAGATGGTAGGATGTTGATACGTTGTTGTCCTCAGCCTCTTTCATACTACAATTGTCAGAAGTACGGTATGACATTCAATTTCAGAAGATTCAGTCTGTGAATGAAAAGGATCTATACCCAAAGCAGTGAAAGAAAAGAAAGAGGAAAGGTAGAGATAAAAATACCATTCACTCTTCCAATAATAGAGGAGCGTAGAGTGATAGTTATAGTAGAGAGCAGATGCCCCCCTTGTGTTCCTGCCCTGCTCCTATCATTATCACCATGGAAATACAACAGAAGCAACAGCTGCAGTGGTCTAAATTCTTTCTTAATTAGCCAAACTTTTTTCTTAATCTGAATCCCTTTTACTGCTTTCATCCTCCTGTACCTCCCATATTGCCGATATATTATTGCAAAAAAAAATTGGCGCCTTTATGGAATCAGGATCTAGGACAACCTTCGAATTGGCTAAAGGCCGGAATCTTCTTCAGAATAATCAGATATAAGAAACATTAAAAGATCCAAAGGGGGGAAAAGCCATCAAGATCATAGACCATATCATCTCTTCATCATCACATCTTGTCCATGCCGAGAATAAAGGGGAAAACAGCAATAGCAACTAATGCAACAGCAACAGCTGCCTAGTTCCAAGGGAACGTACTCTTAATAATTAATTAAGCCTTGGTTACACATGCATGAAGACAGCAGATAATAATGAGGGAAATTTCATCAGCCAAAATCCTACATGAAATGACATACACGTACCCTTAAGCAGATCAGTGAAGTGTGTTAATTAATAGAAAGCACACACCTCCTGCATGCGCGCCATGCATCAATTCTTCAGTCTCTTCTCATCACCTGATCACCTCACTTCCGTGCTCCTCCTCGCCCTCAAGCCGCTGCGCCGCCGGCGCGAGAAACCCCATAAACCCGCCGCCGCCACCGGCGCCGCCAACGAGATGGCCGAAGCCGACCTGTCCGGCAGCCATTGTCGACGGCTGGTGGTGGATGGCTGCGACTGCGAGGGGGTCTAGCCATGCGCGGGCTGACGCCCACCCGCGACCGCTGGACTGAAGGGGTTCCCCATGCGAGAAGAGCTGGCTCTGGTCCAGCCCTTGCCGCGACGGCATGGCGAACATGTAGCCGTCGCCATTGCCGCCGCCGCGGCCGTCTCCTGTGCTGTTCTCCGGGGCATGCCATGCCTGCATTCTCTGGCTGTGGTCGGGCCAACCTGGAACGCCTGCACTCGAGATCATACCGTGGTGGTTCGACGAGACATGGCTGAAGATCTGGTGCTGGTTCGACTGTAGGGTGAGGCACAGCTCCTGCGGCTGCTGGTTGCTTGTCGTGCGCGACAGGAGGTCCGGCGGGGATCCCCTGTACTCGTCGTGTCCGGCGGAGGCGGCGCCGCTGGCTGTGGACGAGGAGGGGAACAGGGACTTGACGCTGTCGGAGACTCGATCTGCCCCCAGCGAATGTGGAAGGAAGGAGCCAGCAGCGGCCGACGCGGCGCTGGTCATGGTGCCGCCGGTAGTGTTGCCGAACCCGTAGGACGTCGAGGTCGCCTGCTCGGTGGCCTCGGGCTGCTCCGTCGACGCCGCGGCGGGCGGCGGCGGGGCCTCGGCGCGGTCGGGGAGCTCGTCGATGGCGGCCTTGGCGTTGCGCATGAGCCAGTCGACGGCCTTGCTGGGCCGGTCGTAGCCGAGGCGGTCCTGCACGTCGTAGAACCGGATGGCGGTGTGCGCGGCGAGGCGGACGCGCCGGTCCCGCAGCCCGCGCGCCGTGCACACCTTGCTGTGCCGGTCCTTGCGCCCGGCCGCGGACCGCACGATGCGGCCTGCCCCGAATGCAGTGGCCAGCGCTTCGACGGGCGTCGACTCGCCGCTGCTGCCGCCGCCATCGCCGCCGCCGCCTCCACCTCCCGGCCCCCGGCTCGCCGGCTGCCTGATCCGGTGTTGCAGGAAGCTGCCGAATCCCTGCTGCTGCTGGTAGATCTGAAGCTGCTCATGCGCTTGCTGCGCCCTCTCCTTCTCCTGGAGCAGGTAGTGCAAGGTGCTCGCGCTGGCGGTAGGGTTGCTCGTCCAAGGGTCTAAGCCCTTGGACAACTGGTTCTTGTCTTCCTCCAGCTTGAGCTCCCTCTCACCCACAGTTAACCGGAAAGGAGAAGAGCGAAAATTAAAACAAGAAGCTAAATTCTATTCCTGCATGGGGTTTGCCAAGCTCAGCTCAGCTCAGCTCAGCTCGCCATCCTGATGAGAGGGAAAAAAGATACAGTGGCCATGGGAACCCCACAGCTCCATGGGCAGAGCAAGCACGCACACACACAGTCGCAGCAGCTTAATAGCTATAGCGGCGCCCAGTGCAGCCGCCCGGCCGGCCTCTCTTTTGTGAAAGTGACAAGAAAAGAGGGCAGCGCAGCGTAGCGCAGCTAGCCCAGTGCAGATCTTATCTTGGCAATCTAGCGCTTTGTGCTTGTGCGCAGCTCGCTCTTGCTAGCTCAGCTCGCAGTACTGGCTACCCTTAGAGGGTGCCAAAAGAAGATCAAGAAAAAAAAAGAGCTCCCAAAAGGCAAGATAATTGTTAAAAAGCATGTGTGTTTTTTGCTTAATTATCACTATTCAAGCGATCATATATATATATATATATATATATCTGTACTCATTTTTTTGTTCTCTCTTTTTTTTTCTCCTTCGTGAGTAAAGTGGAGGAAGAGAGAGATTGGTAGGGTGGGGCTATGGAAGTATAGATCGATAGGATGATGCAGGGAGAGGGGGGCGCCGCAGACAGGCTCACAGGGGCAGCAGGAGTCAGGGTGCAGGAGCAGCAGGACAGAAGCTAGCTCTGGTGAGATCACGCCCCCATCTCTCCAATTTCCCTCAAATTTCCCCAACCTTAATTGCGTGGGAGAAGCCCACATTGAATTCCTCCTCTCAATCTCTCATCACTCGACTCTTTCTCGAGAAGACTGTGCTACACCAATAGGAGAAGCCCACGCATGCATTGTATCGATAGATCACCCACCCGCTGATTGTGTACTGTTTCGTTGTGTCTATTCAGTTGCAAAGCTGAGCACAACTGTGATGGAGAATAACTATAGTGATGGTCATGCATCACATCTTTTTTGGGTGGGTTTCATCTTCGTTAAGCTAGCTAGCATATATTCGGATTCAGTAGATACACTGCACCTTTTAATATATTTGTACTATGAAACTTAGGAATGGAAAAGCTTCAAATACGCGAGAGTTAATTGTTTTTCATGTGAAATTCCTGAGCAAAATACTGTCAATTCTAGACAGGATGGAGCACAGGACCTAATGTTTGAAGTTACTGACTATATAAAAGTTTTTCATGTGTACAATACGTTCAGTTATTTAGCACTTCTATTCGTAAGTCTATGTTACTCTATTTATACTCGTCTAGAGTTGAAGTGTTCCCTGTGAACGCAGGGATTTAACTGAATCTATTTCAATTTCAGTTTTGTAGGCCTAGCGTTGGATCTTCATAGGAATTTTATAGGAAGTAGTTCAATTCCAACAAAATAAAAAGCAAATCCAGCGTTCCAAACATGGCCTAGTGTTCATATAAATATATATGATGGAATTAATTTCCATTTGCGTGGATTTGTTTTTTACTCCCTCCATTTTATATTATAAGTCGCTTGATTTTTTTCTTAATTAAAGTCTTTTGGGTTTGACCAACTTTATAGGAAAAAATAGCAACATTTAGAACATCAAGTTAGTTTCATTAAATTTAACATTGAATATATTTTGATAATATGTTTTTTTATTGAAAATGTTAGTATATTTTTATAAAAACTTAGTCAAACTTAAAAAAATTTGACTAAGAAAAAAGTCAAAAGACGTGTAATATGCAACAAAGTATTATATTTGATTGCACCTTAAGTAACGGGTCTGTATATATCTATATATGTACAAAAATGCAGACTTGAGTAGTAGCAAATCTTCAAAAGAAATATTATGATGTAAAAAAAACGTTTGTAACATTTTGTCGGTTGATTTGTAACTATTTTTTTTACACATACTATATCCATGCTGAAAAGCTTTTATTTTAAGCTACAAACCTGGACATATGAACCTAGATAACTACTTAGAATTAGAGCCTTTTTGATGAAGGTAGTATGAAATTCCATTCAGTTTCATGTTGGCTGGGCATCTAGGGTTTTGTTAGTTGTTACTTATAGTATGCTATACAGTGTGGCAGGCAATTAGACGGTAGAGGATAGTATCGCAGCCAACATAGGAGATATTTAAGGCAATTTTGAGGAAAGAAGACATATACTCTCTCCATCCCAAAATATAAGTTTTTTTATATGAATCTGAACAACTGTTTGTCTAGATTCATAGCTAAAAATTACTATATTTTAGGATAGAGACAGTATATAGTAATTAATTTGGCTATAAATATGTTTTTGTCCTTTTGACTCCGCAATATATACAGAAATGTGACTGGATTTCCCAAATGAAGTTAGTTAGTTCGGTATTGACTATTCATGTGAAAACTAACCAGCTCCTACTAACAATGTTACGCTCGACTTTTTACACATGATGACATGAACATAGTATTACTATGGGCAGATCATCCCCAGTACTTATATTAAAGACTCCTTATATATAGAACTTATACTAGCTACCTGCCTGCCATCTTTGTTAGTAAATCCCGACATCGCAATCACACAGGTACAGTCTTTTTCTTTCTCCAATAACTACTACAAGTAGCAGGCTGCAACGTGTGCTAGATCCATCAACTCTTGCCCGCGTGCACTGAATGCATACGCACCAATTATTTGGACCAGACAATTGGTTTTATTGGGGGTGTCCTCTGTGTTGGCCGGGTTGGTTTAGGGTCCAGGGCGTGTCCGGTTTGCTAAACTGGGTTAATCTCTCCTTGCCAGATATAAAACGTGTCCCATGATCGGTTTTCCCTTCGGCCTTATCCTCCCATTTGCGATGATCAGACACATCTATCGTCCTCCCATTTGCGATGATCAGACACATCTATCGTCCTCTGAAGATCGAACACATGTACACTTGCCCATCCGTCTCTGTCTCGGCATCAATGCAAAATATGATTGATGAGGACATGCCTATACTGAATGAAACCAGATAAACGTGGTTAGTTGCATATCAGCATATGCATGGCACGAATTAATGAAGGGTTTCCTCTCGCCGTGCAGGTACATATATATATTAACTGTGTATGGATTAAGGGGGTCATACCTTTAATTAATTTATTGGTTTTGAATTGATAGATCTTGAAACGACTGTACCCTCCAAAAGGAGGAAAAAAAGGATCTTTGTGTAGTATCGTTTTCTTTTGTGGCGTGGTTGTGTTTACTGTGGCGGAATCGGAGCTTTTGTGTCGGGTGTGGCTAGCCGAACAATAATAACCCATAACACCTTCATGTCCGTTTTTGCACATGTGATTGATGGTTGACGGAGCTATGGGCGAAAGCCTTACCCCCGGTCTCTGACTGGTGTTGGCAACATTGGTGCTTGTGGGCGTCGTCTTCCTCCTTGAAGTCATCATTAAGTGGCTCTCTCTTTATCCGGGTGAAAATCTAGTCTAGTGTTCTCAATGGGTGTTGGCATTATTCTAGATGTTTGTTTTCCTTCTTCGAGGCTTCATGCCTACTCCATTAGTTTATGCTCCACGGTAGGGGTGTTTAGGTGGTTTGAGATAGTTGTTTGTCAGTCGGAACTACTCATCTGTTTTGTGGTAAGACTGGCAACAATGACATGTGTCAGTCTCAGTAGTGGTGCCACCACAAGTTTATCTTTTTTTTTTCTCCGTGTGGGTTTAATTTGCTGGTTTTCCTCTAATTAATAGTGCAATTGTTAGGTTTTCACGTCGGGTTTTCTAATAAAATGGACCACCTATTTTTTTTCTTAATTTAAAATAGAAAAACTTCATATCCTGTTTCTTGAGGTTTACCTTAAAAAAGAAAAGAAATAAGATCTTGGAATCACTTTGGTCTTATATTGCATCATTCGTAGGTTCATGATCGATATCGTGTCCTCCACTGCTTAAATAAGCGTAGGTTATCCGGCCAAATCATCAAGTCCTTGGCAAAAATTATTTGTGCCTTGATCTTTTTGTTCATTAAGGACTACAATCGGCTGGATCTACCATGCACGTACAGGTGATTTATGACACTGCAGTCCCTAACTAGTTGGTACCCGGATTATATATTATTACTTGCGAGTTATTCATTGTGTGTAGTTATATTTATAATACCATATTTTTCACTAAAATAAATAGTCAGCTTGTATTTATATTGTAAGTTTCTAAATTATATATATAATTTAAATGCATTTACAATGTAAGTCCCAAAATTACATATGTAAAGAAAAAATCACAGCAAGCAGCACAATTGCATGAAAAGAAAACGCAAAAGAAAACGATACTGATCAGTATCACAGCAAGGAGTACGAACTAAGCACGCGTGCATGCATAAGTACAAACTAGTGTTTGCACGCACGATGGCAAAGCAGTCCTGCACAAAATCTATAAGGAAATTGGAGAGCTAACAAACTGAACTTTAATCAGAGAATATTTATGGCGATATAATTATAGCAAAACCGTATTCTTTTTGCGAAATGGAAGAATCCGATCGAGCTAGTCTCCCCACATGCGTAGGCCCGTAATATAGCGGCTGGGTTTAATATTGTAATCTGCAAGAAACGATATGATTTTACACGTGCTGAAATCGCAGCGCTTCGATGTTTATAATTCTCGCGAGAGGACAAATGTTCAAACAAATATATGTGAAGATGATTGTTTTTTTTCCTCCCTGTAGATCAGAAATTATTACCTCTCGGTATACGGTAAACAGTAATCCCGATCTCGGCTTTGTCTGCATCTCAATGTCTGTATATATAGTCGCTGTAGCTGTAAATGCTGATCACATGAATCCCGAGCAAGCAATGGCTCACTTTCATCATACCGATCGATTAATTATCAGGCGACCTAGACATACATTGAAGCTATACACCTACAGAAGGAATGACAGGATTTCAGAATTTAATGCCACTGATGATACCTTTGGTTGCAGAATTGAATATACGGTTAACATAAGTATAGAAGCCGGCCAACAGTTAGGATAGCAGCCAACCCCCCTGACTGGTACGTAGCTTGCTAGTTGCTAGATGTGGTTGTGTATACTACGTATGTAGTACAAGTCTCGATATGATTAATTAAGCGCATGGTCAGTATAAGCTTAATCGTTCTCAAAATTTCCATTGCGTTAACACGTACAGTGCCCAACAGGTAGAAAACGTACCAGCCGTGTTGATCCGTTATACTAGTACTACCACTAGCTTCGGTGGCCGGCCGGCCTCCTGCGCCGCGTTTCTTTTCAGCCTTTTCCTGGTCTCCAACTGTCCCGCCGGGCTTGCGGGGCCGCGCGGCTAGCTGCAGGCTGGCAAAGCGCGCGCGCGCTCGCTGCCACTGCGAGCTCCTGCTCGCTCGGTCGGCCGGCCCGTCGCTACTCGCTAGGCGTCACTAGCGCCAACCCGCCACGCCAGCTCGTACGTTCGTACTGCTGCTCCCCCAAAACCCAATGCAACGAACCTTTCTACTAGCTCCGCCTCCGCGACCGGCCGCACGCCTCGCGCTCATGTGACGCGTCACCCTCCCTGTGTACTACGCTGTTGGCTCGCTCGATCGATCGTCATGCATGCGCGCAGCAGCAGCTGCAGCCGCAGCCGCGCGCGGCCGAGGAAGAAAGGACACATGCATGTGTCCAATTATTGAGACTTTGAGGCGGGGAAAGCGCGCGCGGACACGCCGGACAGCGCCCCGGGCAGGCACGAGGTAGACCGCGACAATTCGGCACGAAAGAGGTGGCCGATGGGGTGAGAGAGGGTGAGGCCGGCGGCTGTCCCACGCCACGGAACAGTAGCGCGCGCGCGCGCGCGCGAGTACGTCGTCGTCGAGACTGGAGCCGGGCGGGGGCGCGTGACACCGGCCGGCCCGGAGGCGGGGCGATACCGTATAGTACCGACACCGAGTGCGACGCGTCACGGCCGCGTCTGCATGCATGCCTGCGCAGAGACCGGGCCGGGCGCGAATGGGAGGAGTTTTTTGGAAACGCATGCCGATTTACGGATCTGGCGCGCTGGGCCCGCCCGCCCTTTTCCCTGAAGCTCTGTAGCGACGCATGAGCGAGCAGAGAGGGTGTGGGGTGATGGCGATGGATGCGGGCGCGGCCACCGCCGCTCGTCGCTTCGCTGGTGGCGTGCAGGCAGGCGCACCGCGCACCGCGCACCGGCAACATCCGCAGACGCGGATAGCAACGGGCGTGCATGCGGCGCGGCGCGGCGCGGATAAAAAGGGTTGTTGCCGCCTTGCCGGGGGCCCGACGGTGGTGGATGAGTGTGGATGTCGGGCTTCTCGGCCTTTTGCCTGAAGGAGGCGCCACATCATGGAGCCCAGCATGGACAGAAGAGGCTGGGCCTGGCCCGTTTGAACTTCTCACAGCCCAGGAGGCAGGAGCAACGGGCCCTACCCCATTGTGTGCTCCACGCACCGCAACAAGGCCGAGCTCCTGAAAGGGAAAAGGAAAAAGAGGGGGCCCAACCTCAAACTACTACAACCACTGTTCTAAAATATAACAATAGCATAATACTATAAGCATTACAAATTATAATATTAGATTGTATCTAATCCATATAAGATTACAATATTTTAGGATGGAGGTACTTTTTTACAGGGCCAGCGAATAATGTTCTAGCCAAATTTACTAAGAGCGAGTGGAGTTTTATATAGGAAAAAGTACGAATTACCCCTCGAACTATCGCGGTCGACCGAATTACCCCCATAAACCCGAAAACCGGATATTCTTCACCCCAACTATGCAAACCGGACGAATTACCCCCTCGACCCAATCTGCGGTGGTTTTGGTCTACGTGGCGTACGCGTGGCAATCCAGTCAGCATTATGTTTATAAAAAAATTGTGGGACTCACCTGTCATACTCCTCTTCCACTCTTCCTCTCCCTCTCACCCTTCCTCTCTCTCACGGGTGGTAGGCGGGGGACAGAGCAGCGGCGGCGACAACAGGGGATGAGGGTGACGTGGACAAGGATGGCGACGGAGGAGTGGAGGACGATGCTCGGGCACTGGCGGCGGTGGCCATGGCGGAGAGGCGGTGGCGCGCGTGGAACGGATGGCGACGGGTGGTGGCGAAGGACGCTTGGGACGTCGAGGACAGAGGCGGGCGGTGGCTGAGGGGTGGGGGCGACGCAGTAGGCGGTGGCAAGGGGAGGAGGAGCTCGTCCTCGGCCATCGCGCTCGCCTCCTCCGCCGCACCCCGCCGCCACTCGCCTCCTCTATCGCCGCTCGCGCCCGCCCCCTGCGCCGCCTTGCCTTGCCGCCGCCCCGCCTCCTCCGACGCCGCGCTCGTCTCGCCTCATCCGCTGTCGCGCTCTCCTCGAAGCCACTGCCGTCGCCTCGCCTCACCTCCTCCTCCGCCGCGCTCGCCTCACCTCACTGCTGCCTCTGCCGTCGCCCGTGATAGAGAAGAGAGAGAGAGAGTGAGAGATTGGGAAAGAGATAGAAGAGAGAGAGAGACTGGCAGGTAGGGTCTGCCTACTTTTTTATAAAAGAATTGTTGACTGGACTGCCACGTAGACCAAAACCACCGTGAATTGGGTCAAGGGGGGTAATTCATCCGGTTTGCATAGTTGGGGGTGAGGGATGTCCGGTTTTCAAATTTAGGGGGATAATTCGGTCGACCGCGATAGTTAGGAGAGGGTAATTCGTACTTTTCTTTTATATGTAGTAGTAATACATTTACCAACAAACATGGTTTGTGGGAAAAAAAAATACCGCGACATGATCGACGTCTATCACGCATTGTTGGTCCGGATATAATGATGCTAGTTCCTATGCTGAGGTGCTCAACGAGGGGTTAAATGCCCTCTCTTTCAGAAAGAAAATGCTACACATACCATGTTTTCTTACCACTTTTGCTACGCATACCCGTGAATTTCATATATTTATACTATAATTTTGCTTGCTTAAGGTTTTGGCACATTTCATGTAATGGGTATGTATGTCTTGGGATATAGGTGCCCGATCCCCTTATGGAATAACTGGAAACGTAAGCTGTAAATCTGACGTGGGGTGCAGAAGATTTTGATTCCTTTTTGGTCTTAGATCATATTTTTTCAATGCTTGCCGTATAGGAACCATGAAAAAATAATTACCTATTCGATTAAAAAATATTAGTTTAAATAACATATAAGTAAAAAGGAAAAATAATTTTAAAAATATTATAAAATGGATCAATATTTCATATCTCTGGTTGACCAAGTACCCTTGCGTAATGCCTAAGAAGCAAAAGAAAATCATCGTCCTGGATATCCCGAGGATATTTCCTGTTCGCTCGGCCGCGACTCCGACTCCTTGTGTGGTGTGGACCTGTGGATCCCTCGGAGATGTTGCTAAAACCATTTGGTGTAATTGTAAAATATCAACCATCCCTTTATTTCTACCGGCTGATATTAATTTCTCCTAATTAACTCTCTTAAGCAGTGTTGATTTGGTGAGAAAATATTTTTATTTTCACCAATGAGATAAGCATCACATATGTGTATATCCCTATAAGATCGGTTTATTCTTATCGGGTATGTGGTATCCATATCCCTGACAAGCATTACATATGTGTATATCCCCATAAGATCGGTTTATCCTCATTATGTATTTTGAATATATTTTTTTTTGTCTCGGACAACGCTACTTGAAATCGATTTAATAAAAACAAGAAGAATTGGATATGTGTTCTAGATTACATTGTGCTTGCATGTTATTTTGGGAAATGAGTATGTTATTTTCTTTTACGTTAGTTGGAGTGCAATCGCTACTATGGAAGGAAACATCTTTAAAAAATAGTTTCCCTTCTAATCAAATTAATTAAGTGTGACCGAGGTGTCTTAATTGATCTCATATATAGAAATAGAAGAATGGCTATGAGTTTGCCAAATCCTCCTATAGATTGTTAAATGGGTTGTTTATTTTCGTGCACGCCCGAGCACGCGTGTATAGTTCATGCCCCAGTAACAACACGACCCATTTAGTTGTGGGTCGTGCTGGTACGACTAGTCTAATCATGGTGTGCTTGGGCTGCTACCAGGCTAGCGTACCAACACGACAATTGCATATAGCAAACCAGCACACACATGGTCTAGGAATGGTAGGACGCAACCTGGCCCTTGTGACATGATGGCGACTGACGACTGGTGAACAATTGCTAGTTGAGCAACTGTCGTCCGAACAAGAGCTATAAAGAAAGGAAAACGAAAGAATTGAGAAAGCTAGGGCTTGTGTTAGAGGAAACAATGGTGTGAGCTTGCCGACGTAGGTCTACACGACAACGTGGTGACGCGGTCTACCCTTTTCGTGAGCACAACCACTAAGCGTGTCAGCCATTGAGAGCTCACTAGTTCGGGGTGAAGGAAATAGCAAGTGAAGGGAGCTTGACGAGGAGGAAGATGAATGTGCTATTGGTGAGCGGAGGATCTTACCATAGTTTTGTTGAAGTTTATGCGATAGGATGCAAGAAACTCTTTCATAGTTTTTTCCTTGGTATATTATCAATTTTGTGCTAACGGGTTTTCACACAGCCCACGTACCCAAATGATATCTCACAAGGTTGTGCCTGGCCTCCAGCTTCAACACGTGGGTCAATACAGTATGACCGTTCGCTGAATCGTGCTACTGATTAATAGGGCATTGCCCAAACATATCTATTTATCCACCATTTCAACCCTATAAAATAATAAAAATAAAATTCACCGTCTTAAAAATTCAGCTCAGAAGTTCCGTTTGAAAAATGGGATTATTTCCATTTTTTAAATTTCACCGTTTGGTAGTGTGGGGATGGGATGTGCAATCCGGGTGGCGGAATTACTAAATTACCTTCGCCATTTTGACGTGTAGTTGGCCTCTGTCGTCAGTTTGCCCGCCGCCGCCGCCGCCTCCGCCTCCGCTGACCGCGAGCGAGCAGGGCGCCGTCGTTCGTCCTGTTGCTTCCGCGGTTCCGCCGCATCCTGGTGAGTACATCCTCCGCCACCGCCGTCTGCGCCGATCCCCATCCATCGCGCGAGCGAGCGAGCAGGGTCGCCGTCGTTCGTCCTGCTGCTTCCGCCGCATCCGTTATGCACATCCTCTTTCCCATCTCCCTCTACCCACGCACTTTTTTTCTCGAATTTGCGTTAACCCTAGCTTCTGTTCTAGAAATTTGCTTTAACCTTAATACTCATAACAGTTTGTTTGTTCCCCAAAAGTTTGGGGGTTTAACTGAACCACGATGTCCCATGTTAGATCCGCCACTGCATGCAGACACCTTCCCTGATGTTTCTCTGAGAAACTACCCCCCCCCCCTCCCTCCCTTCCCTCTGTTCTCCAGAGCTACATAGTGTTATCTGAATAGAAGTATTGTTCTAGAGAGAAGAAGGTTTTATTGAAAATTTGATCATCTATAATTCATATTGTTCTAGAATTCATCTGTGATTTGTCAAGTTTTAAGTGACGTGTAGGTGGATATAGTTTCATCAACATGTACAATTTTTTTTTTGGACGTTCTGCATGTATCTAACGATCATATAACTACCAAATTGAATCTATAGTCACACTTCTGTTTTGTGTTATTAGTGGTTACCTATATCCTTTCCTATTGCATGCAGCCCAAGCTTGTTGGCACCATGGATGAATCACGAAAAAGAGCCGCATCTACTGCAAATGCTAAAAGTTCATCCCTTGGTATGATACAATAGAGCATCATATGCCTTGTTGCTTTTATGTTGCACCTTAATCAAATTTATCTGATTCATGTAAGATGAATACTCCTGGTATGTAACTGTTTTTGAATCAAGTTCATTGTACTTACATATGACTGCCTGCAGGAAATTACATATGTTGCTCATGAAATGCATATTTTTTTTAATTTTGTGCAGTAGGGTAGGAAATATTTCTTCCTTTTCCATCGTAACAACTTGAAATGGTGAATGCTTTTTAATGTCCGCAGGTGAAGATTTTGGCAATGATTTTCTTTCATCTTGGAAATTACCAAAATCAGGAAATGACACGATTGACTTTGACGTTGAGTCAGTTCCGAAGAATAGCAAGAAATTCAGCTTTGACAACCTGTGAGTATTAGGCTTGAAAGTTTCCTTTAGCATATGATGCCGCAGTAATTGGGAATGACAGTATGTTTCTTTTATCAGGGATGATTTTGGGCTTGATGGAGCCTTTGACAAATTGTCGTCATTTAAAATGGGCATGTCTGATCTAGATTTCTCTGGTCCTCTCAAGAAAAAGGTGAAGCCCAACAACTCAAATGGCAACGATCTTTCTGAAGGGATAAAAGGGACTGAAAAGGACAACTTCTCCTTTTCCTTTGATTTCAATGAGTAAGTTTTTCAGTGAATAATTTTAGTGAGTAAGTTATATTGGTGAAGACCAATAAATATGACACAAAATCATGAATTTAGTTGCTTCATTTTCTTTGTTTTGTTTACTTGAAGGCTGGGCAAGTTCAATCTTGATGCTAACTTGGGAATTGAGGAGAATGGTATGAGTAAATTTGTAGAAAAGGTCAACCCTGTCTCTTCAGAGGGTGACAAGGATCCAAGAAAAGGTCTTTCAGTTAAGGGCTCTGATGTTCTGGGAGGTAACATTAGTAAGGAACAAAAGCAAACACATGATGCTTGTACTCTGAGGCCTACTCATTTGGGAAGGTAGGGTAATGTAAAGAACGATAACTGTGCAGCTTCAAACATTATTCCTCTAACTCATTTGACGGTATGCATGATTTTTTCAGCTTTAGCCCTGCAAGAATGGACCAAAATAAAGTAGATTTGCTCTCAACTGATACACATGAAGAGAAATCTAATGAGACACACCCATCAAGAGCAGCTGTTAACAAGCCTTCTCAGAATCTTCCTTGCAGTTCTACACCTGGTGAAGATCCTACACACGTGACTACAACAGCAGTTGCTGAGAACTGTAGAGAAGCTCCTTTGGTGGAACTTAGTAAAGTTCATATATCAAGGGGGAATAATGATAGTGGGCAATCAGTTAGTTCACAATTCATGAACACCAGCACCACGTGCCCCTCCATCTCAAGAAAATTGACGGCCCAATCAGATTCCCAAAATGACCAGAATGAGATTGTGGGGGAAAGTGCATGTCTTAATGCACAAAGTCCTGATAACCAAAGGTTTAGAGGAACTTCAATGAAGCTTCTGAAGAAAACATCATGTGAAACAAAGAAGGCTGAAAAGGGGACTTCAGGTCCAAAGAGTCTCTCTTCATCAATGCAGAGGTTTGTCTTTGCTATAAGTTTCTTTATTAACAACATAAGACCTTTATTCTTCCATTCAGTGCTTACCCAGTGATTATTTTCATTAACAGATAATGTATCTTAAATCAGATATCAGTAATGTAGGATTAAGTGTAGCATATCATAATTCTGCTTGTACAAGGGAGTTCTTTTCCTTTATGTGAGCCGAGATGTAATTTTGTACAGTGATTTGTTACCATGTGACACTATTATGATAAATATCATGCAGGGATATGAGAAATGTCAAACCCGCATCATTGAATGAAGCAGGGAGTTTGTCTCTTCCGCCCCAGTCTTCAATTGTTAAAGCAAGCAGGCCTCCTCAACTAACTTCTGAAACAACCTTAAATCAATTAAGTAGTGCCAATAACATGGTAAAAAAGATGAATACACATTCTACTGAGTTGAAAAGGTAGTAGACTGTAGACAGATTGATGGCTAGCATGTACTCATAAAATGTTAATACTGTATCAAATAATGAATGTGCTTTATAAAATGCAGGGAAAGCACACAAGCTAATGCAAGATCTGAAAGGCCTAAAATTGCTTCGTCAAAAACATTCTGCAAGCCAGCATTACATGAGCTGTTGACCACCTCCATGAATGCCAAAGATCATAAGAATTCCAAACTTAGGTAAGAAACTGCTGCCCTTCAACCTTGCAACATCAGGAATGTGTCGGTTCAAAAACTTTATTATAATGGTGTTTACTTAATGTATGCACAATACTGCTATGTTTTCTTCATAATTCTGATCTAACATTTTAACATGGACATGATAGTTCCTTGATAATTTTTGTGTCCCGTCTAGTATAAACTTGAGTAAAATCAATTCACAAGAAACCCACTATAAAGGTTTGGTGTGTTTGTTAGCGTATTTCATGGAAACTGTAAATACCTCACATACTTTTAGTATGTTTTCATGGTGGATGTGTTTGCACTTGGAATAGGTGTATTGAATAGAATGCATGCGCACTGCATCCATTCTACTTGTTTTCTTGTTTCCAGTACAGCAGAATGCTCTATATTTACCGTATTTTATCCCCTTGATCCTTCCACTGCATTGATGGTTAACAAGCTTCCTTTTCCCAGACTTGAGTCTCCTAGCACAGGCAATGTTTCTACACTGAATGCTCCTAGCAGCCCAGCACATAGCAATGGACATAAGACCGTTGCGAGTCGGTCACTCTTGGGAAGTACCAATGTTTTTGATGCAGGAAAAGGCACTCCTAAAGCTGACAATAGACCACTTTCTCAACTGAAAGCAGCAAAGTATAGTATCTCTACCATATTGCATAAATTAGGAATTTGAACTATTAACTGTGTTTTTCTAAACATATTGCATAAGAAGTGACTGAAATCATCTATATGAATGTAGAATTACTAAAGCAGGCACCATAAGTTCAAAGTCTGACTTGCTTCTGGAGAAGGATATGATGGAAACGAGCGGGAGGAAGGGTTCCCCTGTAACAACATCCAATAACCCAAAGTCCTATGGTGAAGGAAAATATGTGTTGCCTAGCCCATCCATGATGCAAAAGACTCCTAAGGTTATTCACTGGTGCAACATTATGTTTTAAAAAATCATTTCCTTTTTCTCCTATTGCTTGTATCCCTGTGTGGTTTAACCCTCATTGTCTTCATCTGAGGATTACAACTAATACTTTTTCTTAAGCTTACATTTTCCAGACTCAAAAATTTGATTTGTCAATTCATATCAAGTTTGTTGTTTGTAACTTTGTATGTGCTTATTTCATATCAAAGTTTGTGAGGAATGTTATGCCCTTCCACGGCATAAAAATTCACCCTGGATATACCAAGTGTTAAAAAGTACATGCAGAAGACGATATCCACTCATGGTAAGAGTGGTAGACCATATGTAATAGCTCAAATTCCTAATTTATGAAATTCCATGTCATACTGAAGAAATCCATCATGCCCTTATAGAAAATTTCTATGACATCTACTGACTTCTGTCATCAACTAATCTATCAAGTTAACAGACGTGTTAAAATTGTCCAATCCTAAAAGCATGAAGCATTAATCCACAGATGTAACATTTAAGTTGTACTGTTTTGAGTCAGTGATTATATTACGGGTGGTAGTTTTTTACTTGTTCATCTTTAAGCACAGTTTCACAGGGTTTTAATGGACTGATTTGATAAATGAAATATCCTGCAAAAGTCAGTTTTTAAGCAAGGTTTTTATCTGCAGCAAATTTACTAAGCTATTGATAAAAGAATACAATTTTTTATGTACATTTTTTTAGGAGAATTCGCTATTGTTAGTTTTTTGTAGTTTGTTCATATTGTTAATTTGCCTTCTCAGGAATCAGCTTCAGATCCAAAAGCTCCTGCTATGCTGAAGCACATCATGAAATCTCCAGCTGTGAGGTTGTTGTTTCGATTGCATTTTAATGCATAAAAATGTATCTTGAATATTCTAGTTCTCTCTTTTGGAAGTAATAGATTTATTTTACCATGCAGAACATCACCAGAAACTGTTTCAGAGTTGGGAAATAAAACAGTAAGTGCCATGAATATATCTGATTACTGCATATATTTTGTTTCGCCATAACTGAATTTATGAAGGCTGATGTGTTATGCAGTCAACCATTCTATAAGTTATCTAAATCAGAAACAAAAACAATGTCAATGGTTATGCTTCACCTTGAGACCATGGAAAGATGAAATGACTTGCCATTGAAACCAGGTTGTATTGAGCTGTTCTCATATCCTTACTTTCTTGATTTCACTTATTAGATTCCAGGAAGTGGAACTCCAAAAGCACGCATGGATAATGCCATTGCTTCAGCAATATCATGTGAGATGGGGGAAATTTCTGAACTAGAGTTGCCTGCGCTGTTAGAAAATGATGTAAATGTACAAAAAGCTGAGGCTTGTAGAAAGGAGCTTGAAGATGTGAGTAAATCTGTCCAATGCTTTATTATCCTTATTTGAATGTTCACACCGTAATGCAGCGATTATTCTGCAGAAAGGAAAAAAAGAGGTGGGGCTGCATGGTGCTCGTATTAGACTTGATGAAATCAGATGGCACTAGCTTGAATCCAATTCTTATAGTTCCTTATAGTTTTGTCAAAGTAGCACTTCACAGCTATGCCATCTAAATCAAGTGGCAATATATATGGGCAGATTGTGTCTTATTGTTGTCAACATGATTCTCTTTAAGTTTGCTCAGAGGCTTATGCACCTTTTAACTGATATATGCGTAATTCAAATTTGGATTTTGGATCACTTAAGTTTTTCACACAAACCTATGAAATAATGTTTTACTGTTGTAGCCAGAACTCTTTAGATGTAATTTCCTGGTCTGGAGCGGCTGCCTTTTATTTTATTTTCCTTTAGCTGACCTGTTTTTTTTACCATAATGCTGATATACAGATGTCATCATGTAGGCAGTCTAAATTAAGTCACCACCTGATGGCATGAGAAATATTCTAACTTGCTTGTCTTACTCTGCAGTTATGCATTTCGTTGAAAAGGAAACATGAAGAAGCCAAAGAGCTAGCAGTGCGGGCTATTGTTAACAACAATACAATGCTGATGTTAAACCATCCAATGTTTGAGGATAAAATATCCTACTGCTTATTTTTTTAGCAGTTAATCACTGCACTTTCACATTTATTAATATTAAACTTTTTATTCCTTAACCATAATTAACATTTGTGCTCTTCAGAAATTTGCTAGCAATCTGAGATCCAAGAAGGTTTTATTCGAGGATATTAGTGCCATTGATGCTGTAAGTTATCAATCTCATCCCATTTCTCGATCTCTGTGACTGACCTTAACATAATTATTCCCACATGAAGATAAAAGAGGAAGTGATATTTTCTAAATTAACTGTGTTGAAAATCCTATTAGTAAAACCTACTATGATTTGCATTAGTTATTTACTGTAGAGAGAGTTTTCAGATGGCAATTGAAAAACAATACCTAATCACTTGAAGAAGATAAGGTGATGGATAGTAATGCCCTATCTTGGTGTGGAGATTGCTGCATTTCATTATCTGCATGGAGATTATTATGAGCATCACACCAACCGCTCATAACAGAGATACTCTTGATTTTCAATAATAGTCATCTCTGAAGGGGCCATTGTGTATGATGATTCCTGAGTGTCTGAGCAAAATGATTGAATGACTGTCTTAGAGGCCTAATTCCCTCTTTTCAGTATCTCATTCAGGATCCTCCGTTCCTATATTCAATCCATTCAACCAAACGCTTTACCTTGCACCAGCTCCTCCAGAGAATTAAGTGTGGAAATTCTTGTATTATAAGCCCATCCTAAAAAGGCCTTAGTGGAATAGTGGGTTAGATGGTTTGAGATATAGAACACTCAGATATAGAACAAATGGTATATTCAGATTCATGTTCTACAATAAGATTCAGGGTACTATCCATGTTTGTATTCAAGTAGCCATACAGGGAAGATTATATTCATGTAATTACCGGGAAGTGATTAGCGTAGTAAATGCATGATTTTTGTCTATATTAGTAGTGCAATGCTAATTTCCTATGCTTTTAGAAAAAAAAGATTTGGATTTTTACATTATTCAGTTCTAAGTTCAATGGAAGCATCAGAACTGAAAATAAAAGTGGATACGTTAGCATGAAACACTGTGCTTTCCTCAGTTAAATATTCTTGTAATTTGTCTTAGATGATCTATCTGTCATATTTCATAAGAGGTGCTAGACCTTTATAGTGTGATCAACTACCATAAGGATTATGGCACCATCTCTTGTTCTATTTCCCCATTGGCCATTCCCATGTCTCCTATACATGTATGCATTGTATATTAGTTTCTTATCATCTCTGATTGAACAGTGAGTGTTTTCAGTGTTATATTAGTGCCACCTAACTTCGTATTACCCAACTTGTCATATTTCTCATCGACTGGGATATATATTTTTTTCAAAAGACAAGATAGTCTCATTGACTACAATAATAAAATGAAACACATGATGGCTTTTATTTGTATGTGCATTTTTTTAATTGAGCAACAGCAATTGTGGTTTGTGAGCTATTAGCCTCATAGAAGTTTTGTCAACGCCAGCATATGTTGACACTTCTGTTTCCGGATTCTTAAGTCAACATACTTCTCTATCTGACTTGCTCATTTAGTTTAGCATTTCAGGATTTCGTCCATAAGGATATTATTTTATTTAGTAGAATTGTGTGTGCTACATGCAAAGTGATTTTTTATAATTCCTGTGTTGGACAGCATTTGGATGTTCCTTGCATGCACCCTTTATCACTTTATCAGACTACTTTATTTTCTTGTTTAAGATGGAAAAGGTTAAATATTGATTGGCTGGAGTCCCAGGACATCTTTATGGTTGCTGTTAGCTCTAACTACTTACTCGTCGATATTGTCTTTCATGGAGCTAGTTGTACAAGATGGAGTTATCATCAGGACCGATCAATTCATAAGGCTCGAAATTTTTGCCAAATTTTCCTTGTATATTCACTTTGGATTGATTCAGTGCTTCTTATGTTGCTCCAAATGGATGCACAACTTTTGATAAATTTTATCAAAATTGCATCCTCGTAGAAGTAGTTACACTCTGTTAGTTCAAGCAACGAATTTCTGAACCAAACCAGTATTTTTCATGACTGAAGTTTTCTTCAACCTCATCATTCATAGCTAACTCAATTTCTTTTTATCTTGTTGCAGCATTAATGTGAGACTAAAATGGAGTGACTGTGCTTCACCCAGGAAGAACACCGGTACTGTAAATGCAATGTAAGAACGTACGATCCATGATTTGCTCCTGTGAAGGCATTTGTTTAGTTAGTCCAGCGGGTTGTGAAATACCCTTCCTAGTTGCTACACACCTGTTATTCTGGGAAGTATGCGGAATTTGTACTTAGGAATTGGGGATGACTCCACTGGACCAAGAGCAGAGAAAAAGAAACACGGTTCAAGGGGGGCATGTGCGCATACTTTAGTTCGTAATTGTGTGGATATTGCTCGTAGCGTCGTGAACTGTGTCCTTGTGGACCGAACGACTAGAGTACCCCTTGTTGTTGATCCCTGGTGCTCTATAGTCTGTCCTGGGCAAAATGCGATTGAAGAAGTGCTATTGCATACGGTTTTATGCCATGGACAAAAATTACTCAGTAATGGTGAGTTTAGACAATGATGCTGGATGACTAGCGTCCCATTTCATCGTAGCCTAGATTTGTAGGATTTAAAGTCGGTTAGCTTTGTTGCTTATGCCTTTTAGTACGTTAGTGCCACGAACTGGTATATTTAGGCATTTTAGTAGTCTACCTTTATACAAAGGAAAGAGAAAGAAAGAACACCCAGGCTTTAGTTCGTTTTTTTACTCAACCATGAAACTGTAAGCATGTGTTTGGTTGGAGGGACGGTATGGATTGGGTTGGGTCAAACCTAGTTTATACAAAGGATCTTGGAAATTTTCCTTGGAGTTTATCTCTCTTATCCGATTCCTATGTTTTTTCTGTGGTCCAATCAAACGTTCATTCTTGTGTTGTGTTTTTTTCCTTTTTTTATAATCCTTTGTTTTACATTTCCATTCCTATCAGAATCATGTGTTTTTTCTATTACGTCTTTTTTTCATTCCTGCAATTAATTTGGGCTATGTATTGTCCCCTTAACTCTCAAAATCATGCATATTTCATATTTACCTCAAGTAAGGACGAAGTTTTAGTGCTCATTCGGTTTAGAGGATTTTCATAAGATTATTATAGGAATTGAATCCTTAGGATTTTTTTTCTATATGTATAATTCGTTTCATAGTAATGGATCCACCCAAATTCCTAAGGATTGTAGTCTTACAAACTAAGTTCATATGATTCTTAACATGAAGTAAAACCTCTTGGGAAAACTCATAAGGAATGGAGTGCACGTGACATTCTATCTTTATTTTTCTTATTTTTATATGAAAATCCTATTTACCGAATAATCCCTTATTATGCCTGTTTTGTATTCTATTGGAGGATGAAAATAATGCCCGATTCTTGTTAGCATATTTTTGCATGTGGCGGAGTTGGCTAACATTGAAATCTGCTCATCAGCCCATATATCTTGCAATGCCCTTTCTTTCTTTCTATATTTGGCAGGTGGCAGGCCTTATTTTCTTCCCATGTTTTAATAGGGTTATATTCTCCCCTTATTTAATATAATCTGCATTGTTTTGGTCCCCTTATTTAATATAATCTGAATTGTTTTGGGAAACATAAGAGCCAAAGCTGACAACGTTCTTTTATTTAATATTACTAGAAAAAATGCCCGTGCGTTGTAACGGGTGAAATCTATTTTAATCTTATTATTGTTATATAGTTTAGTTAAGATGAAATTCACTGTGAGATCTCTTGGATATATATATTTTTAGAAAATCATGAGCTGCAGTTAGGAGTCTGATCGTTTCAAGTTAGCATACTAGTTTTTTTAAATAGATTTCTTATATGATTCCTTCTGTATTACCAAAAGTGAATATCTTATAAATTGACTCAAATACGGATATGTATTTTCAAAAGCAAACGAACTTAAAAACCGACTCATAGATGACGTATCAAAATACCGGTAAAAACATCTTCAATTTTCAATTTTTATAATAGTAGAGATAAAAAACAAAAGGGGGGGGGGGGGGGGAGGGGGAGAATTAAGTGGAAGACAGGTTATGGATATTTACGGAGGCTTAGGCTGGACAACCAGATACACACTAACAGCACTACCAATCGAAATATCGAATGGTCCACTAAAGCTATACTTAATCATACCGTACGCTGGCAATCTTCTCGTGGATCGAAAGTCGAATCTGCTTGAGTTACAACCTGCAGCAACTGATGCTGCGTGCATGATCTGATCTCAAATCTGTCCACATTTCTCAACGGAATACTCCCATTGCCCCCTCCTGATGCATTGTGGAAGCCAACGCCCAAGCAACCTGCCTCGTGCGTTACGTCCAACGTTGGACTCTCCTTTATGTTAGATTTGATGGATGAAAGGAAATAAAGTTTTTGGGTCATTATCGGTGAGTATAAGAGGCATATTACACCACAACACCTAATAGAAGAAGGTTGTTTTCTGACGGTAAAAATAAAAATAAAAATGGCGCTACTCAATCTGCTGAAAAGATCTTCAATACACCGTTGTCGGCAAAAATCGATGACAGATTATCGATTGATATATAGTTGTATTTACTGAAGATCTGAGTGTTGTAGGTCGTAGTATAGTGGTACTAGCAAGGTTAACAAAACCGTACGGTCACTGTGGTTATTATATGTGATAATCTTTTCAGTTTTTAAAGCCACGGTATACTTCACGATAACCGTGTGGTTTTCGCGGTTACCGTGATAACCGTCAAACCGTGAGGTGACGGTAACCCTATCCAAAACGGTTTATTAAGCCCTGTGTTATAGTTCTTGATGGTGCCAATGATAACCGCCAAACCGCGGGGTGGTCGTAACCCCATCTAAAACGGTTTATTAAACCTTGGGTACTAGTACTCGATGGTGCCAATTGTTGGGACTTGTAGGTACTGTGTGAAAGAACTCATGTTATTAGCTAGTCATAAACATTAGATGATTAAGATTTGATTTAAAATTTGAAACTTTGATAATTAGTACTTTCTCAAATGGCGTAGTTTTAATAGAAAATATGCGCATAAATTTGTGTTGAAGAATACTAACACAACTTATTAAACTTTATAAGCTTATTCTGATATAAAATTGGATGTTAAGTTTTACAATTTTGACCAAATTTTGTTCCAAACACAAATGTTTATGACGAAAATGTAGTATAACGTATATACTCTCCTATTCTCTTTTTACGTATCATTTAGGATATTGACATAATCTATAATGTACATATTTGATTGTCCTGTGTTCGACTCCCCATGAAAACGAATTGGCTTTAACGGCTTTGTGTTTTCAGTGGTAGGCGATGTACCCGTCGACAGCAAGGCGTCTGTGTTGACTTTATCAATCTATAGGATGGATTTGCCGGCCCAGTCTTCGAAGATACTCATAGGGGTAGAGTTTGCGTGCGTTCATAGGGGTGAGTGTGCGTGCGTTGTGAGTGTCTGCATTGTACTGTGTAATTCTCAAAAAAAAGTTTATAGAAGAATCTAAAATATCAAATTAATTTTATTAAATCTAACATTGACTATACTTTCATAAGTTTGTCTTGTATTGAAAAATACTACATTTTTCTATAAGTTTGGTTTGACTAGGTAAAAAGTCAAATGCTTTATAATATGAAAGGAAGGGAGTATTTTAGAAGCAAATTTATCGTAAAACTACAAACTTAGAAGAATGTCTATCACAAAACCATATCTTTAAAAGTAAATTTATAACAAGACTACACATGAAAATATTGGTTAAAGAAACTACATATTTAATTAGTGATATTTTTTTCACAAAACTACATATATATTCTAAAAGTTCCATAAGAACAACAATGCCAAAGATCTAATATCTAAAATATGCGGTTCTCTCATAGCTAAATTGACAATCGAATCTTTAGTTGTATGCTATATTGTACCTTAAATACGTAGTTTTGTAACAGTGGAACTTAAATCAGTAATTTTGCGATACATATGTCATGTAGTTTTGGAAATTTGCTACATTTAAATATATAAATTACTTGTATAACATTTTTTTCAATTTATACAAAGAATTATGCAGTCAAAGTTATATCTTCCAGTTGGTTTACTCTCCCCTAATGCTTCCTTTTCGAATTGCTTCTTATTCACTGCAGTGGAAGATTTTAGGGCGTGCTGAAGAAGCTGACAGGATGATGGATTTAGAAGAGAAGATGAAGATCGTTGCTGCTAATACTGGAAGTAATAGATTGGGGATAGGTTGATTCCTTGTTTTTAGAGTTGTCTTGGTTGCCACAGTTCTGCCTGTCTTCTGTCTTGGTTTGTCTTGGTTGTGTGTTTCTTATCTGATGTCTGCTATGTTTAGCAGCAGTCCCTACTGTCTCTTTTGTCTTAGAGTTGGTCTTAGAGGTGGTAGCTTGCTCGAGTCCTTTTGCACTTTGTTAGAGGTCTCGCCCTCCCTATGTTGTAAACTAATGTCTGGATTTCCCAGCACAACCTTCGGGCTTTCAATAGAAGCCAGGTCTCTGACCTTTTTCTATTAAAAAAAAGCAACTTATGACTAAAGGATCAGACTTTACAACATCGATATGGCGTGGATGCCTATGCTAGAACGACAGCTAAATAAACTACATGCAGGTTTCCTAAAAAAATATTTTAAATCCTGTTTCTCTTATACATTGTGTATTAGAAAAAAAACACAATGCAATGTAAAAGTGTTTTTTTAACAATGTACAATGGTTTAATGATTATTATGAAAAGTATGACGTAAAAGAAAATACCCTGATCCCCAAAACTATAGCTACTTATCGTCGGCGTGAGTATTTATCCACTCTAACCGTTGGGGTTTGCTCTGCTAGATCATACTTCATTCTTCCCAAATTGATCATCATATAATGAAATCCAAAATTTCTCAAATTAATCATCATATAACCGCATGGATACGGATTTCATTAGAATACAATTAATATAGCAATGGAGAATGTGTATGCTAAAGGCACTACTAGAAAAACGATTTTTCATGGCGTTGGTCTATGATTTTTGCTGGCGGAGAAATGCCAAAACCGCTAGCAAAGTCATAACGAGGGGGTGGGGGGCACCGACCGCCAGCGAAAATGGATCTTCGCTGGCGGCCACGTTATACCGGCCGCTAGCGAAGATATGTTCATTTTCGCTGGCGGTTGGGTTATATAGTCTGATAGGAAAGATACAATTATTTATACTGGCGGCCCACTTAAGCAACCGCCAGTGAAAATCGATTTTCGCTGGTGGTAGAACAACCTCCATATTTTAGCACCACCCATGTGTCCTTATCCACCCACCTCGGGATTTTGGACTATTTGCCATTCACTTAGATGTAGCATTCCCAAATGCCATCTTCCCAAATAACTTAGACAATTTACCCCAGGTCCCCACAAACCAGCTCTCCTCTGCCATTTTACACCCAATTTTAGGTCCCACGGCTGCCACATCACCAACCAAGGTGGCACTGAGAGCGTGAAATGTCCATCTTACCCCTGCCCCTCTCACTCATAACACAGCCTCACCACAGATCCCTCTCTTCTCTCGTTTTCAGTCGACCTGGTCTCACTCCTGCGGCGGCGGCAGCGGCGCTGTCGATTCACCGGCGACGGAGCTGCGACAGCCAACGAGGTGTGAGATAAATCCGTTTCCCCCTTCTCTTTTTCAGTTTGGCAACAATTTGTCTCAGATTTGGTTGTTTTTGTTGCAGATTGGATTGTCTAGGGTTTGGATTTTGGGGGTTATGGCTCCATCTGAGTGCCCGCCGGGGTAAGGCACAAATCTCATCCTTTATTTCCATGTATTTTTTCTATGGCTTCCTAGTATAGCTAGGGCACGTACATGCATGGTATACGCATACGGCAAGTCTGTCCACAACATATACATCGATCTGTACACGCATACGGCAAGGGTGCAAGGTAGCAGCATACGTGCATGCACTAGTCCACATGCTGATTCATCAAGGTGCACTAGTCCACATGCTGATTCATCAAGGTCACAAGTTGGTGCATAATGTGAGGGTTACTAATTCATCTGTTTGGATTAATAATAAAGGTCACATGTTGATTGGTCATTGATCATCAAGGTCACAAGTTGGCCACAAGACATCACTGATAATACTAGTGTGCAAATGACTATTTTTATGTATGTGTACCGGTTTGACCATGCTATGTATTAGCATTGAATTATTTTTCATTGATTAACTTTGTACTATTTAGTATGTTCACATTAATTCATATATAATAATGGATCAAAATAATATTTTACTTCTATTTCAGTCATCAGCCTTATGTTTTTTTCCCATGTGCACCACATAAATTTTAATCCTGTGTTCGCCACTGTTAGATACAAAGCTTAACTCCATCTTTTTTTCCTTATGTTTCTTTACCGCGGGTAGGTTTGATCGTCATACTGCGTTTAGTATAAACGTTAGAATCCCCCCATATGATGCTAAGATGGATGATGGGTCAGAGCTGCCAATGGAGGGGCAAGAGCACTCATGGTGGGTGAATGGTGTAGTTAGCATGGACCGTATGGTTGAGGATTTAAAGAGCCAAGTCATCTGGGGTAGTAGGCAGAAACCTATTTTCTATGGAACTGACCATAGGACATGTGAAACTATTGAGATTTCAAGCAATTTGGTGCTCATTTCTCAATTCATTGATAGATTTGATACCAAGGTGATGAACTTGCTTGTTAATATAATGGACAAATCAGACACTTTAGATGGCTCCAATACTGCTATAGCTGCTATTGATTCTGGCTCTGTAGTGAATGATGATCCTCCTGCTCCTGCTACTCATGCTGCTGGTCCTTACAATGTTGTTGCTCCTGGTGCTGTCGGTGCTTATAATGTTGATGCTCCTAGTGTTGTTGCTCATGGTGGTATTGATTGGGATGAACTAAACATCCAGCCATTGACAGTTGAAGGTGGATCCTGTCATGTTACATTTGATGAGGATGAGATGTTTGACATGCTGGGACTAGGTGGTTCTGATATTGGAGCAGATGAGGCAACAACTAGTCAGTTTCCACCAGTTGACCTAGAGCAAGGAATGACAGAAGCAGCTATTCCTGTGAATGATGATGTGGGTGTTGAGCCAAACAGGGACTGGGACAGAGATGACCCAATCATGAATGTAGACACTATTTACCCAAAATGGCTGTCAGGCAATATGCCATCAATGAAGAATTTGAGCTTGGCACTGAGAAGTCTGACCCTACCAGGTTTAGGGGATTCTGTACAGCAGATGGTTGTCAATGGAGGATTGTTGGCAGAACTCAACATGATAAGACTGTTAGGGTATAATCCCTGTTGTTAATTTTTGGGTAACTACTTGTTTTTTTCCTAACTTGCTGCTAACTTGCTTTGTATCGATGTGCAGGTGCAAATAAATGCAGGAAAGCATGATTGTTCCTCTACTAGCAGGGTTCTTGGAAGAATGGCATCACAAGCTTGGGTAGCAGATAGAGCTGCTGCAATTATGAGGAAGAAGCCAAATTGTGGGGCCAAGGAGCTAAAGACCATATTAGAGGAGCGGTACAAGGTACAGATTCCTTACTCCACTGTTTGGAAGGGTAAAGAGAGGGCCATACAAAAGATTTGGGAGTTCATGGGATGATAGCTTTGATTCCTTGTATAACTTTAAGGCTGAGATAGAGTTGAGGTGTCCTGGCAGTCGAGTTGAAATTGGTACCAAGGAAGTAAATGGTCAAGTTCACTTTGAGAGGTTCTTTTGTTGCTTTGAGCCTTGCATCACAGGTTTCTTGTTAGGATGCAGAAAATACCTTAGCATTGATTCTACGGCCCTCAATGGGAAGTGGAATGGCCACTTGGCAGCATCAAATGCCTTAGATGGGCATAATTGGATGTACCCAATGGCATTTGGGTTCTTTGATGCAGAAACCACTGATAACTGGACTTGGTTCATGGAGCAACTTGCAGTGTGTATTGGACATGTGGAAGACCTGGCAATATGTACAGATGCTTGCAAGGGCCTAGAAAATGTAGTTGAGAGGGTTTTTCCTAACTGTGAGGAGAGGGAGTGCTTTAGGCACTTGATGGAAAACTTGACAAAGAGGAAAACTGGTACAGTTTATGGTAACTTGTGGCCAGCTGCTAGAGCTTTTAGGTCTGAGATCTATGACTATCACATGGATAAGGTTTTATCAGCTGATCCTGATGTTGGTGATTGGTTATACAAACATCATAAAATTCTGTGGGCAAGGAGCAAGTTCTCACCAAAGATCAAATGTGACTTCATCACTAATAATGTGGCTGAGTCATGGAATGCATGGATCAAAGAATTCAAGGAACTGCAAGTTGATGCCCTAGCAGATGCAATCAGAGAGAAGACAGCAGCCTTGTGGGCTAAGAGAAGGAAGATTGGAGAAAAACTAGAAGGCAGAAACATTTTACCTGCAATTGTCACACAACTAAAGGCAGCAACTAGAGGTTTAGCCAACATGAGAGTCATGAAGGGAGCGGATGATACAGCTGAAGTGACTGAGCTCCATAATAGTGTTGAAGTCTATAGGCATGTTGTGTATCTTGACCAACAGAAATGCACATGTAGGGAGTGGCAGTTAACAGGGAAGCCATTCTCTCATGCTCTTGCAGCTATCTCCAAACAAAGGAATCCAATCATGGATGATTTTGTTGATCCCGTTTTCTCTGTTAGTTGCTTTAGGGCTGCATATGAAGGTGTCATCCCCTGCATAACTGACAAGTCCCAATGGCCAACAGCGAACAAAGATTTTAAGTTGCAGCCACCAGTGCCCAAGCCTAGAACTGTTCCTAGGCAAAGGAAAAACATGATTCCTTCTTGTCTTGAGAAGGGGAAAGGAAAGATCAGAAGGCAGGTGAAATGCCCAAGATGTGGTGGGCTAGGGCATAGACAGAGCAGCCAAAAGTGTCCTCTTAATGGGACCAAAAAGAGGTAATAATTCTAACATGTTAACTTGTTCTATATTGTCTTAACTTGCTTCAATTATTCATTCCTTTCCTTTCTTAACTTGTTAACTTGTCCTATCTTTATTCACTGTCTTCAACTTGTGTTCTACTTGTGTTTTTTTAGGAAGAGGAAGGCAAAGAATATTGCTACAAAAGCTAGGAAAAAGAAAACTGCTAAGGAAATTGTTGAAACTCCAACAAGATCAAAGGTTGCTAGAGTTCAATTAGTTGATAGCCCTGCTCGAGTCACTAGGAGGTTAGGATATAAAAGAGACCTTGCTTCTTTTTAATTACATGATCATTATTGTGATGACTGCATAACTAACATCTTTTTTTCTTAGTCAAACAAGGACAACTGGAACACCAACTATTGCTAGAGAAGGATGCTCACAAGATTCACCTGGACCAGTGACAAGGAGGCGCTTGGCTATGACTGAAGCAACACCATCACAGCCACTACCACCAACCAAGAAGAAATTGACTCCAAAGAAAAAACAGAACTGATGTTGCCTTTTTGCTTTTGTTACATGAAACTGGACTCAAGAAAGATGGGGTTATTTATGTATTTAATGGCAGCAAAGACCAATGTTAAGGCCAGCCATGCTTGCTACTAGACGTGCTATGTAGAAATGCAGAAAACAATATTTGAAGCCTATACTATTTTAGTTCTAAGAAATGTTCCGTTGAATTGCGTTATATACTTGTTATTATGGTGCAATGTGGCTGATATATTTTGTCAGATTGTGCAATTTGGGTTGGGATGGTATGAACGAGGGATTAGAGTGACTGGGATGTCTTAACAGTGCTCCTATGAGAGCAGTTGTTCAATTTTAGTGTCAGTGGCAATTTGTGTAATTTTTATGTTAAAACATAACAGTTGAGAAGAGGCAGGGGCAAGATAGACATTTCACGCTCTCAGTGCCACCTTGGTTGGTGATGTGGCAGCCATGGGACCCGAAATTGGGTGTAAAATGGCAGAGGAGAGCTGATTTGTGGGGACCTGGGCAAATTGTCTAAGTTATTTGGGAAGATGGCATTTGGGAATGCTACATCTAAGGGAATGGCAAATAGTCTAAAATCCCACACACCTCTTCACAATAAAAATATCTTCCTCTCCTCTCAGCACCAGATCCAGATCCAGATTCAAATCCTCTCCTCTCCTCCTCACCTCCACAGATCCACTCCTCCTAGGCGTCGGCGTCCTCTCCTCCAGGCGGCATCGGCGGCGGCTCTGCCGACGGTTCTCGGGTGGTGGCGGTGACGGCGAAGGGAGGCAACCGTGCGCGGCGGTGACGGAAGGCGGTCGTCGGGGGCCGCGGCGATGGCGACGGGAGGAGGAGTCGTGGGGCGCGACGGCGACTGCAACGGGAGGTGGGGGTGCAGTGACGGCGACGGGAGGAGCTGTTTTGGGGCGCGACGACGACGGGGGGCGCGGTGACGACTGCGATGGGAAGCGGGGGCACGGCGACGGGACGACAACGGTGACAGAGGGCATGGCGAGCTCCTCCTCCTCCCCCTCCCCCAACCCTTCCCCCTCCCACGGTTTCGCTGGTGAGCCCGGCTTCCTAGATCGGGGCTTGGTACAGCAGAAGAGCTCAGCGGCGGTGATGCTCGGCGACGGGGCTCGCACAACCGGTGCTGCTCGGTCGGTGACGGCGACGACGGCCTCCTTCCTCTCTTCTGTTGTTGCTGTTTTTCTTTTTCTTTTTTTCATGTTCAAAATGCTTGTATGCTGTGTTCACTTCCATGTTCAAAATGCTTGTATGCTGTGAACTCTGGATGAGGATTTGAATCGATGCTCGAAAATTTGGAAGTGGATTTGAATATGTACACGCTGCGAAAATCTGATTTTGGGGATATTTTTGGTGTAATTTTTATTGCAGACGGCTGGCTAGGGTTGCGGTTCCGTTTTGATTATTTTTCTTCCAAATTATTTTCGCTGGCGGGTCTCATTACCTGCCGCCAGTGAAACCAAATTTTTGTTGGTGGCCATCCACTGCCAGTAAAAATGAGGAACCGCTAGCAAAAATATGTTTTCGCTAGCAGTCCACATAAGTCAGTTTTCGCTGGCGGCTGCCTTACATAGACCGCCAGTGAAAAATGAACTTCTCTAGCGGTTTTTCGCCGCCAGCGCAGATGCTTCATCTTCATTGGCCTTTGCTTTGTGGCGGCTCCAAATACCGCCAGTAAAAACCCAAAATGGCTGCCATGAAATATAGATTTGGTAGTAATGAGGTGTAATTGACATGGTTTTTTAATTGATACATGCATTATTGGAGAATGTGTGTGCATGGTGTATTGATTGATGTCATTTAAATTATCATTGGTCTTGGTGTATAAGTATATATGATGATCAATTTAGGATGGAGGGAGTATTTTTTGATCCATGCATAAATACGTGCTTACCTAAAAACACACGGATATATTTAGCTTTATGCGTGCATACCCTGCGTATAGCTATTATCATAGTCGGAATACACTTTGGCCGCCGCCCCTAATAAACCGAGAAGACAATTCGTTGTAGCCTCTCTCTCTCTCTCTCTCTCTAATTAGTGGCTGAGCATTTAGAAGAGGTGGCAAAGTTAACATACTTTTGTCTTAATTTGCATGGTTTCTTAGTCAGCTTGCCCTCGACTGTAGAGATCATGTCCGTTACTAGCTTATAGCTACACACGCATCATATCTATCTTACGTGGACGCCACAAGGTTCTATAGGCTATATAAGACGATGCAGGCCTAGATGTGTAGCTCCACACAAACCCATCATCACCTTCAACCTAACGATCGACCTGTACGTAGAACTAGCTTTGTCCCAAACCCAAGTCTCGAGCCCCAGCTAGCTAGAATCCATCAGCTTTAATTTCCTCCCAAAAAGAGGCCATCTCAGCAGGCGACATGGCGGCACGTACGTACCTGGCCGTGTTCGCTTTCTGCGCCATCTTGATGCTTTCTGCCGTGGCGCGCTCGGCCTCGGCCAGGGCTTTGAGAGAACGGGCGCCGGAGGAGGCGGCCGTTGTCGCCGGCCGCGCAGGCGTGGCCGGCATGATGAAGGTGCCCGCCGCGGCGGCCGGCGAGGCTGCAGGGCGGAGGAGCGGCGGCGGCGCGGTCGTCGTCGTCGGCGGCGCGGCGGCGCACGAGTCCAAGCGGCTTAGCCCCGGAGGGCCGGATCCCCAGCACCATTGATCTCTCTCAGTCGTAGGTAGTCGTCGCCTCGTCTGCATCAACACAAATTAAGGAGGTTTTTTTTTGTATGGTCGTCGATCGCCCAGTGCTGCATGTTTCAGTGTTCGATCTTGCGGTTAATTTTGTTTACCACTTCTGTTTCTTCGTCTTGATTTGTTTCTGTTTTTCGCTTTGTACGGCATGTGTTCTTGTCCATGATCAGACCATGTGTAGTGTAGAACTGTAGAACTCGACTAATTAATCGTTCTGCACTGTATGTTGTCAGATAGATGGACAATATAGACGAGTTCATTTCGATGCATATGCATGCATACCTGTGAAACACCATCGGAAGGGAATAATTAATATAGTGATTTCACTTTGATTTTCTATTTCTAGTACAAATCTACTCGACAAAGCGCACAAGCTTAGTTTTAGTAACATTGATCGGATCCGCTCTGTACGTACCATCATATAGATCAATAAGATCAGCGGTCGGTCAGTGGAGTATGTACTCGTACAAGCTTTTCTCAAGAAACCAACTTAAAAGGACAGTGCTAGAGTTTAAATTGGGCTGCAAATTGAAGCAGCTAAATATAATCATTCGTCAACGATATATATATCCGAGCTAACAATGACACAATTAACATGCATTGACTGTATACATTGAAAATGAACGTACAACACTATATTCCTGTGTCATGTGAAAGGAGGGGTTGTTTGGTTGGTGACTAATTTTGCGACAGCTAACCTTAGCTAAAGTGTGATCATGGTAGAAAAAATTATGTCCATGAATTATTATGTCACAAGTGTGGTATGGTTCGAAAAAAAATAAATGATTTAGGAGTTTAAAGTATAAGAAAGTATGGTAAATCTAAGTTGTGGCCGCGAAATAAATACCTATCTAATAATTATAATATGATTAAGATGTGGCTTGATAAAGTGAAGTAGTGAACTAAACAACCCGACACATTAATAAGCAAATTAATAAAGTATAGGAAGCAATTTATACACGCAGCTTCAGACTTCGGCTGTGTACGAAGGGATGCACCTGCTGCCAACTTTAGTTATGTGCTGTATAGCTGTAAGGCCGAAAGGCACCGTTCTGCGCATATATATCGCGGCCCCATATGTGCATAGAAAATCGGCATCAATGATGAGCCTATAATATTGCTGCATGCTTGACCATAACGTGAATGTATTTCTTAGTGATGAACTTTTCAGAAGGAAACATTGACATGGCACTAGTCAATGGAGCACTAGGTACAGGCGTACAGCGGTTCATCAAATAAAGACGTGAATATTAGGAAATGGCCTATTATACAAATAATTAGAAGGGGTGAGGCTTCGAATACATATCGCTCACCACCTTATGAAGCTAGCTGGAAGACCCGGCTCTTCGTACCCCAGCAGCTCATCAAATCGTTGAGTAACTCCAGATAACTTCTCAAGTTTTAGCTAGTGACCAGCAGTCCAATATATACGCTTGAGTAAATCACTAAATGTACTTTCTACTGACAACAAATACTACATCTGTTTTTAAATATATGGTGCTATTGTCTTTTAAACTTGATGTCGCGTTTGATTATTCATTTTATTTGAAGTTTTGTATAAATGTGAGAAATATGATATGAATGCTTGAAATACCTTCACTGACAAAAGTAAGTCATAACAAAATAAATAATACTTACTACATATTTTTTTAATAAAACTAGGATGGTTACACACAATGTCTAAAAGCCTACAATAAATTGTTGATTGATCTTGGCTAACCAGGCCAAAAACCGGGAAGTGCTCAGTTCACCCAAGCCCACAGGCACAGCTTAGGACGAGTCTCCATGTTCGTGTGCATACGTCCTCTAGTTTTTTTTTTTTGTTACGTATTCTTCAGGGGGTAATTTTACCATCATTCAAAAAATACCGGAAGGTATCACGTTTTCTAGTATAAAATTTAGTAGCAACGTCGTATTACCAAGGCCACCCCATTAAAGAGTTCACTCTTTGGGCTCGAGAACAGAACTGCGATTTACAAAATTCAACAAAGTGATTAAAGTTATTCATCATGATGTCATCATTACAAAGGCAGCGTTCGTTCCAGTGAGTTTGAGGAAGAAAGCACGTCGTTTTCCGCGTGCACGCTTCCCAAACTACTAAACGGTGCGTTTTTTGCAAAAATTTTCTATAGGAAAGTTCTTTTAAAAAATCACATTAATCCATTTTTAAAATTTAAAATAGTTAATAATTAATTAATCATGAGCTAATGGCTCACTTCGTTTTGCGTATCTTCCCAATCACTCAATCCTCTCCTCCTCAAACACACCCAAAGTTTATCATCTATATCTAACAATTAATGCTTCATGTAAATTCTTGTAGCAACGTCGTATTATAAGTATCATCCAGTAAAACGTGAAATGAAAAGCTCATCTCCGTACGTGTGGCCTTGCAAGACTCGACAGACGATTATCGCAGTAGGTCTAAAAAGAAAGACCTCGACCGATGCCAAGAATAACGGAGGAAAAAAAAAGGTAGCTCTGGACTCACACTGCTCTGACAACAGTCACTCAAGCATTAATTAGTTTCTTGTTTTCAATCAAGGAAAAGAGCATTAACTCTTTAATTAGTCTGCTCTTCTCCTATCTACCGATCGAGGTAAGCATGCAACTTTTCATTTTTGTCATTGCTTGCGACGTGCCTTGTCACGATCTTCTCATTCTATAGGTTCTTAACGAATAGGGTAATCAGAGAGATCAAAAGCTAGTCCATGCCTTAAAAAAAACCCTTTGCGATTAAAAGACCCAAGAACTTTTTGGATATGATATGCCATCGTCAGAAAATTGCTGGTATCTACACAAGTTGCATTGCTTTAACTATTTTTTTCAGGTCTTAAACCAAATTAAATCGATTGTGCTCGATGGATCGAGCTGCCGTACGTCACGGCTAAACCTTTTAATTTTCTGCTCTGTTCATAGTTTCATATGCTTTTCGATGGGGCCTTGGTATCAGACGCAGCCTATCGACGAACAGGTTCATCGAGCGGTTGTTGGGTTGGCCGGTTAGGATGGTGTAATTAAAATACAGGTAGGGTACGTTTAGTTTTGCCTCTTCAGGGTTCAGAAAGCGTAATACTACTAGACTAGAGGTTGACGGTCGACTGAATATTATATGACGTGTGCTAGCCAGAGCTTCGGTCACTAGCTAGCTATTCTGCAAATCGTCGAAGCGATTGGCTTTCTTGTTTCTTATTTTCAATCTCCATTAATCTCATTAGCGGCTGGTGCGCGTGTGTATACTAATCCGGTTTAATTTGGTCTTGCCTTTTTATGTTTCTCTCTTAATTTTTCGCTGAGATATGGTGGTTGGATCGAGCAATTCAAGATGAGTGCGCAATTAGAATTTTTCCATTGTAGTGATCGAGCAATTCAGATTCAGTGCATTGTACTGGAAATATTCATGAAACCACGCTCCACTCGACCACTCCGGGCTCCCGGAGGCTCCACTAACGATTCTCATGTCAGGATTTCAATTAAAAGTTTGTCATTTCCAATTAAAGGATCACACAATTGATTTAACTTTCAGCTCAAGATTGAATAATCTTTCAGCTAAATTTTGCAATTGTAATTTAAATGGGATGACACGCTTTTTTTTTCCTAAAATGAGGGAGACAATTAAATCCTTCATTGCACAAAGATTCTTGGAGAGAAACCTTTAAACTCAAATCGTCCATGGTATTAGTTTGAGAAAAGGTCGGTGCAGGCACAGGCCAGAATGCTTACTGTCAAGAGAAGATAAGCAAGGCATGCACCGCCACACCGGCAATATGCAGGCAGTAGGCCTCGATCGGTCTGCCGGCCACCAGAAATTAAAGATACTAGTAATTAATCAATACTCTGGCTAGCATGTTATTGATATTCTAGTATAGTTAGCTAATGCTAATGATCCAAGTCAGACATGATCATGGTCCAACGCAGCAGATGCATTGCATATGCATGAGGAGAAACGCCAATGCCTTATCAACTGGTACCTACCGCTAACGATTCCAACATTGCCGCGGCCGGCCGCCGCCCTGTACCTTCCATGTCGGCCAAAAGAACACTTAGTATATATATATCAAGCAAAAGGAGATCGATCGATCGGTCAGTTCATGGATGGGCTATATATCGGTCAGTTCATGGATCGGTCAGTTCAGGGATGTTTGGTACACTTATATAGATTTGAAGGCAACTCCGAGGGATCCACACCCTGCTCTGGATCCCTTGGAGTTGGGTATAACTCTACCAAGTAGAGTTGGCCAAATCTATACCATCCACTGTTTCCTACGGCTGAGATCATGCCTCATCAAATTTACCTAATAAATTAACTCCTCAACATTAATGGTTATAGCTTGAGAGAAAAATTAGTTTTTTCAACGCGCGCTTCCTCTATTTTGATTATGTTCTCAACAAAAAATTAAGTGAAAAACTTTTTGTTCTTAATAACCACGTACAGTCGATCAACTCTAAGCAACAGTATATACCAACACAGTGTTTTCATATATATGCAACAGCGAACCATATCAATATTAATATGTATAATTTTTTAATAAAATAGATGAAGTATGAAATTCTTGTATTAATTCTACAATTCTATAGTAAAAAAAAAATCCTGTGACATGTTGTTGATGCAAGTTTATTTGTTGCACGGTTAATTACTTGTTTTAAGTATATATTAATGTTAACATGGCTTAATCTTAGCCGTTGAGGTACACGGAATGGCACAAATCATGGCAACTCCACCTGATAGAGTTGTAGCCAACTCTAGGGGATCTAGACCCCGCCTAGCTAGCTATACTATAGGCGTTCACTTTGATACCATTTTTAACCTTACCAAATTTCGATAAAGTTTCCAAAAAAATGGCTATATTTAGTTTGCTGCCAAATTTTAGTAATTATATAAGAAATCCTGCCAAAATTTGGCACGTTGCCAAAATTTTGGCAACTATACTAAAATTTTTGGTAATGCCAAAATTTGGTAAGGTTTTTTTTCATCAAAGTGAACCGGCCCTATATTATCCAGGGCGGCATTTTATAGTACACTAAGTCTGCATGTGGTACATATGTCCAAGAATTCGAGATACTGATGATCGATTAAAATGCTAACCCGGATATGACGAAGATACTGAAGATCATTTAAAATGCTCTGCGCAATATGGTGACAGATAAAGAGAAAATATGCAAATATCATCAGATATGCAATGCAAAAAAAAAAACGTTTTTTATGTTGCAAATTGCAGGAAAACTGGCCCGGTCTATCATGACGCACAGCCTGCTCAGCGGAAGCCGTCGCGCGCTTTCCTTGCAGTTTCGGCCCGATGCACCGCCACGCGTATTTCCGGCCCAAACCAGCCCAACTGCAAGCGCGCTCGGGCAGATACCCCCCGGTGAGGAGCCCATCGCAACGTCGCCGCGCGCTCGTTTGCGATTCTTCCTTCCCCTCTTCTGCCGCTGCTGCCACGCGCCGCCTCGACGCCGCCCCGCCTGCTGCGGCGCCGCCGGTCGCCGGGGCGCGCGATTAGCTGTGCGCACCGCGAGCATCTCGTGCCCGTGACGGCACGCCTTTGGCCTTCGCCGGCGCGCCAGGAGTGACACGCCGCTGTCCCCCCCATGCCGCACCCGGCACCCGCTCGACGGAATGCCGAGCCCGAGTCCGAGCGCGCCGCCCTCCGCTTCCCTCTTCAACTCCCTCATCGCGTCCCGCGCCCGCGCCGGCCGCGCCGCCGAGGGCTTTGCGCTCCTCGCGCGCATGCTCGCCGCGGGCGTCGCCCCGACGGCGTTCACCTTCGCGCCGATCCTCTCCTCGCCTTCGGCCGGCGCCCGCTGCGCGGCGCAGCTGCACCCTCACATCCTCAAGAGCGGGCTGCTCCACAGCGACCCCTACTCCGGGACATCGCTGGTGGGGTTCTTTGGGCGGAATGGCCGGTTTGATGATGCACTCAGGTTGTTCGGCGAAATGCCTGTGCGGAGCGTCGTCACCTGGAACTGTCTCATCTCTTCGTTTGCGCAGCATGGACGTGCCTGCGATGCTGTGATCTGGTTCAGGGCGCTGGTTCGAAGCGGTAACAGCGTGTCTGATGGCTCTCTTGTGGCAGTACTTCCTGCTTTTGGCACACCAGAGCAAGTTCATGGGCTTGTGAAGAAAATTGCGATAGATTCCTTCTCAACAGTTGCAAACTCATTGCTGAATTCATACTGTACTCACAGTTCCACGTCTTTGGCAGAGAATCTGTTTAGTGAGTTCATGTTCAGAGACGTGGTTTCTTGGAATACAATGATCATTGCCTTCGCTAGGAGAAGCTTGCCTCAGAGAGCCCTTGAATTTTTCTGGATGATGGAAGGTTGGAGTGTTTTGCCCAATGAAATAACATTTAGCAGTGTAATTTATGCCTGCACCAGTATAAATGGACATGAACATGGGAAGTCCATTCATGCAAAAGTTATCAAACACAATCTCAATACGAGACCATTTGTGAACACTTCACTGTTTGATTTCTATTCAAAATGTGGTTGTACGAAGGATGCTCACAAAGTTCTTGAAGAAGCTCCTGAGGATAGCACCACACGTTGGAATGGACTGATTTCTTGTCACTCAGATACTGATGTTCCAACGTCGTTTTTTATTCTGAGAGAGATGTTGCGATCTGGTGTTATGCCAAACGAGGTTAGTTTGTCTTCTTTGCTCAAGGACCCATCAGTATTCGATCTGTTGCAGATTCACTCGTTGGTAACAAGATTGGGTTACGACGGCTATGACTATGTCTCAAGTGCCATTATATCTTCATATGCTTCACATGAAATGGTTTCTGATGCTTTGGCTTATGGGGGTATGTTAGATCCTGACTCCTGTGCTGTCTCCATGAATGTTTTAGCTGGGGTATATAACAGAGTCCGCATGTATGACGAAGCGAAGAAGCTACTTTTACATCAGGGATGTAATGACACTGTTTCATGGAGCATACTTATCACTGCTTGTGCAAGGAATGGTGATTATGCTGAAGCTCTTAAATTTTTCGAACTGATGAGAATTTTGGGGCATCATTTTGATAGCTATGTATCTGTGAGCCTGCTAAGCATTTGTACAAAGTCTAATAGCCTTGTTCTTGGTAGGTTGCTTCATGGGCTTATCATCAAGACCAATTCTGGTTGCTTAGATACTTATGTTCATAATATGTTGCTAGATATGTATGCTAAGTGCGGTAGAATTGAAGAATGTCTGAAAGCCTTTAAGGAAATGGAAGATAGGAACATTATCTCCTGGACAGCTATAATTTCTGGCCTTGCACTTAATGGTTTTTCTCGTAAGGCCCTGGCATGGTTTAAAGCCATGGAAGAGGATGGCTTCAAACCTGACAAGGTAGCAATTACAGCAGTCCTTTCAGCTTGTAGGCATGGTGGACTGGTGCATGAAGGAATGAATATATTCAGACATATGAAGTCTGAATATTCAATCGAGCCTGAGATGGAGCATTACATTTGTGTGGTGGACATGCTATGCAAGTGTGGTCATTTGAAGGAAGCTGAGGTTGTGATTAGAGGCATGCCATTCCAACCAAGTGCTGTCGTATGGCGCACATTCCTCCAAGGTTGCCAGACATACGGTATGATAGATACTCAAGTACTTAGCTAGCAAATCTGTCATACAAAGTTTGGTTATTTAAAGGAAGCTGAAATTGTTTGTAAAGGCATGCATTTCCAACCAAGGCCTGTCATATGGTCACATTTCTCCAAGGTTGCCAAACAGATTCACAAATATTTAGCTAGCAATGTTTCAGGTGAAGTTGCATTTGATAAACAATGGAGGTGCGCCTTTTCTTTTTTACATTGACTCGCCAGTTTACCGTATATCACTTCAACATTTGGATCATGGTGGATATCAAATTAGTTTTGGTTGATCCTGTACAAAATAGTTAGTTTCGTCTGTCCTGCAGATTCTTTGTTTATATGATCTTGTAATAGATGGTACATAACTACTAGGCATCTTCATTGATCACTCTGCTTCTGTTCCCTGCATCTGCTATGCAAATGAAAATGAGAAGTACTGAGTTGGAAATATCCTAAGCGATCGTTCAGTCACTTATATTCAGGTAATAGATGTAAGGTTAAAAAAAAAAAGAATAACGTCATCGCTTAAGGTTCTAGGTGGATCAATATTTTTACTATTATCTGAAAAAGGTTGCTTTCATCCAGAGAGTGGCAAAAGGTGTGGTGTAAAAGGAACAGCATTGTCGCTTTCGAAACAGATTGCATCTAGTCACTTAACACAGTATGTAGAAAGATTGTTGACTGGAATGATTTCAGTAACTTTTTCCTCTATATTACCATGGAATCTGCTGATTGTGACGTACAACCGACTCAGTTAATTAATATGGCTTCTCTGGTGCGAGTATTTCATCGTGAGATTATTTCATGGTTTTGACGGAATAAAGAGAATTCCTAATTTTTGTCAGTAACCATATGTTTTGACTTTTTGAGGGACGAAGTTACGGATGGATCACTCCATTTCGTATCTCAAACCAAGCAAGTCATACAGGATCGAATTAAAGTCAAATGACCGTATCATTTCTCAGCTAAACAGACACTTAGAACCCGAAACGTGGACTCTGTGTTAACAATCAAGTGGTTCTTATTTGTAATCTCTTGGGTTTGATTTCGACCATTTATCTTATAAAATTCTGCAAGCTGCCTTCTTGCATTATGAGGAGGTCAGACAGCCGTTACATGCAGAGGATGTGGCTAATCGGTTGCAAAGATATAAAGAGCAAATCTGCAACCGAAACATTAACTAACCTTTCGAGGTACTACAGCCTTTTGACGAAGCAGGCACATAGATGAGCAAAATGACATATTGACATATAAATTACATCCAAGCATTGGATTTTATTGGCTACTCGTTTTCCTTTCCACTAAGCACTGTCTACATAGCTACGTAGCGGGCTCGTATACTAATGGTTGGTGATCGAGCATATTTGTTTTGATGCTACAAAGTGATTTGGTCAAAGAATTCTTTTGAATTTTCATATTTTACAATTGCCTTCCATATTACCTATTGTAATGTCTGGTGGCACTAAAAGGTATGGATATCAGTAGCTTCGTATCAAAGTCGAGATTGCAAATGTTGATAGCCAGGGGACCCAGTAATACTGAATGCAGGATTGCAATTCTGAACCAGATTGATTCGCCTTTGGTTTCAGCTCAATATCTCATGCTGTACTTAGGAATTTATCCAGGTAATTTGGCGCCGTACGTGCTGGCGGTACTGCATTCGGCGCATAGCCAGTTCAGCTACACTACTAGTCTTGTCCTTGGCTTTGATTCTACTCAATGTTTACTGTGTGTTTAATTAATTTCTTCCATCTTACCTGTGACATTTGTGAATTCGACAACTCCAAGCACTCGTTGTCTAGGATGCCTAGCTAGCTGACAGTTTCATCCAACAGCAACCTACATGTAGTACAGCCATTGCAATTAGCATACCTCACACTCTAATGCCTAATGCAAAAGCCAAAAGGGGATATATATATCCTCCTCGTCGCAGAAAGTGGCAATGGTGTGCATCATGGTACTGATCTATTACTAGCTAGTAGCAGCACCAGCAATTGTGGTGGTGGTGGCCAGTGGCCACTCGGACGAGGCCAGAAGAAAGGCTACGTAGAATGCGCCAATGCGGTGGTAGTTGAGATTAGTACCGAACTTATCCAAGAAAACGCCCCCCGGCCGGCGCCCTTTGGCCCCCACACTTATATGTTTCTTTTGTAACCGTCGCTGCACTAGTTCCACCGTCTCCTCTACACCCCCTATATAAACACACCTCGCGCCGGCACCTGGCCATGACAACACAAACGAACCTAAGCTAGCTAGCTATAGCTCATCGACACACACACACACACACGTACGTACGGTGAATAATTTCATCGATCAATTGAGATATGGCTATTCGTAGTTGCGTCTGCATTGTGCTCTGCCTGGTCTTGGTGGTCGTCGTGGGGCTCGCGGCCACGCAGGCCGAGGCGGCCCGTGCCTTGGCAGAGTACGCCGCTCCGCCGGGCGGCGACTACGACGACGACGTGGCTGGCGGCGGCGGCGGCGGCGGATTTGGTATCCGTGGACGTCGTCGGCCGGGGAGGTGGAACGTGAGGAGCCTACAGGGCGGCAAGCGGGAAGTGCCGGGCGGCCCGGACCCTCAGCACCATTACTAGACGACGATCCGATATATATATCGAGCATTATTCGTGAAATAATCTCGTCTGAGGCTATTATGATCTCAAAGAAATAATCTCTCTGAGAGGCTTAGGTTGATCGACTGGTGCTCAATAGTTGTACTACTAAACCCTTGTAACTAAGGGTGGCAGCAGGTAGCAAGCAACTTGTGTAGCGGCCGGGTTATTCTTTTGGCAGCAAATAATGTTTTCTCTGCAGCTAGCTATATATATCATCGTAGCATATCCATCCGGCCATCCGGGGAGTAGTAGCCATGCATATGTATACGTACGCTAGCCGCTGCAGCTATCTAGCATATATATTTTGTATACGCTGTAGTTTGAATTGTATTGTTATTACCAACATTGTTGTGACAAAGCTAGCTTCAGCAAATATTTATATATGAATTACGAACGAATGTCAAATGCTAATTGCTGCTTTCGATGTCCCTGCATTGCTACTTTACCATCGAAGATTTGCCAATCCGAATATAATCATCCGTACGGGTGACACATATATATACACGACACCGAGCATGTGGCCATATAAAGGTTCCTTTTAGAAACTTTTCCATCAAAAATTAAGAAAAATATGCGCAACTTTACATAGGTCATGAATCATGATTGTGCCACATTGCAAATAATTAACAAATGGACGACCAGCACGTCATCTGACTGAGAAAAGGGATGAGAAATAATGGCTAGCTCGGTGGAAAAGGCTCTTGTCAAGATCAAAGGGAGAGCGTATAGCTTTTTCGGTCAAAACGTTCTGGCCCTGTTTGGTACAACTCCAACTTCTAAATTTAGCTCCAGGAGTTGAGTTTGAAGTGAAGTTGTAGAGCTACCTAAACCCAGCTCCACAACTCTAGTACATTTTGTGAAAGGGCTCCACCTAACTCTACTCCCAGTTTTGGTGGAGCTGTTTGGCTGAGCTCCAGCTCCAGAAAGAATGGAAGTAGAGCTAGAGCTGTGCCAAACAGGCCCGCCTCGTCGCCGTCGTTGTAGCCTACCAGCAAAACGGCTCGCAGAAGGCCATGACGCGGGCCATTGTTACGGCCTAATGGTTGTGGGCTTCTTCTGCGATGAGGCCCTTCGGGCTTAAATCAGTTAACGTCGTTTCGGACTTTCGATTTGCCACGGAAGGCCTTGCTTCGGCCCAATTTATGGATGTTAGCCTGTGAGCTGACAGTCTTCCGTCTTTCACTAACTTAAAAAACATATCCGTGCGTTGTAACGATGAATATTATTTTATTTGTATTATTGTTAGCAAAAGTATATGGGATTTTTTTTATTTTGATAGTATTGATATCTAGTTAGGAACTCTTATTGGGATGATAGATATATCGTGTACGTTGTTATCTTATGGGATAGCGAGAATTGTGAAGCATATAGGAGTCTGACTCTCGTCCCAAGTTAACATGAATTTCTTACACGACTCCTTCTGTATTTTCAAAAGCGAAAGAACTAAAAACCAATTCAAATACGAACGACATACCAAAGAATCAGCGGAAGCATCGTCAATTTTTATAGTAACTAGAAAAAAAATGTTCGTGCATTGCAATGGTTGAAGGCTATTTTAATTTTATTATTGTTATATGGTTTAGTTAAGGTGAAATTCACCATGGGTATTCACTTGGATATATATTTTTTTAGAAAATCATGAATTGCAGTTAGGAGTCCGATCGTCTCAAGTAATCTGCTTGGATATATATTTTTTCAGAAAATCTAAACATGAGCTACAATTAGGAGTCTGGTTGTCTCAAATTAGCATGCGAGTTTTTTTTAAAGAAATCATTTTGTATTTTCCAAAGCGAACAAACTTAAAAACCGACTCAAATAAGGATATGTATTTCCAAAAACGAATGAACTTAAAAACCGACTCATATATGGATGACATACCAAGGTACCGGCAAAAACATCTTTATTTTTTATAATAGTAGAGATAGAGATGGAAGGAATAAGTTCACCTTGACTCCCTTAACTAGTGGTCGTATTGGATTCGTATTCTTGAACCACAATACTGGATATCCCAAAGTTATGTAACAATAGTAACAATAGTGATAAACTCTAAAATATATTTATATTTTGTATATCTAACAGTGAAGCCAATACCTATATTACAATTGAGCGGTTACCTAAACTCTGTTGGTGTTATAAATACAGTTGAGTTGAGCAGTTACCTGAACTCTGTTGGTGTTATCATGTTGGTGTTATCACTTGATAAAACCAACAGAGTGGTAACCGCTCAACTGTAATATAGGTATTGGCTTCACCGTTATATATATATATAATATAAATAGATTTTCTTTAAAAATAACGGTAAGTGAATATCTGTACTTAGCATGAATATACAACTGATTTTTATAGACTGATTGGACGATTGTAAAAATTTGCAGAGAAAACAATGATTATACCCTTATGTCTTGTTTAGTTCCCAAATTTTTTTTTAAAAACATCACATCGAATCTTTAGACACATACATAGAACATTAAATAGATAAGATGAAAAACTAATTGCACAGTTAGGGGAGAAATCGCGAGACAAATCTTTTAAGCCTAATTAGTCCATGATTAGCGATAAGTGCTACAATAACCCACATGTGCTAATGACGGATTAATTATGCTGAATAAATTCGTCAAGCAGTTTCCAGGCGAGTTATGAAATTATTTTTTTCATTCGTATCCGAAAAACCTTCCGACATTTGGTTAAACGTCCGATGTGACACCCAAAAATTTTCTTTTCCAACTAAGGCCGAGTTTAGTTCCAAATTTTTTCAATAAACTTTCAACTTTTTCATCACATTAAAACTTTTTTATACATAAATTTTCAACTTTTCTATCACATTATTTTAATTCTATCTAAACTTTTAATTTTAACGTGAGCTGAAGAAGACAGTACCGAAGGATAGAATTTCTCCAACAGAGGCGCTGCAGGTTTCCGTCAATGTGAGCGTCCATCTAACAAGCAACCGGGACGGCGACGCCTTTGCTTAATTAACACCCCAGGCGGCCGCAGACCAAACCGACCACCAAGTCGTCATCCTCCTCCCTCCTCTTCCTTCCAGTGCCAATCAACCCAACCCCCGCTTCCCTCCCCCCCTCCCCTCCCTTTCCTTCCCCTCCAAGGAAGCTATCCCCGTCTCGCCTAAACCCTAGCGCGCCGCGATGTCCGGCTCCGGCGTCCCCGCCGGCCGCGGCTCCCGCAGCTTCGACTTCGGCGCCGACGACGTGCTCTGCTCCTACGACGACTTCGCCGCCCCCTCCGAGCCCAAGCGCCCCGATCCGGCCGACAAGGTATTACTTCCTCCCCCCCCCCCCCCCCCGCCCTCTCTCGGCGGCAACCCACCTTTGATCCCTCGTGAATCGTGGTGCGTGATGATCGCGTGCAGAGCTCTGACCGAGGCTTATTGCCGCACGATTTCGCCTCAGCGGTGTCGTATTCCCGTGAATCTATTCGTTCAACTGAATAGTGTGGAAACGGTCCGATGAAAATTGGCTGAACAGCACTGAATAGTTTCAGTTTTTTTTTTGCCCAATTGTAACGTTCACATCGATTTGGTTATAGGCTCGTTGGTACTATGCAGCCATCGCTTGCTATTTCATTTTCTTCCTGACGAATGTGTTATTCCAGCTATGCCTATCTGTTGTAATTCAGAGAATATCATGGATTTATTTTATTGTGTGCATCAAGGTTTATATGGTACCTGCTATACTTGGGATTTTCAGGTCTTATTTTGATTAAACCCACACTGAATTCCTGATGTGCAGTGTAGGTTTGTCTTGAATGGTCAATATAGGCTGGAGATAGTCAATGAGAAATTCATTTAATAAGCTATCAATTGAAATATTCAGTGGGTTATTTCTGTGAGGGCCACTGCACGAGAGAGAAAGATGCCTATAGGATATAGTTTTCAGATAATTTTTTCTGACATTCTGTTGAATAAGATTTATGCAAGTCATGACTATTTGATTCACACGTAACATTAATACCGCCTATAGTTTTCATGTTCAGTAAAATTTTTGTTACATATAAATTAGTGACCATGTGTCCAGGACATTGCTATTCTAGGTAAGGAACACAATCTAATGTTTAGAGAAAAGGTGGATTGACGTTGATTTTGTACTTGATAAGTTTACCTATATGTTCAGTCTGTTTAGGGATTATTGTCTTGCTTATCTATTTGTTCAGTCCATTTATGTTTAGAGATTATTGTCTTTATGGGTGAATGTTGAAAGTCCATTATAGCATTCTGGAAACTTCTGATGACACCCTTGGTGTTGCTGGAGGATGGTATTCTATGTTCTAACAGGTGAAATATAAATAATCACCTGTGGGTTGGTGTGTTTTGGGATGTGTTCTTGGTAGGAGGGACTCCTTGATCCCTCCTATGTAAATATTTCTTTCTTCTTAATGAAATGAAGCGCAGTTCTCCTGCATCGTCCAAAATTATATAAATAATCAAATTAAGCTATTACTGACATAGTTGGAGAGAGCATTACAAAAATCTGATGTATTTGTTTCTTAAAAAATGAAATTTGTCAAAGATATCTGCATTTTTACAAGCAAAATTAATTTAATGATTATAATAGTAGAAATCCTTGTGCTATATTCATCCCTCATTCTTGTACTTGTGCAGCAGGACTTTCACGACAGTAGATTGGGGAGACCATTTGGAAAAGCTTATGAACAAGAGAGTTACGGCAAGGAGGATGTACTTTTTGCTGTTGAGAAGTGCATGAAGAAATATGCTGATAATTTGCTGCGATCGCTTGAGGGAATTACTAATCGTCTTTCACAACTGGAGATCTATTGCTATAAGCTTGAGAGATCCATGGGTGAACTTCGAAGTGATGTGCTCCGTGATGAGACTGATCAAAGATTGAAGTCTCTTGAGAAACATCTTCATGAAGTAAGTAAATCACTATTTTAAGAAAAAATATATTTTGAGACTAGATCCAGTATTTCACATTTTCCACCCTTTCAGTTTCTGCACTGAAGGGGGACAGTTCTTTTGCATCCAGTGTAATTATGATCATGTCATATACTCATCCATATATTATACCCCCTCCATTCCAAAATATGAGCATTTCTGCACGTATTTCAAAATTTATATGCCTATTTGGACATCCCCGCGTGCAGACAAAAATGCTTATATTTTGGAACGGATGGAGTAGCCTTTTGTGTTGATTGACATGTACAGTACATGTTTTCTTTATTTGTTGTGACAACTTACCTTTTCTTTATACTGTGTATGTGATTTTGCTCCTTCGCTTTAAATGCATGCTCCAATTCTTATATGTATTTAAAATACCATCTAGTGAATACATAGGGAAATATTAGGCTTATGTATGTTTAGCCTAGAGGCCCTAATCTCCTAAGTTGTTGTGGTTTTTGTGGGCTATGGTTCTTTAGTATTTTGGGCTGTGATTATTGTTTTTTTCCTTTGAACAAAAAGTACACCATTTCCAATCTCTAAGAAATGTGATGGTGCTATACCACCGTCCCTTTCAGACAAAGGGAGAGATGTCTTCCTGGTCTCTCAAAGGCTGCTCCCTACTGACCTGTTCAGAGGTTAATGCACATAAATGTCCTTCTTGTTTTGTACTTTCTTCTGATAAACTAGTCTTGTTGCCTGTTGTGCACTCGAAGCCTGGAATCCACTCTTGAATATACTCAGTATGTCTAATGTATACCCTGTGACTCAACCAGGATTGGCAACACTCCTCTGTATTTAAATTGGCAACTGTGGTTGATAAATAAGTGATCCCTGTGATGGATCTGTTCTAACATCTTATAAGTTCAGAGTGCACAAATGCTAAGGGTATACATCATCTCATATGTTCCATGCCAGACATGCATCTGTTGAGCCATAATGGCCATTTGGAGTCTTAGGTGCTACCACGAGCTTCAAGATGACACTTATTTAGAATTTGGAGATTAAGGCCTGACCACAAACTTCGAGTATTTCTAGCAAACAGAATATTTAAGTATAGTTCATTCTTGGTATTCATCGAGATTGTCCTGCAGTCTAAAATGACATGCACGTTGCAAAACATTTTGGCTATCACAGAGCTGTTGATGGGCACATGACCGTATCCAAGTTCAGAAGATGTGACAATTTATTATTAACCAACAATTCAATCTCCAAATGTTTAATTTCTTTACTGTTTATGTACTGTATTTTATATCTTTGAGCATTAATTCTCTGTTGAGAAGTTTTCAAGTTTCAACTCTAATCAAATTTTCAAATGATGCAGGTGCACAGATCTATTCAAATCCTTAGGGACAAGCAAGAGTTAGCTGAAACTCAGAAGGAATTAGCCAAATTTCAACTTACACATGACACATCTAAAAAGAAGGAAGATATGCCAACACCATCTTTCCCTGAGCAAAAGACGCTTGAAGAAAAGGCAGATGCACCTGGTCAGCAGCTGGCGATTGTTTTGCCTCATCAGGTGAACTCATCCCTTGCACCTAGAGCTTCTCAACCAGTCCAACAGTACAAAGATCAGACAGTGCAGCAGCCACCTAGCTCTTCTGTACCACAGCAGGACCGTTATGTTCTTAGCCAAGCCATTGTTTACTACCCACAGCGTCAAGCTCCAGGCATTCAGGATACACAGGGGCAGCAAGTACAACCAGAGGTGCAGTACTTGCCAGTAAGGCCTTCAGCAACGCAAGATGTTCCTGTCCATGCTTCATCTCAACAGTCTCAGGCAGCAAATCAAACCCAGCCTCAGTCTTTCCCTCCCTACCAGCAGCAGTGGCCCCAGCAATCTTCCCAGCCGGCTCCTGCACCAGTGGCCCAGCCACAGCCGACTTTCTCGCAGCCATTTCCTCCACCTGTGCAGCAGCCCCAATTATCTAACACTCAGCAGTTTCCTCCACAACCAATGCAGCAGCCCCAACTATCTAACACTCAGCAGTTTGCTCCTCAACCAGTGCAGCAGCCTAATGCTCAACAGTTTCCTCCGCCACCAGTGCAACCGCAGCAATCTAACACTCAGCTTCCTCCTCAGGCAATGCAACCACAACAGCATCCTCCTGTACAAAATCAGATGAGGCCTCAAACTCCACCAAACTACCCTCATTATCAACCCCACCAGTCCTTGAACCCTCCCCCTGAAACTCTACCTGGCAGCATGGCTATGCAAGGACCATACAACACGGTTGCTCCGGCAGCGGGGAGCCGTTCTGAAGTGCCATATTCATACGGAGGACCTGGCATGCCACCACCGCAGCACAACATGCAAAGGCAGCAGCTACCTCCTCCAAGCCAGGGCTCTTTCGGACCTCCAAGTAAGGGGGGCTATGCCGGCCCGCCACAATATGCGCCGCAGGGCAGCTCACATGGCTACAACACTGCATATGGCTACCCCCCAAGTGGTCCTTCAGCAGCCCAGGCACCTCAGATGCCTCCAGCTCCAGGTAATGTTGGTATGAGTCACCCAGGTTCGCATCAGATGATGCGCGGCCATCCTTATGGGGAAATGATTGAGAAGGCAATCACCATGGGATATCCCAGGGAGCAGGTGATGAATGTTATTCAGAGGATGACCGAGAGTGGCCAGCCGATGGATTTCAACACATTGCTGGACCGGTTGAACGAAGCAGGGTCCGGAGCACCCCCTCGTGCGTGGTGATTTCGTCCTGGGTTGGGTTTGGACCTCTCTCCATCCCGGCACGGCGCTCATACGTGTGCAAAGAGTGGTACTATCGTGTAGTAGTTGAATAAATAAGATTTGAAGTGATGCCATCTGTTGACTGTTGCGTATTTGTACGATGTACATATTATACATTGATCTTAATCTTCATGTACTTCCTGCACGTGTACCACCAACTTCTTTGCAATTGGACCATTTCAGCAGATCTGTGCTAATCCAAATTATTGCCAGGTATATTGTCATTTTGCGGTGTGAAATGTCAGGTGATTGTTGCCAGTTGCTACTTGTGTTTTTAAAGTTGCATGTAAATTGTTCCAACTTGATCGAGCATCTTTTACCTGCAGAAGTGCAGAGACGGTATTTTCTGATAGTATATGGGTATTTCCTCTTTTACAGTTTTCACTTTGCTCAATCAAGTTGCGTGACTATGTGACTAATAAAAAAAAAAGTAAATTTTATAAAACTACATGTTTTATGGTCTAAGTTGAAGAAAACAACATACACTTTGATATTTGGCATTTAATTACATATATTTTGGTCGTGTAGTTTCACAAAACCACACTATCGATGAATGGATTCACTCGCGAGATGATGTGGTTGTTTCACATAGGACGAGGACATGGCATCATATTACCAGCCATCAGACAAAATTAACAGGATGCCACGTCCCCATCCTAGATGGAACAACCACGTCATCTCGCGGGTAAATCCATTCATGGATAGTGTGGTTTTGTGAAACTAAACTACCAAAATATATATACTTAAGTGCCAAGTGTTAAAATGTGTGTGGTTTTCTACAACTTGAACCATAAAACATGTAGTTTTGTGAAATTTACTTAAAAAAAATACGAGAACACCCGAGTATGGGTGTCGTGACAGCATTTTCCACACGTCAGCAAGCGTGCGGATATGCACTGAACGGGCTAGAATTTTGAATTCGGATTGACGCATGTGTGAGTTGGAACTTGAGCTCACGAGTAAAATAAACGGGCCTACGATCCTGAGCGCGGCCTGGCTAGAAAAAAGAGGAGTGTGGTATCTGTGCTCCACCTCCACGGCGAAACCATCTCAAATGCGCTGACACCTGGGAGGCCGAGCAGGGAGGAACGAAAACTCAATAAAGGGTAATCTCTTTCTACCTACTATATCTACTAATACCTAGTATTGCATAGCAATCTCACTGTATGAATCTGTTCTTCCTGTTTCTCAGCATCTCGATTCTCCTACAATTCCGACCAGGTTTTAGGAAGAGATCGAGGAGCAGCTGAGCCAAGCTGAGACGCCGCGGCGGCGGCGGCGGCGGCGGCCAACCCATCCGGTGAGACCCTTCCCCTCTCCGTTTCGCTAGCTCGTCACCGCTGCCTCTGCCATAGATTCGCCAGCTCGAGCTTCTCCGGCTCAGGGGATTTCCTCTCCCACGGCCACCGGAACCGACGATTTCGATTCGATTCCGAGCCGACGACGACGAGGCCAGTGGCGGTTCACGCAGCTGCCTCCGCCGCTGCGGCGATTGACGTGTTCCTCCTCCTCCCCCTCCCCCCGAATATGCCGGCGCCATCTCTCTCTCTCTCTCTCTCTCTGCCGTTTTCCGCCGCGCCTGACAGGTGGGCCCACGTTACAGTCCCGCGGGTCAAACCCCTTGGTCTCAGTAGCGAAACTGCCCGGTCCCACTTTCCAGTGGCGGATTTCCTCGAGCCGTGCGGCTACCCGCACACCAAGTGTCCCCCGTTCTTTATTCAGAGTGCAGTGCAGTGGAGTGTGGTGGATCTCCTCCTGCATGCTTTGCTTGAGCCTTTTTGCTTCTGGCGTCAACCTCTCAACCCAGATAATAAAACGCGAGCAATAGCGTTTAGCGTGTGCGGTCGCTTAAATAATTGGCACTTTGGCAGCAACATATGGTTTGTTTAGGGGTTCATCAAATTCAAATCATGGGTAGAAATAGCCGGGAACACCCAGTGGTAGTTGTTTTCTTACTACCGCCGATTTTATATAGAGTTTTTTTTTTTATCTTCGCTTCTGAATGAATAGACCTTACCGTTTACGAGCTCCATAGTCCGTATTTCTAATTCTCCATCCACATCCAGAGAGATTCAGATTGCGGTGTGATAGAAATAGGCTGTGAGGTGTCGCTCTTTTGTGATTAGTGCCTACTCTAGTGCACCGAAAGCTGGCAGTGCAAGCTCAATAAAAGCTTAGCCAAAAAAGCGTCTTAGAGGCGTAACACAGAAGGATTTAGCACCAAATATGCCATACGACAAGTGTTCCTGGGTCACAACGACAAGTCCTCAAAGAAAGATGATAGTTGCTGTCAGTGACATCATAAAAATTTGATGCTCCTAGCAAAAGAAGAATAAAATCACCGTTTTATAACATTTATTCAGTGTGGTCAAGGTATCGATCCCGTCTGAGGTTCAAGAACTGATACGCCATTCACCATCTTTGAAACTTGTACTTACTTAACTGCTGTAATTTTTTCCCCTGTTATTTTATCCATATCTGACGCCTAGTAGTTCTTTCAGTTTTTTAGGGGGACATCGCACGTGAATAGCATGTAAGCAATAGTATCCAATTGTTTCTCTCTCAAAAGAAAAGGTTTCCAAATGTAGAAAAGATGTTTAAAAAAAGTGAGAGACCCTTATGCCATATGACCACCAACATTAAAAGTTATGCTCTTGTCACTCCCTAATTCAAAAGTTTCTCATGCATCGACCACTTTCTGTTTCATCTCCTGAAAATGGAGTGAATATAAGGCTAGACCACACTCATCTGCACAAAATTCACTCCTGGTTTCTCAAATCAACACCTTTGCTCTCACCCAAATTCCGTAGCTTGAGCACTTTACTTAGGCTCTGTTCGTTTCCTGGAGTTCCCAACTCCCCCATCTCATTTTCCGCGCGCACGCTTTTCAAACTGTTAAACGGTGTGTTTTTTGCAAAAAGTTTATATACGAAAGTTGCTTAAAAAAATTATATTGATCCATTTTTGAAAAAAAATTAGCAAATAATTAATTAATCACGTGCTAATGGACTGCTTCGTTTTCCGTACCGGAGGGATGGGTTCCCAACTCAACCAAAAGAACAGAGCCTTATAGGGTGTATATACTAGTATGGTCTTACCTTTATCTTCTTTCATCGATTCCTACCACACCAGATGCCATACAACACAAGCTAACAAAACCTGAGTGCGAGTGGATGGTGAGATTTACTCCAGACCATTACACCAATCTGTCCCATTCACTTGTAGACTTGCTTTGCTGACCTCCCCTTTTTTTTGCTTACAGTGCATCAGTAATCCGTAGCCTACCAGTAGATCACAAATCCATTGCATATCCCTCCTCCAAAAAAGGAGTCACATCTTCTCATCGCCATCATCATTAGTTCATTTTGCCCCCACCGGAAAATCCAGCGCACAGAAACACTAGCGGCATGGTTAGAAACCCCACAAGCAAAGCAACCAAACCGAGCCCCAAACCCACACCCGCCTACTAGGCGGCGGCTATGATGCAAACTGTTGAAGCGATCACGCACGCCTCGCTTCCGCCTAATCCGAAGGAGACAAGCAAATCAAACAAGCGAACAAAAGCGGCAGCCCGAATAAACCAGCTGCGCAGCATGTGATTCCCACCTAGGTTCCTCCCATCATCCCGTGTACTTCTTCGCTTCAAAGGGCTCACACTCGTCGAGTGATTTTTTTGCAGCTGGCTGCGTGAGACGGGGAGATGAGCTTGCTGCGGAACCGCCGCGCCGCGGCGGCGGCGGGTTCGGGGGAGCAGACGGTGGTGCAGGCGGCGTACAACATCATCCCGATCCAGGACGTGGTGATGCACGGGGACCACCCGTCGCTGCAGGTGCCGGAAGTGCGGGCGGCGGTGGAGGCGCTGTCGCACGCGTCGGACTTCCCGGCGCCGCCGCTGGCCCGCGTCTGGGACCCGCACCGCGCCGACATCTTCGACTGGCTCGGCGCCACCTTCGGGTTCCAGGCGGACAACGTCCGGAACCAGCGGGAGCACCTGGTGCTCCTCCTCGCCAACGCGCAGCTCCGCGCCGCGCCGGGATTCCCCAAGGACCACCCCATCGACGTCCTCCACCTCACCGTCGCCCGCGGCATCCGCAGGAAGCTCCTCAAGAACTACACCTCCTGGTGCGCCTACCTCGGCCAGAAGCGCCACTTCCGCGTGCCCAGCGGCGGCGGCGGCGGCCGCCGCACCGGCGCCGCCACCGGCAACGACGTCCGCATGGACCTCCTCTACACGGCGCTGTACCTGCTCATCTGGGGGGAGGCCGCCAACCTGAGGTTCATGCCGGAGTGCCTCTGCTACATCTTCCACTACATGGCCCTCGACCTCCACCACGTCGTCGAGCAGTCCATCGACATCGAGACAGGGCGGCCTGCGATGCCCGCCGTGTGCGGCGAGGACGCCTTCCTCATCCGCGTGGTGACTCCGATCTACAACGTCCTCAAGAACGAGGTGGAGGCCAGCCGGAACGGGACCAAGCCGCACTCGGCGTGGAGGAATTACGACGATGTCAACGAGTACTTCTGGAGCCGACGAGTTTTCAAGCGGCTCCGGTGGCCGCTGGATCCATCGAGGAGCTTCTTTGTGGAGCCTGGAAAGACTGGGCGCATTGGCAAGACTGGCTTTGTTGAGCAGCGGTCATTCTGGAATGTCTACCGAAGTTTCGATAGGGTATGGGTGATGCATATTCTGTTCTTTCAAGCTGCGATGATTGTTGCATGGGATGGTAAAACCCCATGGGTTAGCCTCAGATTCCGGGACATCCAGGTCCGGGTGCTGTCTGTGTTCATCACTTGGGGTGGACTGCGCTTTGTTCAGGCAATGCTTGATGCGGGTACTCAGTACAGTCTCGTGTCGAGGGAGACAAAAACAGTGGCTGTTCGGATGGTGCTCAAGGTGCTTGTTGCTGCAGGGTGGACAATCACATTCAGTGTGCTCTATAAGCGAATGTGGGATCAGCGGTGGCGAGATCGCAGGTGGTCCTTTGCTGCCAATACCAGAGTGCTGAATTACCTTGAGGCAGCTGCTGTGTTTGTCATCCCGCAAGTGCTTGCGATTGTGCTCTTCATCATCCCTTGGATTCGAAATTTTCTGGAGAAAACCAATTGGAAAATTCTATATGTGCTGACCTGGTGGTTCCAAACACGTACATTTGTTGGCCGTGGTCTGAGGGAAGGTCTCATTGATAACATCAAGTACTCCATATTCTGGGTGTGCCTCCTTGTT